ATGCAGATACGCAGATACAGACACACAGATACAGATGCCAGCGGCCCATTATAGACACCCCAGCAGTATCCGAACGATCGGTTCACACATAATGCGGCTGCTCCACCGTGGCACGCGCCTCGCTCCCAAAAACCCCCAGAGTCTCCGACGCACGTGAACGGGAGAGTCATCCGCGAGATACAGATACAGATAGAGATGCAGAGAAGGAGCCGGAGACGGAGCCGGAGCGATCGAGAGATTTGTTTTTCGGGGAGAGAATAGTGCATTTATTTTTAGGATAACAATGGGCGCCCCGAGCGACGAGCACCGGCTACCGTCGGCGGTATTCAGCGGATCTTTTCTTTTGGGGAAAATTGAGGAAAATCGAGGGAAATCGGAAAAGTTTTTCAGCTCTGTGTCAGTCGAGCGCATAGAGCCATCGCGAGCAAGGCGTCGAAAGGCCAGTGCGCGAATTATTTGTATATATACTGATATACTATATATACCCACTCCCGTGCATATAGACATCTTCTGTATATATGTGCAGAGACAGCCCATGGTACAAAGAGTATATATGTACATATATCGAAATCATCCTGAATGTGTGGCGGTTTAACTGAAAGGCAAAATCCGAAATCAGAAATCAGAAAATGTGAAATTATTGTGGCCGGTGTGGAAGACTGCCAGCAGAGAGTGCGCTGGTCGTGAAATTCTGCAATAAAAGTGAACCGGAGGTACCCACTACCTCTCGGTGTGTATCCATAAGAGCATTATCTCGAAGAAAGTCCAAAATCCCAGCGCCTTTCAGATACGTATTTCGACTTTTGGATACTCGGTGGACTCGGTGTAGTTTTTGTGCGGCAACTGCTTCCTCGATCTCATCCCAACATCGCAGCATCTCAGCATCCCAGCATCGCCCATCTATGCTTTTAGTTTCTGGGTATGTTTTCTGGTCTAGTCGCTTGGCTGGCTGGCTGGCTGGCTGGCTCTCTTCGGCTGCTTTTACTTTTCGCTTCCACGGCTGCCTTTCTGGTCTCTGCCTCGAATAAAAATTCCTCTTGCGTGTTAGCTAAAAGTTATTTTTAAAAATTTCTTTTAATTTTGTTTTCTCATTTACGCGGAGATACGAGAATTTAAATGCGGACGGCAGCAGCAGCAGCATCAGAAGACTCAAGACTCGGGGCTCTCGAAGAATTTTCTGCTCTGGGGCGCTGCAACCCGAAAACAAAAATTGAAAAAAATATTACAGATTTCCGCATATCGTTCGGGGAAAGAAACTGATACACAAATTAGACGAGCTGGGAACTAGCAGCAATTAATTCGACATCCATCACAGGTTCAGAGGAGGTTCCGTCGGGTGGAAAATTGCCCATATCTGGCCTTCCACTAGATATGGGCCTGAAAGCCTTAAATTCAGGAACTTGAAAGACAAAGCTTCGTCGGGAGACACAATAGCCCTCGTCTGAACTCCATCCCGGACTGGCTTAAAGTATCTCATAGATGTTCGAGTTCATTAATAACCAATCGGCCTGTAATCAAGCCCCCTCGTAGTCGTAGCCTGTCAGCAAGGCATTTATTTCGCTGCAGTTTGTCAAATGCAGTATCCGTGAGAGGCAGGCTAGGTGGCAACAACAAGGCAGTGGCAGATGCACTACAATGGCACTGGCAACAATGTCACCACTCAAGTGTCAGGCAAAGGCAACGACTTTGGCAATGGCGATATTCTCAGACATTCTCAGAAGGCTGCCAAGCGAAATATCAAAATTTATAGCCACTACTGTCACCAGAAAGAGGCTATGCTATCTAGTCCTGGCTATCATGCTCCATCAGCTTAAGGCCCTAATGTGGATGCAACTTCAAAGCTCAATTACAGAACTGCAGCTTTGGCAAATAATGATTCCTGCAACCGAAACTTTTCTCGCATTCGGTTTCAATTTGCAAATATTAGTTCGTCCTGGGGGGCACTGCCTCGTCCTGCATCCGTCACTGGATGAGGTACGACAATGACGGTGGCCTGATCCAGGGGGACGGGACTGATGGGAGGAGGAGCACCACCGGCACAAAGAGACGAGCGTTAAATTCTTGTTTCCACCAACTGGGAAAGTTTCTCGGCATATGCCAGCTCATTGTGGGTGCTCTCCGGTCTGGGTGTATGTGTATATGTGTGTGTTGGCCAACTTTTGTGGCAGCAGAGGAAATGCCTGGCATGTCTTGTTCCTTTCGCTGGCTCGCCTATTTTATTCAACATTTTTTGCGAGCTTGTTGTGTGTCCTGGAGCTGACTGGAAAGCAGAAAGCAAGTCCTCTGTTTGCTTAATTTTTCCTTTTTTCCTTTCACCAGATTTTAATTATTTGCCTCAGACTCGGACTCGGACTGTTTTTGTTTGTTCTTCCCGCTTGGGGGCGACCTCAACCCCAACCTTTGAGGACCTTCTGTGGGGTGTTTCTGGTCGTCTCGCTTTTTTGATAAATTGCATAAATATTTTCGCGTCGCCTCAGAAAAACAATAAATTGTCCGATTTATTCAAAAAATAAATGCAGAACGCCGGTCGGCCGGTGTCTGGGCCTGTCTGGGCCTCTGCTGACTTATTGACACTTCAAGTTGGTCCGACATTCGCCTTAATTGCCGAAGGAGACAGCCATGCATATCATCTCCCATATACTGCTTTATTATTTATTGGACGGCAGACAGCATAAATCCCCTCCCCCGCCTGGTTTCTCTTTTAATTACTCGACCCGGCTAGCCGGGCATGTTTGTTCTAATACAATAAAATACAATAAATTAATGTAATTTGTAGGCTATCACGGGCGAGTGTTCTTTTGTTTGACTTTGCATATTTTGGGTTTAATTATGGGGCAATGACTGAACTGCCTGTCCTGAGGCCTCTTCAACTCACAATTGAATTTATTTTCTTCTGCAATTTTGCAATAAATACCTATTACATGGGCGCCACTTAATCCCCTGATGACACTCTTTAGTTGTAATTTCTGGTAATTAAATTCTGAAGATTTCAATGAATTTAAATGTGAAAAGATACTTTTATTTATAGGTTTTCTAAAGCAACTATCTAGAAAGACTTTTCCATATTTTGGGTTTAATTATAGGCCTCTTTAGCTCACAATTAATTTTATTTTCCTTAGCAAATATTCATACTGCAATGTTGCAATGCTTACTTGCCCCTTGACACTCGTCATTTCTGTAATTTCTGTTAATTAAATTCGGCAGATTCCAATAAGTTTAAATGGCAAAAGACCCACTTGACTGCAGTGGCCCTCCAGCTCCGCCATCGCCCATAAACCAGACAATGAAATTATTTAATTTCGCCCATAAACCAAATGTTGTTTCATCAATGAGGAAATTCATTTAATTTCGCAAACAATTGCCTCGCAATTGATTTACTCGCATTTGAATATCAATAAACTGTGTCAGCTGTGTGGAATTCCCTGAAAACACAAATAATTTGTCATTTTCCATTGCTGGCTTCCCAATCGATTGATGATATTAAAGCCCTATGGTTGGACTTTAGTGCCCTGCTTATAAATTCCTATTGCTTATAAGACCAAAAAAAAAAAACATAAAAATAACTTGGCCGAAAAATGTCGCACTTGACTTGACCCAGAAAAACATTCTCATTTGCATATTTACACTGCTGCCTATCTGGACGGAATTTATTTTCTGGACGGTGGCTGCTGCATGCCGTTCCCGTCGATGCCACAATGCCAGAAAGCCAAAGAGCCAAAAAGAAAACATTTACGTCCCTTACGTAAACGAGCAGAAAACGGTGCAGGAATTCCAAACTGACGGAAGAGCCAGAGCAGGCATTTCAACAGCCCTGGGGGGAGGCGGGGAGACTCCCCAGTCCGCTCCCCAATCGAGCCCCCGTCCCGGGCATAGTTGGTGGTTCTCCCGGCCGCTCACCGATATGTGCTGTCTGAGTGCCAAAATGTAAAGAATCGGACTGGACGGCTCGCAATGTTATTGTATCTCGCAGATACACAGATACGGGTTCAGCGCACTTTGAAGACTGTTCGTTGCCCTGATTTTGATTTTGGATCTGGTCTCCGCAGCCTGCAATATAATTGCGTGTAAAGATTAATTTATTTGGGTGCACGCGTGCCTCGAGTAATGGCATCTTAAAGATGCCACTGCAACTGCAGGGCGGCATTGTTATTGTTATTGTTGGTGGCAGTGGCGGTGGCGGTGGCTCGTGCCAAGCACAGCACATGGCTCTTGAAAGTCGACGGTCGACAGTCGGCTGCCTTGGTTTCTGTTGTGGTTACACTTTAATTTACTAGCCATCAAGTGCACATTTATAATTGGAACGCTGCCAGCCAGCGAAAGGGAGAAGCCGAGGCCCTAGAGTGGCTTCTGTATCTCTATTTTCGAGGGGTCTTCTCAGGGTCTTGCCGGTCATAACTGTCAGAGACAAGACCCAAGGAGCAGGTCCTCCGTTCTGATAGATTAGTTTCCTAATAGCTTTGCAGTAGAGGCTCAAGAAGGACAATGGTTACACCTAGTGGGCAGTTTAGTTGGGGATACCTTTAATATATAGCCTTGTAGATATATAGAACTTCTATTTCAGAGTTGGGGAAGAATTTCCTGTCATTGCTGGCCTCGTTTGTCGCTCGAGCACAAGCTAGCCTTGAATATTTGTTTATATATTTTGATAAAAGATCTCCAAAGATCCAAATTCACGAGGAACTCGCGGTTCAGACACTCCATGACTCTTACTGGTAAATACACACGAGCCGGCACTCGCAGTCCCCGAAACCACACCACGCCAGCCTTGAAATCCAATCAGAGTATAATTAAAATCCGTACCGACCTCCACTTCGGGTGGGGGAGTGCGTGGTTTTCCTTTTCTGGTGTCGGATTTTGCAATACGTCAATCCAGAGCCCAGAAGCCAGAGCGATTGCCCTGCCTCGTGGATAATTAATTGATTGCCCATTTGATTGAACGTTTGATGGATGAGTGCTGTCCCTGCCTGCTAACGCCCTCCTCCTTTCTCGCTCTCTTGCAGTAATTTGCATCGGCTGTTAGTGGAGCAGCCCCGACGACATCAGACCCAGCCCCAGACCACACAGTCTCCAGCAGAGTCGCCACCAGACCCGACACATCCACGCCCACATCCACAAACATGGTGATAAGCCAGCCCGACGCGGCGCCCAACGGGGGTGCCGCAGCCGCCACAGCAGCCGGTTCAGTGGGCCTCGACGGCACCGGGAATAGCCTGGCGCATCCGTCGGGAATACCCCAGGATCAAATAGACAATATCCTGAGCGGCATCGCCAACTCCGGCGACGTCAAAATGAACAATCACCGCAAGAAGCTGCGACAAAGGTGAGTGCTTTCGGGTGCGATCTCCCCCAGCCCTAATCCCTGGAACGTGTTGCCTCTTCCCGTTGCAGATTCGATATTATTAAGAAACTAGGTCAGGGCACCTACGGCAAGGTGCAGTTAGGTATTAATAAGGAGACCGGCCAGGAGGTGGCCATCAAAACCATAAAAAAGTGCAAAATCGAGGCCGAGGCGGACCTGGTTCGCATCCGCCGCGAGGTCCAGATCATGAGCTCGGTCCAGCACCCCAACATCATTCACATTTACGAAGGTAAGAGTACCCGCCGGCTTTGGATCGAGTGCATCCTTATAATCCCTTGTAAACTTTTAGTTTTCGAGAACCGGGAGAAGATGGTGCTCGTCATGGAGTTTGCCGCTGGCGGCGAGCTCTACGACTACCTGTCCGAGCGGAAGGTCCTGAGCGAGGAGGAGGCGCGACGCATCTTCCGCCAGGTGGCCACCGCCGTCTACTATTGCCACAAGCACAAGATCTGCCACCGAGATCTGAAGCTGGAGAACATCCTGCTAGACGAGAAGGGCAACGCCAAGGTGAGTGGAGTCCTCCTGGAGAAGAGGTAGAGGAGTGTCCAGTATGTAACACCTATTCCCTTCCAGATCGCCGACTTCGGCCTCTCAAATGTGTTCGACGCTGGTCGGCTTCTGGCCACCTTCTGCGGCTCCCCCCTCTACGCCTCGCCGGAAATTGTGGAGGGCACACCCTACCAGGGCCCCGAGGTGGACTGCTGGTCGCTGGGCGTGCTGCTCTACACCCTGGTGTACGGCTCCATGCCCTTTGACGGCTCCAACTTCAAGCGTCTGGTGAAGCAGATCAGCCAGGGCGACTACTACGAGCCGAGGAAGCCCTCCAGAGCCTCGACCCTCATCCGCGAAATGCTGACGGTGTGCCCGAGGAAGCGGGCCACCATTGAGCAGATCTGCTCGCACTGGTGGGTGAACGAGAACGACAACGTCTCCTGCCTGGACCTGGCCGAGGACTTGGCCAACCAGACCCCCGTGCGACTGGACGTGCTGCTCTCCCTGACCCCGGCGGCCATTACGGCGGACCAGCTGGTTGTGCCCTCGGCGGAGGGAGTCGCCGCAGCAGCCAAGGCGGCGGCCAACGAGCGAGTTCCTCGCTCCCACTCCGTGGGCTCCATCCGGGACATGGGACCGCCGAACACGGAGGCTGAGCGCCGCATCCTCGACATGGTTGCCGGTGAGTGGATGTCCATGGGCCTGCTTTGAAGCTTCTCTCCCCGGTTTTAAAATCTAAGATCTCCCCAAGCAGCCACCCGCGCAGAGAATACTAATTCTCGAGTAGGTTGGGTCGATTTGAAGAGTGACTTGGCTTAGACAGCCCTAATCCTCCAATGAAATCCTAGACTTTATATTGAAAATAGATACGCAGATCGACCCAACCTATTGTGTATATAAATAGAGATTAACTGGCCGCCCCACACCGCCACCGACACCGACACTGACCGACCGACACACCACCCACACCCACTAACGGATCCACATCCGAACAAAACCTAACCACGCACCCAACATCACCGCGAGAGTACTAACCCCTTATGGACTAAAGTCATTTAACCAAGCTCATTAAACACCACCACCCTTTCCCCTCTTCTCTCGATCTGATCTTGCAGCTGGCGGAGAGGCTGCCCTGATGCCCTCGCCCACCAGGACCATTACTCCCGCCCAGAGCCCGGTGCAGACCAAGAGGAAGCTCCAGCCCACCGTGTCCACGGAGAACGCCGCTGGGACGACGGCCAAGAAGAAGGAGAAGCCGGCCAACAGCTCCTTTGTGATCAGCAGCGAGGGAGGAGCGCCGACGCTGGCTTCACTGACTGAGGCACCACCGGCCATTGCACCACCAGCCATCGCCCCACCCAAAGATACGCTCATGGAGACGGAGAGGTCTGTGCCGGAAGCAGAGCAGGCGCCAGCACCCAGCTTCTCCCAGAAAGACATGCAAGCGGTGGGAGATCTCTGCGAGCAGCTGATGGGGGAGAGTCCCGCCCCTGTGCCCGCACCCGTATCCGTGCCTGGTCCTGCTCCCACCCCCATCGCCGTCGCCCGACAGGCCACCAGGGGCAAGCTGGACGCCGTGGCCGAGACCCCGGAGGAGAAGGACGCCACCAAGGTCATCAAGAAGTTCGTGAACAAGCACAAGACCGCGGATCTGGTGAACGCCATCAACGAGAGCGCCTCCAAGGCAGCGCCACCTGCTCCGGCCGCCGTGCCGCCCTTCGTACGGAAGTGCAGCCTGCAGGACGAGTCCACGTTGAACAAGTTCAATGCCGAGCGGAGGAAGTCGCGCATCCTGGAGACGGCGGAGAAGTTCCAGCCTCCTCCGGCGGTAGCCACGCCCACAGCCGCGCCTGAGAAGCCCAAGAAACTCAGCATACCGGGCGTCAGCGTGGGCAGCTTCAAGAAGGAGTTCGAGCGCAAGGCCACCAACCCGCCCACCTCGAGCGGACCCACTCCCGGCGAGCTGAGGGCCCAGGAGCAAGTGGCAGCCGCCGCGGCAGCCGCACAGGAGGCTGAGGCTCTGGCCACGCCGCCCGCATCGCCTCCCGAGGCCGGGCCGCCGAACCTGGAGGCCAGTGACTCGAAGAACTCGGTTGCCTCGATCTCGCTGGACGAGGCACGTCGCTCCATGGAGAACTCCATAGCCCTGCTGCTGCAGGCCCAGAACGAGTCCAGCAAGGAGGTGGACCAGCTCTGCGCCCAGACCGAGACCATCGGGGTGAGCGACCACCCCCCGAAGACCGAGGAGCGGGAGCGTAAGTTGAAGAATGCCCGCGCCATTATCGGAAACGCCATACAGCCGGGTGAGTGGTCCCTGCATGTCCTCCAGACCAAGACCAAGACTATATCCGTCCTAGGCTAAGCTAAACCCAACCGCAGCGCTTCCACGTTGACTACTAGCACCTTCTATTATAAGTTACTTAGCACTAGTCTCCGAGATCCTGGTTCTGGGCGGAGCTGCCAGTCGAGGGTCTAAAGTGCCCGGAGGATCCTCTGACTGGCGCTCTGTCCTCGACCTGGACCTGGCCCACGTCTTGTTTCTCTGATTATTTCTCGCATATATATACTTATTCCTTTCATAGTCAGTGTGTATGTGAACGTTTTGCAAGCCGAGTGCTGCATGGATTATATTTGGCTGTAGGAATATAATCTCCTGCTCCCTGAGGCGACTCCCCTCCAGTCCGCAACTCGCTTGGCCAATCACAGGACTTCGGTTTCCATTCGAATAATACACTCATCATACCCAGCCATTCATGGAACTCTCATCTGTCTTTGTCTGTCGCCTCCCTGCTTCCAACCTCACCAGTGGGGTGGATCGATTGTATCCGACTCCGACAAGGTCTAGTGTAAGGAACCTCTTAGGAAAGAGAGTCTACTAGTCGATTCACCCCACCCCGCACACATGCTCATCATACTCATTGACTCATCATCTTAATTTTAGTGATACGCAGGCCAACCCCGTTACTCGGCATCGGCAACGGCTTTGGCAATGGTGGGGCAGTGGGTGGTGGTGCGGGTGCTGGTGCGGCACCTAAACGGGCCCAGAGCGGCACTAGCTTTATGGGTTATATGGGTGGCACGATGGTGAGTCCGACCTCGCCCCCGATCGCGGCACCCCAGACAGCTCCTCCTGTGCTGATTTCGCCGAATGCCCTGGAGGCGGCCAAGCAGACCATCCAACAGAGGGTATTTGGCGGAGGAGCAAGTCACCAAGGAGGCATGAACCGGAGACCCGCCACATGGCAGCCCCAGAACTCCTACAGCACTGCCAGCATTTTCCAGCCGCCGCAGAGTGCCGGCGCCTCGCCCTTCAAGATGCTCCAGCAGCAGTACCAGCAGAGGTGCCTGGACCAGGACCAGATCCCGAACCCCAACCAGAGGGCCAGCTTCATATTCACGCCCCCGCCATCGCCCCAGTACACGCCCGGCCCCGCCTTCGCCAACAGCAGCAGCAGCGGCAGCAGAAACAGCGGTACCAGCAACAGCAGCAGCGGCAACAGCAAGAGAAGCAGCAACAGCAACAGCAACAACAATGCCACTTACAGTTACAATATCAATTCGCGCTCGAGACCATTCAATCATAATCAAGCTCAAGACACACCCACTACCAATGCCACTACCAGTGCCGCCCGCGCCGCCCCCGCGGCTGTGTGGCTCAAATGTAAGTCTTGGCGGCGGCTCGAAAGTACAGAGAAACCCCACCCGAATCCGAATCCGTATCCGAGTCCAACCTCCACCAACATGTGCTTTGTGCTATGTGTGCCTCCTCCTGCTCTTCTCCTGGCTTGACTTGTGCGGTTACATCCTTGCTTGGTACTCCCGCCTGGCCACAAAGGAGCCTATGTGGGGGGCACAGCAGGTTCCTGGAAGGAGTGCCTCCTCATATACGCTCCTTCGCCACTTCCACCGCTTCCCAATCTTTCCTTTCGATCTCCTATCTGAGCACTCCTGTAGCTTCTTTGGATGTCTGGTTGTTGTTCTTGTTGTTCTCGTTGGCACTACTGCTGTTGTTGTTATTGTTGTTTGTGCTCGATGTTGTTGTTCAGAGTTCCGAACCTGACAGAGATTAGCATTAGCATCAGTTGGCCGCCGCTCCTAACCCCCAGCCGCGAGAGTGCTTTAACCCCGTTCGTTTGGCCCCCGTTCGTAGTGTTACTTAGTGTTACTGTTACTCACGCTTTAATTGCTTACTTGTTCCTCTGCACCCCCCTGTGGCCTTGGAGAGGAAGTCCGACTAACATTGCCGTTGCTCTGGTCTAATCCGCAGCCTCGCCGGGAGCCGAGGGCCCTCCGACACCGCCGGGATCCGTCAAGACCTCCACCGCATCGATTACCTTGAAGTCGGCCACCTTGCCGCGCCGAAAAATCAACGCCAAGGCGGAGGTGCAGCTGGACATCAAGCCACCTATCCCGGAGCCCCCGCAGCCGGCCATGCGATTCAGCACGGAGATGCAGCACCCGGTGGCAGACCTGCGGAGCGCACCGCCCCGCGAGGGCCCGCTCCCCTACAGCCCCATCAAGACAACTGTCCAGGCCCGGGCCACCAGCCTGGAGCCCAAGGAGCATGTCATCACCATCCAGCGCCCGCCCGCTCAGCACGTCTACGGCCGCACCGGCTCCAACACGACTACGCGGTGAGTCTCGTCCGTAGAAACCTCTTTCCTTGTATATACCTTCTATTCCCTCCCCGGAGGTTGTACATATTTTTTCCGAGGATGCTTATAATAAACTTGTTTTCCTCCGACCTTTTCGCAGTTCCGGCTCACTGTCACGCCAGTCCACGGTGGAATCCGAGTCAGACGCCACCACCACGGCCACAAACATGTCGCAGGCCACCGTCACCAGCCAGGGCACCTCGCAGCCCATCAAGAAGAGTCCGCGGGAGTTCATCATCCCGATTGCCGTGGAGGGTGGTGGCTTCATCACGCCGCGGGAGCGCAGCGTGGAGCCCTCCGAGTCCAGTCACACGACCAGTAGTCGCTCCACGTTTGGCCGCCTGCGTCCCTCGCGTCACATTGGGTGAGTTGGTCCCTTCATCCCTCCTCCCAAAGTCCCTGCTCCTAAAACTTATCCTTCCGATACCACAGCTCACTGCTAAGCGAGGCCGGCTTCGACGAGGGCTCGCCATTCCAGAACATGCGCACCACTTCGATCAGCCGGGAGGGCGGCAGCGGAGCAGGCGAGGACGACGCCCGCTTCACCCCGCACAAACTCAGGTAAACTCAGGCTAAATTGAATCTGGTTTGCACATTTTCCACCTATCCGTCTGCCCCGCGGGACTGGCATTTGACTTGATTATACTCATCATCTGAATATCCTTTTCCCATTCGGTACTCCCACCTTTCGCGCCCACAGAAGCTCCAGACCTGTCAAGAAAATCAGTCAAGACAACGACTCGCAGAGCTCCAACGAGGAGGACGACGACGATGACGATGGCTTCGAGATACTCACGGCAGAGAACCTGTTCTCGACTCTGCTGCAGCGGGTAAGTGCTCCACCCATCCATCCATCAAGTACACGGCTCATCCGAGGCGGAAACTCATGCTCCCTTCTGTAATTTTCAGGTGCGCGCTCTGACGAATCGCCTGAATGTCAACAGTGACCTCACGGTCGGATTCCCCAGCCATTCTAGTCGCCTGCTGACGGACATTTCGCGGCAGGCCCAAAGTCACAGTCCCTTCTGGGGTCAGGGCAGTCCCTTTGCCAGGTGAGTGGTGGCGCCCCCATCCCCCAGCGAGTGGTGAGTGGACTCGGGAGTCTGGAGTGGCAGCCAGAGTTGATTGCCAGCCAGTTGGTCCACTCGTCAGCTTATGCAAACGTGACTCTAGCTAATAATTTCATTAAATTCCGTCGGAGTTGATTTGATTACGTGGCAGCCGCTAGCCGCTCCTGCCTCGGCTTCTGTGGATTGAAAAGGATGCCCGGGTTCGTCGCATCCTCTCCACATCCGAACATTAACTGCAAACTTGTTGTTGTCCATTTACTTACATGCTGCCCCACTGCTTCCATCTAACTCCATCCAAAACCAAATCTAAAATGCACCCTGCGCTTAACTAATCGTACGCCCAGTGGGCCTAGGTCCCAAGTTAGTTACACGTATAGCGAGACGGTTGAGAAGAAGAAAGTGTAAGTACTCCGAAAGGACTCCTAACCGTCCCAGACTTCTGCAGGCGGTGCGTTCTTCAAGGATTGGCTTTTAGAACGCACTGCGGCCGTCAAGAAGCTTGAAGCCCCGCACTGTCCATCAGAACTATCAGACCACAACCCATCCCGACCAGCTCTCCCCCACGCATTCTTGACTGCTTCCAGGTGCAGGGATCGCTGCCTGAGGGCCTTGAACATTACGGAGCAGCTGCGGAGGTGGCTGGGCCCCGCCCACTGTTGCCTGTAAGTGTGCAGTGCCGTGACCGTGTAATGTGCAAGTCCCTCGGCTGTCCCCGCCGGACCTCATCAATACCGAGACTCACCAGCTCCGATCTCTTCCGCGCTCTCTCCCACAGCCGCCTGAACAGCAGCAGCAACCACAGCGGCGGACTGGGCGCTCCCTGGAGGCACAGCATGTCCCGGGACCTGGGCAGCGACATGGAGTCGATGTTTTCGCGCACCGGGGCCACCCTGCCAAGAGGTGAATATCACAGACTAAAGAGTAAATTCCTAGATCAGTAGTGTGTCCGGCGGAGGTCCTGCGACGAGGAGACGCCGCCTATAGACACACACAAAACCAAGTAGACGTAACGAGCTGCATCGTATGCTATTCGTAAATAAGAACAATGATAATCGCAATACGCCTATACCTTATATCTACACTATCCGTATACCTAAACATACTATTTTACTATCGAAGTAGTTTTGATGTCTGCTAAACAGTGAAACAGACCTACTTAGTCTGAGCCCGATTATTGTTCCCCATTCAGAAAACAGCACACAATAATTAATCGTTTAGTGTCTACTGTAATTATCAAGTGAAAATGCCAATTAATACTTAAAACAACTTAAACAATGAGAAAACACCTTTGCGTTGAGAACCTACTACATTTAGTTTTAAATATTGAATTTTGAATTTTGGATTTTGTGTTTTGTGTGCGCGCACAGTTCTTAATAGCATAATTTTTGAATCTCTCTCTATATTCACTCTATAAATGGTCTATCTATATCTGTAATCTACGTATATTAGAGCGTATTCTTCTGTTATTAACCCCAACGCCGCTGAAGCTTTTCCTCCCCCGATCTTACCTATTTATTGCTCAATCGAACCCGCACTAGAGACCTCCCACCCCCGCCTAACCTACGCCTATTTATTACTATAATATCTGCCCTCTCCCCTTATGATTTGCCTTTCAAATTTCTGTTCTGCACTCCATGCAATGATGATGAATTTTTGTCAAAATAAAGTTGCTTACAAAATATACCCCGAAGTAGTGAAGAAGCCAAGCTCAAGAAGCTCGAGAAGTTTGTTAAGTCAATAAGCGTTACGAATCGTATTCAAAGTTCTGTATACCGGCGCCGATATATAGCTCAAGGAATATTTATATATATTATGTATGACACACCCGAACCAGAACCAGAATCAGACACAGAAAAAAAGAGTCCCGACCCAAATGTTGTATCGATAATCGCTAAGATGATGCCCACCTGGCCGAAATATTGTACCTAATGTTAATCAAGCGACACACAGCAAGCAGTGAAATAAACTATAGCGAATGAAACCAAACCCAAACACCTAATCAATTTAATACATTTTGCAGTGAGATGACAATAAAAGAAACAGTCCCAGAACAGGGCCGGAAGACAAAAACCATGCCTTTTCTTATTTTATTTGTGGGCGACCACCAAGACTTTGTTTTCGCAACCAAAAGAATCGTTTCAACCACTATATACTGTTCCGTTTTGGTAATTGATTGTTGTACAGTTTATGCAAATGGCCCCGCTACCTTGAATTTGTTTTAGTTTACCAAACCACGTTGACTATCGTTAAACCAACATATACATATATATATCTGAATATATATCCCTCACAACAACCACCAGCTAACCCTCAAAAACAAACAAAACTTTATGAAGTTGAGTTGAGTTGAGTTTCCCAGTTCTTCTACTTTTTATGTTTTTTAATTAGTTACAAACAAAAAAAATTAAAACTGAGCCAACAACTGCTGAATTAAACCCGATCTGTGTTGTACAAGAATTAATTTGTTAACACCACTAAGCCACACGCACACCCACACCCACCTACACCTACACTACATGCTCACCCACCGCCCCGAGGCACCGAAGCTTTTCTATGTTCACATATGCTGTTTTAAAAATAAGAGAACCAGCTAAGCAAAAGAAACCCACTAACTCGGCACTAAAACTATGTCTAATTCCATTAAAAACGTTAAAACAGCAAAACAAATTTCTGAGTTCTGGGCTTTTTTTGAAGAATCGAATCTTGAACGGAGTAATCTTGAATTGTGAGCAATTTCTTTGAAAATGTGGAGCCTCAAGCCTCAAGAAAAAAAATGTCCAAAACTTTGAATACGATATTGTACAGAAGCGAGAAACTCTCTTAGCTAACTAATCTGCGGAGTACGGAACGTTCATCATCATTACGTAGAACCCTAACCCACCAAAACCCAACCAGAATCCACCAAATCGTAGTTACTTAGAGCGTCGCACCACCACCTCATCCTCGAGTGCGTTGTGTTTCTGCAAAAGATAACGATACTAGATATTATTTTGAATTATTATTGGCCGTTTTACACACACTTCTCCCACTTACTTTCGTTTACAGTTGGTTTAATTACTTTAACTACTACTACCACGCCCACAAAGCATGCTATAACCATTAACCAGAGTCCGTTCAGACAACCCACCGTCTCAACCGACACCACTACCACCATCGCCACCGCCACCGCCACCCGCAGTCCACATCCGGCCGTGATAGCCACGACGAAAACTGCCAAAACGGTGGCCGTCAATGTAGGCGGCGTTCCAAAGCAGCTAACCATAACCACCACCACCAAAACCACCTCCGCCTCCGGCCCCGCCAGCACCAGAACCAGAAACGGCAACCAAGCGATCATCAGCAGCGGGAGCAGCCCTAGCGACGGCAGCAAAGTCCCGGCCATATCATCCGCATCCGCACCCACGCCTGTCATCTGCAGGGGCCGCACCACCGCCGCGACAAACCCGCAGAAGCACTGAGGTGGTCCTGGTGGTTCAGCGATCTGGGCTGGTACTCTTCGATATCGATATATCTTAACACTTCTCTCGATCCGAGAGAGGAAAACATTAATTGAACTTTTAATTGCCAGCTGCAGCTGGTCTAGAAATTTTATTGGGTTTCTGCCACATCCTGTGGCAGCAACGAGAACGAAACATTTCCACATGCAATCGAGAACATTGTATTATTGTGATTTTGATTTTAAAATTAATTATTAAGAGAAACGTATCAAGTCATTCAACCCGAACTCCTTACGCCTCAGTCAAGAATTCCATTAGCGCAAAGCTTCAAGCATATTAATTAAGCAATACTATTAATTTAATTTTTAAAAACTAAAAGCAAATTACTGAATCCTAATACTGAAAACTAAAAACTGAAGTCTAAAACTGAAAACTAAACATAAATTGACTAAAACATTCCACACGAATCAACTATTTTTATACACCAATCGATAAATAAAACATAAACTAAAGTTGTACCCGTACCTGTATCCTGCACGTGTTATCCCGATTGTGTTTTGATTTGATAACTTTTGTTGGACTGCTTGTGATCCTTCGTCCTGCAAGTTTGTTAAGTGTTCGATTTGAAGAGCTTGCCGCTTTATTGCCTTTCCTCGGAAAAGAATTCTTTTGGTTGCCAAAACGAAGGCGAATTTCAAGATCTCTGGGGCGTTCTTTCCAGCTGACATGTAAGTAGTCCGGAGTAGGGAGGACGCGGCCTTCAAGTAAGTCCTAATTACTTCCACTGTGCTTAACCTCATCCCCAGTCCTGGAGCAGCCCCTCAAGATGTTTCCGCTTTTCTCGATCCCTTCTTCAGGTCACCATCAAGGCAAAAGCAAACCCAGCTCAGCGCCAGCCCACTCGGACAAGGTCTCCGGATCTGGCGGCTCCACCACAGCCTCCACGAACAGTGAGGAGCCCTTGGACCTAGCCGACCTGGACCTCTCGCGCCTGCGACTGAGCAAGAAGGACTTGGAGACCCTCTCCAGCATCACACCCGGACTGCCAAAGTGCTTCCAGGAGCAGCTTCTGGCCAAGTTGCCACCGACGCAGGCAAGGAAACTCTCCCGGACGCTGAGTGTTCAGACCAGCAGTGCACCCAGCTCGGCTTCCACGCCCAAGGTGTACAAGCGCAGTCAGAGCAGCGGCCGGGGATACGCGACGGAAGAGCACCACCCTCCGGAGGAGCTCCAGTTTCCCAAGTCCTCGCTGATGGATGCACCGAAGACGACCTCCGCCAGCACCGCCATTTACAGAAGAAGCCTCAGCCGAAGTCAGGCACATGGCCCGGGGCCTGAGGGTCAGCCATCCCAGAGCGGCCAGCTTGGACAACTTGGAACGCCCGGACAGTCGGAAGCCAAGATCAAGAGCCGCAGCAGCAGCGTGTGTCGGGACGACTACGGAAAGTCATCGCTCTGCAGCAGTAGCACCTACACCAGTGACGTCAGCGACAAGTACAAATACTACTCGCCCTACCTGAGCAAGTCCAGCAACGCGAGCCCTTCGATCGGCCCCAAGGAGGCGGCAGAGAAGCGCTACAGCAGCACCGGCCTCCAAGCGGGCCGTCCTCCAAGCGGCTGCATGTCCCCTCCACCTTCTGCCCCAATAACAGTAACGGAGGGCTCCAGCTCCTTGAGGATTGGCCGCTCCTCGCAGCGCCGCATCTCCCGCTTTCTGCGACCGGACTTCTTTGACGATCCCCGTGATCGGGAGACGCAGAGCATGCTGAGGGAGATCAGGGAAAAATCGGTGGATCGTCAGCCTGAAGAGCCCCTGCAGGATCTTAGGCGCCGCAAGCACAGTCTGCCTAATGTGGATCAGGTTGCAGAGCAGGCTGCTCTGGAAACCGGGCCCTCAAGATCATCCATGCGGCACTCCAGGAACAAGAGCATGGAACTCTTTCCAGATGCAGAAGCGAACCAGGAACCTGCCAAGACTAACAGTTCCCGCCAACGAAGTGTGTCACGAGCCAGGGACTTCGAACCGGACCTGGACAAACATCAGCTGGCGGACAAGATCCTCCAAGAGCTGCAGCTCCTTTCCGCCGTAAGATCCCAAAAGGAGCAGACTGTTCTAGAAGCGGAAAAGTCTAAGGACACCTCCACAATGCGGAAAGTGAAGAAGCTTAGGCCCAAGGAGACGTTCACGAATGATCCGGAGGGAGTCAAATTATCAACCACCTCGACCACTACAACCTTGGTGAGAAAGGTCAAGAAAGTGACCAAGAAGACGGACGAAACTAAACCAGCTACGGATGCTCAGCCTGATGATTCAGCCGCGCCCAAGGAAACCAAACTAAAACGACCCAAATCCTACCCCATGAAGGATCTTGGCTTGAGCCTCAAGTCTTCAGAGCTACCCGAACCCATTCCGAATCCGAGCCGTTCCAGCAAACTTCCCAGCAAGCTGCCCTTGGGAGGAGGGGTTCCCACTGACCCATCTCAAGAAGCAGCGCCCCGGGAGAGTCGCCTGATGAGGCCAAAAAGCTACCCGGCCACCAAACTGGCCACCCCCAAGGAGCTGCGCAAGGTCACTCGCAGTGGGGTGGCCATACCCACGATAACAGAAGCAACTGCATCGAAGACCACTCCCGTTAGTTCCAAATCCACATCGGAGGAAAAGTCGCTCTCAGCCACGCCCACCGGCACCATGACTACTGTCGCAGAGATAAAGGACACTGGCTCCTCCTCTAGTGATTCACGACCCGCGACTATTAAGAAGATCATCAAGGTCTCCAAGAAGTCTAAGCTCGTGCCGCCCACACCCGTGACGCCAAGCACGCCTCCAACGACCACGACGACGACAGCCACCACCACGGCGACCAGCACGCCCATGGACAGCTCCAAAGAGTCAAGTCCGGTGATCAAGGCCAAGGACAAGTCTCCGGAGAAGAAAACTAGCAAGGGTCTGCTCTACGCGTTGGGCCAGAAGTTTGAAAAGCTGAGAGACTCGGCCATGAGCAAGGACAAGAAAGGAGCATCCGTAGGAGTCGCAGCTTCTCTAGCCTGCAGCCAGAAGCAAGGGTCTCCCGAGGAGCAGCGCAGCTCTCCGGAGAAGGTGAACAGAAGCGAAGAGAGGGTGCTGGATCATGGAGGCGCAGATGACCGACGGGTGGACAAACGCTCGCGATTCGACAGCGTCCTGAGGTCCTTAAGGGAGCGGTCCGTACCCAGGTCGCAGAACAGTGGCAGGGCTAGCCCCAAAAGAGCAGCCAGCGTAGAGGAGCTGTGTGTGGAGAATCCGGGTAAACAGGGGGGCGCCGTGAACAAGATGTTGGGAGGGCTCCTGCGACGGTTCGACCGGGAGAGCAACGAGCAGCGGCGTGTGCGGAGCACTCGCTCCACCAGCAACATTGAGCAGCAAGTGCGCGAGGAGCAGGGGCAGCGCTTGGACGCTTCGTTACCCACTTCACCCATTTACCAGAACGTGGTGAAGAAGGCGAAGGCTACTCCGGCTGGTGAGGAGAACTGCAACTGCGACACCGCCTGTCCGGAGTGCAAGCAGAACAAGGCTCCGACGCCCAACACCACCTCCGCCAGCAACAAGGAGAAGAGGAAGGGTCTGATGCTGGACCTGGCCAGTGCCACCGCAAGTGCAGCTCCTAGTAGCGGTCCGACAACCACAACTACCACCACCGGAAGTGGTGGAAGCAGCTACCGGGGAAGCAAAACTAACCCCGCTCTGATAAATGGAAACGGCGGACTGAACATCTATTCCAACCTCCCGCCCTACCCCGGAGCCATGAAGAGCACCAGCTCCAACAACAGCTCCAGTCAGCAGTCGGTGGAGAACGCCACCAACAACAACTCGACGAATACCAACAACAACTGCAGCTCGCAGACCTCTGGCTACAGGACCTCCTCCGCTCATGAGATCAACCGGAACAACCCCCTGCTGACGCCCTCCTTCGAGAACATTGCCAACTACTCCTCGGATTCGCGCAGCTACCAGGACGATTGCGCCTCCACTTCGACCTTCCTGTCTCCCACAGAGGAGCCCGAGCTGTACTTCGACAACTGGTCTATCTGCTCCGAGGACAACTATATGCTGCATGCCACGCCATCGCCGACGGTGTCAAGACTGTCGAGAGCGTCCCTGTCCTCGCCGACGCGCTGCTCCGAGAGCTCTGATCCCAACGAGAGTGTGATCGACAGGATCAAACGGCGCAGCTTTTACAGCCGCTTCAACGAGCAGAAGAAACCGAGGCGAACCAGCAGCATAGTGGGCCCCTCGGCGGTGAGGGACTACTACCGTGAGCAGGCCTCCACCCGTTCCAGACACGTCCCAGACGTAGAGCCACCTAGGGCGCACTCTCCCGATATTGCCCAGCAGTTCTTCAGACCACTGAAACTCAGTCCAGTGGGCACTGAACTGAAGCCTCCTGTCTACCGCTCCACCATGGACTACTCCTCCTCCACGAGCAAGCCCAGAAAGAGCTTGAACGATATCCGGAACACGTCCCCCTCGTTTCTCAGCAAACGCTACGAGACAACGCCGCACGACTACAGCCTTTCCAGTGTGCCGATGCGCTACAAGAGCTCCTCCAGCTCAAGTCCCAGCAATGGAGCCGGGGCCATCGCGAGTGGCTACTACAACACCTACAACCCCAAGCGAAGGTCCTCCTACACCCTGAACGGCACTCTGCCCTCGGGCTCCGCCAGCGGAAGCAGTGCCGCAGGGAGCAGCCACTTGGACGGCTACGCAACCCTAGGGAGACGCTCCATCAGGCCATACGACCACCGGACCATGTCGCTGCTGGAACCGCCAACTACGAGCAGCAGCAGCAGAAGGAGCGACGAGGATAGGTCCTACCAGAGACGCGAGGCTCGCACCCCGGTCAGGGATTACACTTCCAGCATTTCACGGTGAGTATTGGAAGCCTTTGGCGGTCATAAGATGCTAATTCCCTGGTACCCTCAGGTCCGGTTCCCGTTACCGCACTTCCTCGGCCACACGCAGTCCGACCAACATTTGATGTACCACTCCGCAGAACGGCTTTTGCATCTTCTGCTACTACTCCAAACGGAAAAAGCACCACCAGCTGCAACTGAAGTCTGCCCCCAGCCAGATCCAGCCCGGACACCAGCACCACCACGCCGAACAGCACAAGTTCTAGACTGGTCCGGGATCACACCTCTTAGACTTAGGCGATTTTGGATATTTTTTGTATGAAACTAGCCAAAGTTATGTACTCTGCCCCCTAGTTGTAGGTTTGTTGTAGTTCCGATATAGCGGATACGTAGAGGTTATAGCGATTGAAACGATGGTAGCGCAGGGTCAGTGAAGGCCTCAGCATAGGCCACTCATGAGTCCGCTAGGTCGTCCCACGAGAATGCGCCACAGATGCATACATACGATTTTCAAATAATTGTGCCTTGGTTCCTCCGGCGGTTATAGATTAGCCAAAATAGCCACAAAACGTTGGTTTTTTAACTTTAAGTATGTAAGAGGGTAATGGAAGGACGAAATAGGAGGCAGAAAAAGCTCCAGAGAATACAGACGTGTGTTTCACAGAGATATGGTTATACGAGTATATGGATATGTATTTTCTAGCTATTTTTGTGCTCCGCAGGAGACCTCGCGCCGAAAATGCGTTAAAATTTCAAATAATAATAATTTTAACAATTTTTTTGCATTATACACAGAACTGAATGAGGGATTGTTTCGAGTTTAGAGCTAGTAGGTAGAAGTTTCGTTTGCTAGGACTATTGATGTTATTGCGAAATAATAGAAAATATGCGAATTGTGAGCGAAGGAGTTAGAGTTAGAGGGAGAGTTAGTAATCGTAGCACAACAATAAGCGAATTTAAAAAGGAACTAAATGGATCGGGAAACGTAAAACACAACTCGGAACATAAGTAGTACGTTAAAGTTTTTGGGTAGATACACAATTCGAGTTCAAACTGTAACTAGACGGGAAAGCGTGAAGCGTTTTCTGAGAATAAATACAAAATTGAATCACAATTTATTCGGCTTCTGTTTTCTCCTCCCAGGATTAGCTCTGTTTCTGGAGCTTGTAGGTGGGCATGAATGGCACGTAGTAGGTCCACTTCCAGCGACGAATGGTCTCCATTCCGTAGGGGAAGTCAAAGTCGGTGGCGGTGCCATCGTTGATGTTGTCTTCCCCCAGGGGCATCTCCTTGGCCCACTGAATGAGACCTCGCTCCTCCGGCGTTCCAGGGATCAGGTTGTCCAACAGACAGCCCAGGACTCCGCCCACAAGAATGGTGGTTCCCAGAAGCACCGACAGCGTGGAGTCCACGGTTGTGTTACCAGTGTCTATGGCTCCCGGATTCTGCTGCATCCAGCGGCACAGCACCATGGGGAAGAAGATGGAGAGCCCCAGGATGTACAGATTCCTGGCGGATCGCAAGTCCACGTATTGCAGGGTCGACAGCCCGAAGGCTATAATCATTCCGAACATGACGCAGAATATGCCGCCCACCACCGAGTCCGGAATCAGGATGAAGATGGCTCCGAACTTTCCGATCACGCCCTGCAGCACCATGATTAGGGCAGCCCACTGAATGACTCGTCGAGATCCAATCTGTAAAATATTTCCATTAATTTAGTTAGTTTCCAAGAGTACGAGAGAGTTTGTTGCCAATTGAATGATTGAATAATGTTCTTTTTTTTTGTAATTATGACGGGTGAATTTATTTAAAACTGTCCAACAGCCGACAACCATTAAATATTGAGACAGAAAACTTAACTATAGTTAAAGGTGAATAATGAATAATCGCGATTAGCATTGCAGCTAAGATTACATCTTACCTTGGTCACCCCGATGGCGCCCACGTTCTCTCCAAAAGTGTTGGTTCCGTTGCCCGCTCCCCACAGACCGGCCAGGACTGTGCCCAACCCCTCGGTGCCAATGCCCCGGTTGATCGCGTGCAGTGGTGGCGAGTGGGCGCCGGACATCTGGGAGACTGTGGGATAGTAGCTCAGCGACTCCACGGTGCAGGCCAGCACGCCGGCCAACATACCGAGCACTCCGGACAGCGTGACCGACGGCCATCCAAACTGACCCGGATACGGAATGTAGAACCACTTGGCGCTGGTCAGAACATTGAGGCGCACGTCTGTTCGGGAGGGATGAGAGGGTGGAAAGACGTCGGTAGCCGTGAGTATTCCGCACAAGCCCCACATGATCATGATGGTCAGCAGGACAGGAAACAGGCGGAACAGCTGGAACTGTCTCACCTCCAGACCGTGGCCCTTGCGGTAAGCCGGCACAGGGACCGAAACATTGGACATGATCTGCGAGAAGAGGGTCAGCATGCCAGTGGTGCTGTGTGGAAAAACCGAGTTAGTGCCTTTCTTTCTTTGCCCCACGGATCTTACCCGACGGCGATGCCCCAGTGCTTGGAGGCAGTGTCCGCGGCGTGCTCGAACAAGGTGAGTCCCACCAGCGAAACAGTAGGCACAATGGTCAGCGGGGTCACATACTTAAGGATCTTGCCCACAAGTCCAGTGTATCCAAGGATTACCTGCACCATAGCGGACACGGCAATGGCGCCGGAGAGCTCCCGCATGCGTACCTGCCACAGTTCCTCGCGCTCCACGTCATCCATTGCATCCATCACAGACTGGTCTGGGCACTTCCACTGCGGAAGGGCCAAAATGGCCAGGGTCGGAACCAGAAAAGAGATAGTACCGCCCTGGACAATGGGCAATCGGACGCCCCAGGTGGCCTGAAAGTAGGTCACGATGCCTGTCACGAAGATCATGGTGGATATGATGATGCCCCGATTGGCGTCCTCATCCGACATGCACAGCGCCGGCGTCAGGATAAACGGGATGGAGACAATGGCTCCGATCATAGTCAGGTAATGCTGGAAGGCCAGAAAGATGCTCAGGTACCATGGCGGATTGTCATTGATGGCGTACAGCAGTTGGGGGTTGGACTTTTCCTTCGGCTCAGTGTGGGTTTTTGGGGCACCAGCCTGGGAATCGTAAAAATTAGGTCAGATTTTAATAAAGATTTACGGAGAATCGATCTCGAAACCGAATAAAACAATCCGTTTGAGAATCGGATGACTATTGGCCAAGATATAGCCTTCGCAGTGCGTCATATGGGCCGTCCATGCATTTTTCAGGATTTTGGAGGGGACCCCCCAGAAAATTTGACAAAAAATCTGAAAAATAATTTGTATCCAGATTTTCATGCAGATTTACGGATAATCGATCTACAAACCGAATAAAACATTCCGTTTCAGAATCGGATGATTATTGGCCAAGATATAGCCTTCGCAGTGCGTCATATGGGCCGTCATGCATTTTTCAGGATTTTGGAGGGGACCCCCCAGAAAATTTGAAAAAAAATCTAATAAATAATTTGTATCTAGATTTTGATGCAGATTTACAGAGAATCGATCTTGAAACAGAATAAAACATTCCGTTTGAGAATCGGATGATTATTGGCCAAGATATGGCCTTCGCAGTGCGTCATATGGGCCGCCCATGCATTTTTCAGGATTTTGGAGGGGACCCCTCCAGAAAATTTGACAAAAAATCTGAAAAATAAGTTGTATCCAGATTTTGATGCAGATTTACGGAGAATCGATCTACAAACCGAATAAAACACTCCGTTTGAGAATCGGATGATTATTGGCCAAGATATAGTCTTCGCAGTGTCTCATATGGGCCGTCCACGCATTTTTAGGATTTTGGAAGAGGGCCGTCCAGAAAATTTGACAAAAATCCAAAGTGGATAATTTTTAAGTGGATAAGCATAAGTGCAACATAGCCTGTGCTATGAAAACCAAATACTTGTTAGTCTCCAGTCCCCTGATTAATTACCCGAAGGTTGTAAATTAGAACCTATAGAGTCTCCAGCGATGGCTGCGAAGTGTAATTATTTTTTTATTAATGCAAATTCGTATTTACTTATGTTAATGAGTAACTTTTTAGTATCGGGCGTATAAAGATATTCCGACTTTATATTGTGTAATTGCAGTGTGCGGAAAATGCATTGTTTTATTTATGAGGCTTGCAATTACATTTTGAATTAATCTCCATAACTTTATGGCCGGGCAGGAGTGCCTAACCTAAGCCCAGTTTGAGCGACGGCTCGGATCGCCGATCATGATTAATTGGGCGTGAGTATCAGCGCCACAATCGACCAAAGCTGGGATCTCGACGATTTTAATCAGACCATAAATTAGTATCTGATTAACTGGACAGTTAATAAATCGTTGGGCTGTCGATGCCCAGCATTGTTGACTGAAAGGTTTGGCGCATAAATGCATATAACACATTGCAGTCGCAGGCACCTATCCACTGCCTTGACAAATGGCAATATACTTGAGATCGAACTGTTAATTGGGGGGTGTTATCTTTCCGGATTCACCCGTCGAATGTGAAAAGAAATGTAATTGGCAAATAAACAACAATTAAGCTTTAACTGCAGCGAGAGCAGATAAAAAAATACACAGGAATAGAAGGAACATCGACAGACAGAAATTATGCTAGTCCGCTGGGTGCACTTCTCTTACATAAACCCATGCCGATATATGAAGCCCCTTAAATTAGATATGCGTGGAGGCCCGAAACTTACGCCCTCTTCCAAGGTAACACTGTTTAGCTCCATGATCCGACCAGCTCCCAGTTTATATCCCCCATAAAACAATTTAGGCAACGACGATAAAACTCTCGAGGAACACCGCCGACACGACAACCGATCTCACCAAAGTCCCGCGACTCAATGGCAAGATGTACACATATCACCCAGCTGTCGAATTTGCCTCGACTCGCCGGCAGTTCAATCGGAAAGCTCTTGGAGAGTGCCATGCCTTCTAATGAAGAACAACTGGCAGCATCAATTCAATTTACGGGTTCTCTCAATAAAAGCTACATCTGTATATCACACATAGTTTTTGTTAAACTATATTGTACAATGTACACCAATAAAAATGAAAGTTTTCTCAAAAGGTAACATGCTTACTTGCGCTTCAAATTCAAAATTAAATGCCGCGAAAAATACCAAGCGTGAATCAGTAAAGTGAACCAGTATATTGTGGAACTAGTTTCAAAGAACTGGACTGTTAGGCTGCATGCTTGAAAACTTTGCGATTTGGCCACCAAATAATTTTTAAAAAATGTGTCGCATTTTTTAAATAGTAAACGTAGCCAAAAATTGAGCCAAAATTTCGTTGCTTGAATTTCTTTAATTTTTGATGCAAATTGAAGCGGCTCGACACTCAGACCTTTAAGTATTATTCCGTTTTTGAATCGTCTGCTAAATAAATAAAATATTCACTGAAAAACTCGATGTACTTCCACAGGATCCCCCATTCTTTTAAGGGGATCCTTTTCTTGCCAGTTATAAATCGGATGTCTTATATTAAAAATATATTTTTTTCTGTTGACCTTAAACTTGAAAAATTGTTGCATATGTACCAACATTTTCACCCGATTTATAATATTTTGAAGTATTAAAGTATTTGAAGTATATTAAGAAATGAAGTTTTCTTCGTTCTTAATCAAAAACTCCTGAGAGGTTTGTAAATTAGATTATACAGAAGTACTTTTCGATTTTTTATCTGGCAGATATGGAAAAAGTGTAGGTCCCAAGACCTGGCACAAAAAAGCCCCAATAGTGCCCTGGATCTTAAGTGAATCAAAATTTATCTTTAGCAAAGGAGAACTGAGATCAGGAAACCAGCAGGAAACAAAACCAGAAAAGTGAAGGTGGAATGACCCCCCACCACAATGCTTAAAGTATAAAGCCACATAATTTTTAAAGTTTTTATTACATTTGTATACATTTATAAAATATTTTAAACAGTAACGTAGTCGTATATTAACAATACCGTACAGTAAACCATAGTATACATTAATAGAGCCAATAAAACATCAATATTAATCTTTGTGCCAACTTTTAGTTTTAGCCACAACGAAGCTTAGTCTACAGAACACAAATCCTTCCCGGATTTGAGTTCCTTTTAAGAAACAGGTGGAAACAGTAGTGATAGATCTTTAATTCAATTTTTCGATCAACAAAAACACAAAGAAACAATTAACTTAGGTGTTAGGCAGTAAATAATATGTTATAATAAAAATAGTAATCAGTTACTCCTAAATTGGGGACCGTATTTCGAGAATGAAACGTGGTGCTTTTCAGAAGAAAGAGTTCGGTTTTGTTGGTTTCTTCTCCTTGCTTCTATGAATAGTTTTGTATGCCAACCAACCAACCAACTTAAGATAATTTGTCACTAGAATACAAACTTAAACAGACGGCATTGGCTCACTAATAGTATTTACACATAGAATTTAAAATATTTTCTTTTGATTTGTTTTACTTTTTCACGCTTTCACGTTTTTGTTTTCACGCCTTCGTACAAGTTCGCTGACTAGTGGTTTACTATATATATACCTTTACTTATATATTTTGTTTACACGTTAATATGTATGGGAGTCACTTGGCTAAAGACTACCTGATTTGAAACCACAACACTTATTTAAATTGCAAAAACGTTAAACCTCTAAAAAATACATTCAATTCACATTTAGTTTTGTTTTTAAAATCCATCAGATTTTTACGTGGGACTGACTCTTGGCATCTCGTAGTTGTTGCTCTTCTACAGCGTATTACACATTTTTTCTATATTCATTTAGTTTATAATAGACAATTATGCTTCTTTCAAAATAGTTATCGACTGGAAATCATTTAATTTCAGGGGCTTGGCCTTAAAGGCGGCTCCTGGCTGTCTCTGTTTTTTTTTGGTGGAGAAGATTTTGGAATCCCCGGGCATTTTATAACACAATTTAGGTGCCGATAGATACTAATATTTAAATGCCAATTAACAAAAAAAAACATTGTTTTGGACTACAAGTTCAGGTTTAGTTGTTCATTATTTTTAAATCCAAGTGGATCCTATCCATCATCATGACCATGTTCTCCAAACATTACTTTAAAATTTAATAACTTGGACGCAGAACACCCTAATTATATTTGAAAACAAACTCCTTGGGCTCCTTGGACAAGGACCTCCCACGATCATTTTTCTAGTGTTCTTGTTTTTGAGATTAATCATTTGATGATTATTCACAGAAGTACTGAGGTAGAGTTGTTCCATCTAGTGACGCCGTCGCCTCACTTTACCATCCCTGGTTGATGGCCTGCTCCAGCTTGGCCTTGGCCACTGCGGCGGCGGCGGCCGCGGCTGCCTGGGCAGCTGCCGAGCTCGTGGAGAGGGGCACACCGGCTCCCCCGACGGCCACCACCGCCTGCTGCTGTTTTCCGGCTGCCACGGCGGCGGCAGCGGCTGCGGCGGCCAGCAGGGAGGCCGACGGGGTGCTGGGCATGAAGTTCACATTGATGTTGATCGGGTGCACCACCGGCATGCTGGTGTAGCTCTTCTCCAGCAGATCCATCCCGTTGAGGAAGGGCACCAGGGCATTGTAGTCCACGTTCAGGGGAACGTAGTAGTTGCCCTGACCGTGGAGCGCGAAGATGGGCACCGTGAAGGAGTGTCGCGGGGGCAGGGGCGCCGTGGTGCTGCTCGGCGTGCTCAGCTGGGCTCCGGCAGCCAACTTGGCCATGAGGGGACTTGAGTTGGAGTTTCCATTGTGCAGCTCCGACTTGATGTCCTTAAGGTCGCTGAAGTTGAAGGAGGAGGGCGAGGGCTTGTCCATCCTAGGAGCGGCGGTGCTCGAGTCGGTGTGGACTTCCAGCGGGATCTCCCCGTTGGCCGCCGCTGCCGCCGCCTCCGCCAGCTTCCTCTTCTTGGCTATGATGGGTGCGATCTCCGGCTCCGTTCCATCCTTGGAGTGCTCCGACAGAGCCTGCATGTGGGAATGGTCGCTTTGCAGGTGTGGTGCCACGGGACAGTGCTCGCTGCTCGTCTCCTCGTCGTGCAGCTCGTGCACGAACCGCTCCTTGATGTGGTTTTTGTACTTGTAGTTGTTGTTGTGCTCCACCTCGTGCGAGGACTCCGAGTAGTTGCGCATCCTCACCGACAACAGGCTGTCCTGGGTGTGGTGGCTGTGGGCCAGGTGGGGGTGCTGTTGCAGGAGCAGGTCCCGCGGGGGCGGCGAGTGCATGTTGGAGGTGTCTGTGTGCAGAATGGGCTCCCGCGAGGACTCGAAGTCGTGGTGGCTGCTGTCTTGGGTGTGGAGGTGGTGGTGGTGCGGGGCAGTCGAGGTGATCACCGGGGCCTGGTGGGGTTGCTGGTGGGCGGCCAGTGGCGTGGCCTTGGAAGTGGAAGCGGGGGCTGCTGGGGTTGTGGAACTGGCAGCGTTGCTGCTGCTGCTGGCGCCACTGCTCCCGTTGCTGTTTCCATTGGGAGCGCCAGGAGCCCCGTTGGCCGCGGAGTTGCTCGGCAGATTATCGGCTGCTCCTCCACCGGAAGAGCCTCCGTTAGTCATTGGCATTTTGTCCAACGCCCCGCTCGCCACTGGAGAGCCCCCATTGGCTGTGGCAGCCACTGCGGCTGCTGCGGCCACTGCTGCCGCCGCCTGACTCCTCTGCAGCTGGTTGAGGTGGTTGCGGAAGCTCAGGTCCTTGACGTCGTTGTGGTCCTGGCTGTGCTCCACGTCCGAGGCCGAGGCGGCTCCTAGCATGTCCCGCAGGTGGCACAGCGGCGGGTGGTACGCCTGGTGGGGACTGCCACTGGAGGCGCTCACATTGTCCGGCATGTGGCAGCTGCGGGTCGATTTGTAGCAGTCGGCTGCGGATGAGAAAGGAGGAAGTTAGTAAGTTGGGCTTAGAGATCTTACAACGGGCGGATCGGATTGGGGAACTGGAGTGAACCTTTGCAGTCGGCACAGACCCTGTGCACCTGCGACAAGTGCTTCTTTAGGTTGTAGGACCTCTCCCTCTTGAGGTTTCGGCCGCATGCCTTGCACTGCACATAGACCTCGTCTATGGAATCGAAATACTTGAGGATATTGAACTTTCCCTTTCTTGTGAAAAAATTCATCGTAATTCTGGGAAGTAATTCTGGGAAGGAGGAAAACTCTCCGGCAACTCTCTCTGTTTCAAAGTGACCTAAGAAACAAGGCTACTGTAGCAACTACTGCAGCGGGTGCTGCCTCGAACAAATCTAAATATTTGAGGCACCTATCCCACAAGTCGATCCACCCACCCACTTGATGCGGCACACTCACTCTTGAACATCTCGTCGATGTGCTCCTGGAGGCGGCCCAGGAGGCGGTGGCAGAAGTCCTGCATGTGGATGTCGTAGAGGAACTTGGCCGCCTCCTTCATACAGTCCATGTAGCCGCTGCGGTAGTCGCTCTCCTTCTGCTGGCACTCGCTCTGCAGGTGCTTCAGGTGCCGGATGGCCATCTCGATGATCTCGGTCTTCTCGATGCGGCCGCGCCCCTTGCGCTGATACTGGGGCGGGATGAGCCGGGAGAGGTCCGCCAGGCAGGAGTTCATCCGGTCGCGGCGCCTCTTCTCGATGATTCGGTGGGAGAGTGGGTCTTGCTGTGGGGTCGAAACATACTCGTAATTAGTGACTATGTCAGTGATTAGATCTAGGGTTATAGAGTGGGCAGACCCCTGACCTAAATGATTGTTCCATATCTTTTTTTTTTGATTTTTCTTTATTTTTTCTAATTTTGTTTTTATTTTTTATTTTTAATTTTTTGGCTAACAATAAAAAAGGGTCAAAAGTGGCGGCTGCGTCGTTGCGGCTAGTGGCGGCTATCGGCCTCAAGGTCGAATTCGTATGGCACGTGTGTGGGTGGTGGATTTTGGTTGTGGTTTGGTTGTGTGACCCTCCAGGCGCTGCTCTTAAGCTCTTTTGATCCTTTGATCTTGTCTCAGTGTTACTGCCTTACAGTGATACTGCTTTCGATTTATTCGAATTTCAGAGTTCAGAGTTTCAGAAATGTGCTTTCGCGATTTTTTGGGTCGCTCTAAAATGTTAATATTTACCCTCGATGTTTTATTACGTCTTCCGGTGGCATATTCAGCATCGTCCTCGCTGTATGCCGTGGCGGATGTTGAAAAATTTAAACTAGATTCTGTGCAATAAGGAAAACTGGAGACAGCTGCTTCGCTATAATGCGTTTCGATATGCAAAAAGAAGTGAGAAGGAAGGATAAAGAAACACGATAAGTCCAAATCTTGTTCAAAATATTTTGTGTATTATTTGAATATTTTTTGTATTTGTTTTTTGTTTTTGGTTTTTTTATTTTATTTTTCATCTAATTTGTTGCTCAGATTGTTTTTTTTTTTTTTTTAGTAATGCATTTATTAGGCGCATCATAACTTAACCTTACTTAGGCGTAGTGACTTAGTCTACTTAGTGGCTAGTATTAATAGTTAGTTATCAAATATATATTCAGACACGATGGCTGAAATGGTAGAGAGAAAACAAAAAGGATTAAATGATGTTTTTTTTAGCCAATTCGGTTAGAATTCAGTGACGCCTCGGTCGCCGCCTCGGTTAGTAGCTCTCCCCAAAGTGGCCGATGGCTAAAATCAAACGAGCGGTTTGGTATAACGGGTGAAAATGCCTTAAAGTACGGTCCTTAAAGCTACGTCCTTGCCTACCAAAGCTACCGGATGGGGTGTGGATCTCGAACGGGTCTCCTATTTCTCATTACGGGCACAGCCCCCACACGTTTTCGGCCACATTCTCCATACGCAAGGGAGTGTCTAATTTTAGAATACACGTTTTTATAGCCATGTGCCAAAAAATGTATTAAAATCAAATAATAACGCAAACGGCAAACAGCCGAGCAAAAATATTGGTTGCCAAGCGCCACAGAGGCAGACGTCGGCCCACACGTCGGTCTTCGAAGCTCATTGAATGCCAATTTCTCTAACCAAAACAAACCACTGGCCCTGCGATCGGGCCAGAAAGCGCTAGAAGACCAAACCAAAATAACAGCAGAAACAATAACAAGTGTCATGGTTTTCGGGCGATAAGCGGCGACAACAAACAAGCCATATATACCACATAGCTTACCCTGGTATATGACCAGCGATACCAGAACGCACCAGTCCCTGGCGCCTAGAACTTGTTTATCGGACCGACCCCGCCCCCTTCCCCGGCCAGAAAAAAGGCGTCAGCAACTTGTTTTCATCTCGGCGGTTAGCACAATTTACTGAATTCGATTTGTAAACCATGGCCAATTATCGCCACAGCCAGCACTGCGTATGAGTAATGCAAACAAGATGCCTTGGAAGCATAGGCGCAGGTAGCTTTGGTGGCAGACCCAGCTCCAGAATCTGTGTTTAGAGAGCAGTAGTTTCTATTACCTATCCGCGTTCCCGTGAACAAGGCATGTACTCCGCTTACACCACGGTTCGAGGAACAAAGTGCACAGAGCACATAAATAACGTCAGTCGGGGAACTCAAGAATCACTCGCTTGATTCATGAGAGAATCGGACCAACTACCTCCAACTAGCTGGCTGGTTGGCAAGATGCCCCTCGGACGGCTTACGTTTGTGTTTACGTTTCTGCTTTTTGTTTGTCGTCGCACTATTAAGTAATTGGCACACAAATAGCGAATCTACAGGTAGTCTCCGCCACCAGCGCCAACCCTGCGATGACGACAGTTCCGCCGATCAGTCGCCAGTGGGCTGCCAAAGGCATGGACAGTACATACCCCAAGTGCGCCTCTGGCACGTTTGTGTACGCATGAATCGGCGATAATTACCCCACGGGCTGGCTGGGGTGGGCAGTAATTTATAATGTCTGTTTGCACACGCTCTCCACAAATACAATACTTTCCACGGCCTCCTGTTGGAGCATTCCAGGCCTCTGTCCCCCATTTCCTGCACTTATCGGAGGTGGTTAAACTTTAAGATTAGATTGCGGCAACACGTGACGGGCCGGCTGGTCACCTCGAGTGCCAATAATAGTGAAACAGCCCATTGATATGTAGCTGAAAACAACTCGTTCTGGGCGGTTCGACTGGAAAACCCAACAGCCCCTCCTTTACATAAGCCTCCAAAGACGTCAGTGGGTCTGGCAGTCATACTGTAAGATCTGGCCGAAAATCGAAGCTCAATCGACGGATGGTGTCGCTCCCTGTTGACTCACACTCGGCAGTGATTCATGGCAGCTTCGCTAACAGCATAACAATGCCCACATGGTGCACAGAGAGAAAAAAGAGGCAGTCTTCCATTTGTAATCAAAATATTCCTAATCTTTAGTGGAAAACCCCCCGATTGATGGCCCATTTCGCGGCCGTTTCTCGCCGTGTATTGATTTACACAACTCGGATGCCTACTGCGGACAGTCGAGTCATTCAATGCCACAAGTTTCCACCGCCGCGGCGATCTGTGTCACAAAAATTTCCATATCGACATTGGGCAATGGAAATGCGCGTCTAGAATTGTGAAATCTCCGGGCTAATGGGAGAGCGGGGCACTAAATCAGAACAAGTGGAACGACTAGCGGAGATGCTGTCTAATTAGTGAAGTGGGTGTGGCCGCTCTCGCCTGGTGGAACGACCTTGGCGCTAACCACATCGCTGATAAGATAAATCACGAACATGGGAGGCTAGATTAGCGCCAATTACGACGGAAACTGCAGTGGGGCGCATCGCTGAGACTAGCGAGGAGCAGGTGATCTGGCTCACGTGATGGCCCCCAGCTTTCCAGAGCGACCTGGCACGTGATATAATCGCATTCGGCCAAAGTGCAAAGACCACTAAAGTTTGGCCCACAAAGTGCTGCAGAGGCGCAATTCGAGCCGATTCGATAAAATGTTTATGGCAGCACCACTACAAACGTGTGCACGTGCCGGATGGGTTGCTTGGCAACAGTTTTGGGGGTCTGGAGGCGAGCATGCCATGGAATTGGGGCCTGGCGAGGGCAACAATCCCCGACAAATGGCTCTCTGGCGTGCTGTCTAAGCGAAAAACCGCACTATAAACAGATACAGAATATCTGAATTTCAGATACAGATACAGATACAGATACACAAAGGCCAATTGCGGTGGAGGTTTCAGAACCAGAAGGAAGTTCTGTTTCTGAACTGGGAACTGCTCCCACGTTCGGCCCGGATTCCAACGCGTATCTGGCCTCCCACATCCATGGAACTCGACTAAAATAATGACCGCACTCGCCGTTCGGCATAACTGGGTCAAAAGACACTCGCATCCATCTAGTCGATGCACCGTGTCATGAGTCACAGGCGAACACAAGCGGGCCAGTGCATTAATCACCGCAATCGCAAACATTCGTGAATACTGCATGAGTTTCACAAGATCTGCTCGATGAGAGGGGGTCTGACAGGGGCCTGGATGAGGGGTCAGTCAGCCTGGCAGCCGGAGAAGTAACCCCAAGAAAACGTGAACGTGTCTACGTGCCGGTACCTCAAATGCCAATGGACGACGTGGAATCGCGACGATAAGATCAACGGACGAGCGGATCGGATCGAGATCGAGAACGGAGGACCGTCATCAGAACCGTCGCGAGCATCGGCGGATATATATCCGCTCATATAATTTATAACACTTTCCGAGGCTATTTATACCGCGCAGCGTAAACAAGATATAGTTCACCTTAAATAATACATATTAGTTACTGTTTATATTTTGGAGTGGAGTATCCACTGCTTGGGATGGGAGTCACTTTGGGGGAGTAGTCCTCCTGCTGTTTGCTTTGACGTGTTGTCTTGCTGAACATCTGTGAGTTGCAAGCCTACAGGGAGGCCCCTTGGGAGGACCTCCTTGTAACACAGACGTAGCCAGCAAACAAACACACTTTTCTCAGAGTTCTCATGCAGATTCAGGTCCTGGGTGTCTTCTCATGGAATGGTGGAGCTCATAATGGTGGATGCGCCGTTGACAAGATCCCGAAATCGAAAACAACGAGAGACAGCTGCGTATGGAAGCGTTTCTGGGAGTGGGCTGTTTGTTTTTCCTCCCCGGAGGGCTTAGCAACTGTCTCGTCGTGCAACAAACCCGAGATCTCACTGACGCTTGACACGCTGGACACGGGCACTATCTTGTGGATACACATGTGTGTTTTAGATACATTTTGTGCGTCACGCCCGCTCGGCGCTTTATCGCGTGTTTGCTTATCGCTCGGTCTCTTGTTTTTCACGATGGAGCTCCTCCTCCGGAGCTGATTAAGATGGCAGCCCGTAATGCAAATTATAAACACTTGAGGCGAGACGGGGACGCGTGTTTACCCGCGAGTGGCACTTGATAAGAAGCCCACCGCAGGAGCACCCGAATTCTATTATTTATAATGTTTGTTTTTTTCCTATCACGCGTGCAGAGATTATTTTTTTGAGGCCGAAACCTAAACGATTTTAAACTACTCCGTTGGTTTACGGTTGTTTCAGTTCATTAGCGCGGCTAGACATATAATTAAAGCGGAACACGTGACGTATGCGTAATCATATCCATTCAGTCGATGTAACTTTCCCCCCCAAAAAACCAATCCGAGCTGGAAAAAACCCGAAACGAAATGAAAACCATGCCGAGGCCAATCAAGGGGGGCTGCATATTTGATGAGCGGGTCATTCGATTAGCCCTTGGGTATTTATAGAGGAGAACGCTCCCAGGAGCTCGGGTGGTGGTCACCGAATACCAAAATAGCCAAATATAATGCTCAATCAAAAGGCACAGAAACGGAAACAACATTGGCGGTAGGTGGTGGGCGTTGGGCGGTGGGCGGTGCCACAACACAAAACTTGTTGACCTTCAAAAGGACACGGAGAGCCGCCCACTCCTCCGTCACCCCCGAGGCAGCAACACAGACACGTGAAGCACTCCCCTCCAGATATTTATAGCCACGTTTTGGCCGTTGACATTTAACGGGCTGGAACGAGCACTCGGCTTAAATTATTTACCGCCACTCTGGGCACACTAGCAGCGAGCATGTTTCAGCACGTTTCAATTAAATTCAAGTTCAAAAAAACGAGTCCACTGCGGGGATCCGGGAGGAGGGCAGCACCCGGGAAGATCACGTTTTGTTTTGGTTGAGGTTCTGGCGTTGGCTGTGGCTTCTGCTCGCCAAACACACAAAAAATAAAGATGAAAAATACTGCCGACCGACTATAGCATCTATATTCCGGCTAAGAATAGCGAATGGCGGACAGTGGACAGTGGACGGCGGACGGCGGACAGCGGACTGCCCACGTTTTGTGCGCCCGATTCTCGCGTTTGTTTTGCGAATGCAGGACGGCTATCTAGCTCGGCGGCTAAAAATACGCGGCCCACACATGAGATCCAAAAGAGATCCACACCCGATCCTGGCCAGCACGGTGGGAGCAGTGATAGAAAGGCTTACGGTATCTACGTAGTACTTCTATTCTAGAGCCACTAACTAACAGAGAGAAGACATCACAAATGTACACACTATAGTTTTTTAAAATATCTGTAGATTTGCAATATCATTTCGTAATATTTTCTCTCTGTGTGCTTAAACTAAGGTAACGCGCACAGGTGAAAGTGAGTCTTAAGTTTTGGCTTCGACTTTGACTTTGATTTCTTGGCACTGGTCGGGTCTTGGGCCTCTTTATACCTACCTCTCATACTTAACCGGATGTGCGGCGTGGCCGTTCGCCTCGCTCCAGTAGGGCTCCATTTTGATGGTGCTCCCCGATCCGCTCCCGCTCCCACTCCCACTCCCACTCCTCTCCCCGCTGCCGGTGGCGCCCTGGTATCCGCTGTGGGGGATTGTGACTTGGGGGAACTGTGACTGGGTCGACGTCGTCGCTGGCTGGAGCAGTTGCAATTGCGGTGGAATGGTGGAAGTGGTTCGCTCCTCACGTCACGCCAGAAAATTCAGGAAGACAAACGCCGGGGCGATATGATGGCTGAGCAAACAGGTTGGTTGGTTGTCCGACGCGGCGAATTGGTTCGGTTCCGGCGAAGTGCTCTTCTGGCTCCCTGGCTTCCAGCTGAATTGTAGGTACTTGGTGGTTTCTTGGTATCACACTTGGTTGTTGCACTTGTTAGTACCGGGTTTCAGAATGGCATTTCGGAGGGTGTTTATATGTTTATGTTGGAACGAGTGGAATTATACTGATAACTCTGTGGCTGTTTACTCTTTTCGCTTATCAGCCCTGTATTGGTATTGGTATTGGTCTGCGTGTGTGTGCGGCGATAACGATAGCGATAACGACGGGCCGACGGCGACGAGTTATTTTCTCCTTGGCTTGTTTTTTTTTTTTTTATATTTTAATAGCTAGCAGCAGCAGCCACAAATCTATTTTGGGACTTCAATTAAAGTGCACTTGTTGGAGCGAGCGAGAGCGACTGCGAGTGCGAAAACGCTGCACGAAAAACAAAGAAAACAAATAATGTCGAAAAACGTGATGGCGCGGCACTTCTTTTTTTGTTTGTTGGCTTTTTATTCGGCTGCTGTTTACACGTTTTCAGCTTTTTTATGAAATTTATTTGTTTTAATAATACACAGAACAGCAACAGCAACAATAACTTCCTTTCGTCTCACAGTGGAATTTTACCAGCAGCACCGCCACACAGATACATATGAAAGATGGGCGAACGTGCGAACGTTTTCGACTGCGTGTGTGTGTGTGTGTGCGTATGCGTGTTTCACTATTAAAGCACTTTCGTATGGCTGGACGGCTGGAGGGGCCAGCTAATTTTGCTGTTTTTTTTTTATATTTGCTCTCCCCTTTTTTTTTTTAGCCAAAAGCTGTTTGGATCGCCCCTTTGCACTGTCACTGCCCGTGGAGTGAAGTCCGCTCGAAACACGCCTGCTCGCGACAAAAGACAGAAACGAAATGAATGAACGGAGCCTCGGCCCGCCGCACGAGACCCCAAAAGAGCCGACTGGTCGTCAGTGAGAGCCGATTGATGACGTGCACGGCAGGCAACATGTGTGTGTGTGTGTGAGAGCGAGTTATCGCATTTTGTGGGCTGCGAACGTGATTGGTACAGTGGGACGAGCTCCCAAGCCCCCAGCGAATTTTACTGTCCCGAGGGGGATTCCGAGGCAATTGGCTTAATCTATTTAAATGTTTGCTTGTTTGTTTAAGTTTGGAAGCAGTATTTGAAACAGTGTTGGTTAACACTCAAAATGCACATACGTGGCGAACAGTGCGTATGAGTAATTGGTGTTCATATCACGCATTCGCCATGTGGGCCTACAAATGTTGTTTTCTGGGTTGTTTACTGGAAATAAAGACTGCTAGTTGACACCACTGTGCCTCTGATAGTTGGGGGCTGGATGACTAGACTACTTGTACAATTCACGGCACTTACACAACCGCAGCTTCTCTGGCTGCCCATTGTCTCTGTTGTTGCAGGCATAAATTAGTTGCGTGTGAATTATATTAATGAGCACTTAGACAGGCAGTTTGCTGCGAATAGGTGCACCATATGTTCTCAAGTGCACCCAAAAACACAAACTCTTTTGCGAGAGAATGAGCCCCCAAGTCCCGTTACAATGATATTCCATTGCGTCTGCACGAAAAACGAAAACATTATAGAAAAAAATATGAAAAATAACGACGCAGAAGCTCAAGGCGAACCGCAACAACAATAACACGAAAAACAGTCAACGACGGCATACAATAAAACACGTGAACGTGACAAATTCCAAAGCGAAATGGGCGGCGGCTGAGAGCGAAATGTAAGCGAGCGAGAGAGTCGCGAGAGCCTGGCTGATAAGCAGCACTTGGCAACAACAATCGGCACGCACACAGCCACATCGACTCGCTCAGCGAGCAACATGTATGGCGGCTGTATGTATGTATGTATGTATTTTAATAAACGAAATAATAATCATACGCTACGTTGGCCCGTCGTCTATCCTCAGCTTACGTTTTTTAATCGAGACACGTTGAGGCGAACCGAAAGTAACAAAAACAACTCAAAAATTCGTGGCATGACGTAATTTCTCACGCGAGCCGAGCATGTCAGCTATTCCAGTACCCACACACCCGGCCACACACACTCACACACACACACTCCCCGATGTGGCATTTAGTTTGTTGTTGGTCACGTGTTGTTGAAATGTTTTCGCATTAACGAAACGCTGTTTGTGTTCAAGTCGCTTTTGATTTTACAGTCGGCATTCCAAAGCTCAACTAACTAACAAATAATGAAAATATTGTTAGTATAACCTATTATAATCATCCATTCCAGACACATATCAGACTCAAAGCCATTGTAAAAAATATATACATATGTACATATTATTATAGTATTATGAATTAAAAGCTTATCCAGCTTGAAGGGATTTCCACTGTATCTCTTTGTGCTGGGGATTTCAGTATTTCGATTGTATTTAAATGGCTATTATGGCTATTTTTAGCCGCCCTAAAGGTCACACCAACATACTGTCACGCTCGCCGTAAGCCGCAGTCGCAGCCGTAATCCGTAATCCGAGATCGCCGATCCGTGATGACGAATGACATAAACGTGTCCAATTGGCCACTGGAAGCTTGCATAAGAGGTGGGTCAGGCTGTTTTTGTTTTGGTTTCGGCGTTTGCCGATCTATCAGTTTAATTGCATCGGGCACGTGTATCGGGCATCGTATTGCACCGCGTTACGTATACGCCCCGCCCGGTTCGAGCGGAAATTACAAATACGACCCGTGGGCCCAGCGGAGGGCACGTGAAAAGGCCCAGCGACTCGAAAACTAGCTTCACTTTTCGAGCTACTCATGTGCTCTTATCGAAGTTGTAATATACTGACTGACTCACAAGCTCCGACATTTTTACGGTCACGTGTTGCTAATCAAGAAGCGTTACGAGGGCCGGTGAATTTCCACGAAACCACATACATCAGTGCCATCACCACTATAGTGCAGGTCCGTGGCTAGGGAAAGTTTACCTTCAACAATGCAGTGCAAACAGCGCCGAGCTGGAGTCGCAGGCACAGCATGACAGGCCCCACTTACGGGTGGCGGTGTTGTTTTCATTTTCCAGTAGCTTTCCACACCCTCCCACTGGGCTTATCGGCCCTGCTCCTGGTTCTTCTGTTTACTGATTACCGGCCCCACCCCCGAGCTACAAGGCTGGAGCTCCATTCCGAAGTAGCTGCTGGAGTCCATCTATTTGGGAGTAGCCTTTGTCAGAAGTCCTAAGAGTGCCATCTGCAAGAGGCAATTGAATTTAAAATGGAAAATCGTAAACAAGCACTAAAAATAGACAGTATCTATATGGGTTTCATTCGAATAGATATTTTAGAATCACCTGGGGATATCATAAAGTTATATTTGATTTTAATATTGACTACAAGGCATCTTGCTTTAAGACTAAGGTATGGAAAAATAGTCAATAACTTGGCTATTTCGCTATTGATTTAAAAACAAATCAACCAATAATGAGTCAGGGTTAATGAATCAGAAAATTGAGTCAGATTTTATTTGGCAAGGTTTTGATTGGAAATGGTAGTAATCAAAGATCCGAGGGTACATATGTAAGCATTACACTCGTAGATATAACATTAATTGGAGGAGATATGAGTTTAATCGGGAATTAAATTTTTTTTCAGTACCACAATATTTAAAAGTAATTATTAAAAACCCCAAAAGAGACCAAAGATAGCACTAGGTGGAAATAACTAATAGATATTATTATGCTTATTATATTAATACATTATAGCTAAAGAATATCAACTTCATTTTTAGGAAAAGTCTATAAAAATTCAAAAAAATTGTATAAAAGCTAGTCTGGTTGGCAGTCATTATTTCCCGATTATCTGACAAATGAAACTGAAGCGTATCCATTACTTCCATTTTATGGTACTAATGATTTAATTATATTAATAGTAGTAACATATTTTTCATACGTATTTCTGATAATTCAAGAGTTATAGAAGACTCAAGCCCCAAATGTTGATGAGTACCACAAATATATGCACATTCATGGGGCAACTTAAGGTTTTCCCTGGCACTCACACCAGCTTATGTAATTGGCACCTTTAACTCACTTCGGACTTCAATTCAATTAGGAAGACTAGCTGACATTGAGGGGATCAGCAGACCAGCAAAGGGCTAATCGGAATGAGAAAGGGTGTGCACCAGATAATCCTTGTTTATCTTAACTGCCAGGGGGAAGGAAGCCAACTTCCTCAGCAGAAGTAATACCAAAATAGTTCGGGAATTTCAAACAATATAAAACTGATTCCAAACAGTAGAAATTGGCTTATCGGCTGGCGAAATTTCAATTTCAAAGTCGAGGTGAAATCAAAAATAATAAAGTGAGAAATAACAATACTGGCAAAAAGTACACACATCATCCATCGACTGATAAGATGTGAACAAGCTCAATAAAAAATAGAAATAAAAACGAAAATAATCTGAAATTAAACCGAAACAGCAGATTCGAGTGGAACGGGTCTGAGAGCCATAATATACTATATTGGAACACAAATTGCGATTGTTGGCGCTGCTGCTGATATTTCTATCTCGATGTTGTTGCTTCGCTTGTTAGGTTGTTGTTATGTAGATTAGAAATCTCGAGAAATGTTTATAAAAAGCCCCATAGCCCGGAGCCCAGGGACAGGGACAGGGGCAACGACACGTGCGCTCCCAGCTGGACAAATAAAAAACAAAAAGAAACGACTTTATTCTCGTATATAGGGACACACTCTCATATAGACTGTTGTTTGTAGACGAATGGCCGGCGAGTCATGGAATAAGTGCATGTACGGTGTACAGTGCCTGCATTAATTAGTCGCGAATGGGTACACTCGCACATGAAAGTGATACTCTATCAGAAAATTCCCCAACCCGAGCGAGCCAGGTGAGAGCCAGGTGGGGAACTGAATGGGGCAAGTCGAGAACAACAATTGGATTTAGATATAAAATGTAATAAAAGTCAGACTACAAAATATAAATAATCTCCCACAACCAGAAGCTTAAGTTACGTGAGCAATAAAGTTATCAAGCCCCATAGGAGAAGTGAGTTGTAATTAAACTATTTTTAAACCTACCTCTATGGAATCATAGTCCAAACATAGACTAGAACCCCATATCCGAGCCACATGAGAAATGATTTGTAATCATATTATTATAAAGCCTACTTATCCCTGGACTCGTATTCCGCAAATGTTCGTACGGATGGATGTATGTATATTTATTGGAGCCCCTTTTTTTTAACTTACCCAAGCAGCTTTCGATGAATTCCATTTGCCTTTAATTGATTTCGCGTTTGTTTACGGTTTCGGTTACGAGTTCTATTTCTGCCCAGCACTGCTTATGTAAAGCCGACAAATTGTTACACGTTTTGCATGCCAGCACTGCCGTTTCTGCTGCCGCTGATAAATCAGAGGCAGAGGCGGGTTTTGAGTTTCCTACTGGACTCCCCACGAGCCAGTCGAACGAAAATGCAAATAGCAGCAGCGACTGCGACAAGGTGACGCCTCTAACTTCACGGACTTTGTCACTACAGTGGAGCACCAGTAAGGTAATACGTTACAGTGAGCCCTAGTCTCTACAAAGGCCCTTTGTTTTGTTGCCAAGCCGGGCTTGTGCCCGTGGAGGAAGTCTCGCTAATGATATGCGCCCTCACACCGCCAGAGATCGGCTTTAATGGAATTGCATTAATTGAATTTGCATGTGATACATGCCCTGGGCCTCCCCGGGGCGAGGGAGGTGGCTCGGCGGTTACACAGCCACTTGGGTGGAAGGGGCAGGTTAACCCCATGCCTGCCTCTTGTCAAATCGTGTGTGCTAAAAATTGGAATAAGCCAATGTCTCGCCGGCCAGTCTGCTGCGCCTGTCATGTTTTCCGCCGCCGGCTTCCACCGCCAGTTAGTCCTCCCACGCCTTCTGTGATGCAACGGCGAGGGGCTTAGCACGTTACGCATACGCCGTGGAGGCCGTTTCGCGGCTGATAAGTCCCAAAGAACAAAGACACTAGGCATGCTGCAACGGCTGCTTCAATTACCCTATGTGGGCTGTCTCTGCCTCAGCCTCAGCCCGGTTGCAGGCGAGTGTGCTTGCGAGGTGGTTACATGCACGTGGGTGGCTAAAATGCCATTGAAAGCTGACTTTGACGCAGTTCTCGGCTCTCGCCCTCCGGCAAACGGCTGTCAGCCACATAACAAACGTGCTGGGCGCCTGTCGCTGTCTGCTTATCCCGCCTCCGGCCCGCCCCCTATATATCTGCCGTATCCGCCCTGTGTGGGTCACCTCAAGGCGATTGTATGGGTACGCGTGTTAGAGCCCGCCTCACTCGAAAAAACATTTGTGGTTTCTCAATCTCAGTGATGATATATATATTATCTACCTTTGTACATAGATGTAGGTCACTTAGAGACTCGGTTTCTTTGATGGACACCTGTCGAGGATATCCTGTCAGGGAATCCCACAAATTCTTCAACACTATCTCTTGAAGAATTCGTAACCTCGGGATTAAGTTGTCAGCCGGAAATGAAAAGAATGTGCTATTATAAGTAAATGACTTTTTTTTTAGTGTATGTGGGGGAGTGGGGATCCCAGCTGCCAGTTGACTTGAATTCGTGGTTTTGAAAGGCACTGGACTTGACACATGCATGGGAAAATCATGAACAGCTTCCCCCCTGCTACTCTGCGGCGCAGAAAGACAAAAAAAAAACTTTGATAGAATCACAAGGCGGGCTAACCAAAACAAAACCCAATCCGAGTGCAGTGCAATAAATTCCAGGTTATGGCTAGCTGACTGCTAGCTGCGCTAATGTGCAACACGTGTGCTCGGCGCTCACCTGAGCTACCTGAGTGCCTTGCCCAGGTAATTAAACCGAGCAAAGGCAGGAAAAAAACGAGAAAATAGTAAACAAGCAACGTAAGGGGTAGCCAGCCACTTTTATTGCTTCATTCCTGTCAATATATTGTTGTAATTATGGCAAAGTGTTAAAATGCAATTCGCAACAAATTAATTAGCGGGGAATGCGCAACAAATTGGTCACGTTTTCGACGAAGGCGGAAAAATGCGAGGTGAATCTATTAATCATAACTGACACTGAGCGTGAAGTACGTGAAAGTTGTTCTTAATAGGCGGAAAACTATTAAATATCTTGGCAAAGCTATTTGAATTTGCCGCCATTGCAATTGAAAATGGCCTAAACAGGCTGCGGCCGTTTATTAGCACTAATCCGCAATCAGCTGTTGGTGTTGCCAACCAATAACATTTTTTATCGGTTTTCAACACTGTGGCCAGCTGCTGGCTGCAACAAATTATTATTTTTTGTTTTTACCACTTAAAGTGGGGTTTTTAACAGGGAAACCAAGAGGATCTCGGCCTGGGAGAGTTCCAAGTGAGTGCTGTGAGCCAGGAGCGAGTGGAGCCTCGCGAGGAGTGTGCATCGGTAAAGGCAGCCCCTATTTTAGGGGCCGGAACATGACAGCGAACCGATTGGTTGCCAGGCAACGAAAAAAGGCCCAAACACAAGTTACGTTACGTTTCCTTACACTTCCTTCCGGTCCTGTTACTGCGCCGTAATATCCAATTGGAAAACCCAACCATTGACATCAGGAAAATAGGAATACCTCTCCCATCCCAGGAACTCCAGCAGCGAAAACAAACCAAAGAAGAGGCTCTGCTTTCGAATCCGGAAAATGCGCCACTAACCGGGGGATACCCAGGAGCCGAGCTCCTTCACTCGATATGGTAAGTTCTAGATTCCAGGATTACATGCTTCTAGGATCTAGCCCGTAAGCCTGCCCCGTCCCTTTTCGGCCAACCAATTACAAGCAAAAAAAAACTTTTAAAAAGCAAAGCCAAGTCGAAAGATCAAAAGCGGGCGAAAGTTTTCTCATTTTCAGCCAGCCAGAATTTTCATTGAACGAGAAAATGAGAAAATTACCCAACCAGCTAGTCAGCCAGCCAGCAAGTCAGGCAGCGAGTTTTCCCAGGCTCTTGGGCCTCTGCCGCGGCCTCAGAGTTGCGTTTCCATTTAAAGACAATTAAGTCGAGTCCTTGCGGCGGCCAAGCAATCCGTCGAATCCACCAGCCAGCCCGGCTGTCAGTCATCCCCTTGATCCTGCACCCTCGCCAGTTGTCCTTGCCCCCGCCTCCGCCACCGCCACCTTCCGCGCACCACTCCATATGGAGTGTGCCATGGCCGGTTGCACATTACACCGAGTCCTAGCGCCAGGTGTAAACCGTCCATCTACAACTCCAGGTGCACTGAGAAAATTAAATCGAACTTGAAATTATAGAATCATAAGGCAGTATAAGACTTAATAGATAATAAGATAGATATTATTCCTATTTCGAGTTTAAGGAATACTTTTTACTTCTCAAAACTTTCCCAATTGAAGAAGAAATAAAAAGAAAACTTAATTAAAAATTAAAAAAACACGCAATTCAGTGTAAAACCATCCTCCCGTGCACTTCCGCTTTGCTGCCTCGCATGGTGTCCTGCTTCAGTGCCTTCGTCTTCGGTCCCGAAAGGAGATGTGGGATGGGAATGGGAAACGGGGTAGATGAGGGAGAAGGGCAAGGACACTGCCGCAGTGGGGGGCGGGGTAGGACAGGCACATGCCGCACGCCCAGTGAGCGAGTGCCATATTACATTCATCATCTTCATTTGATGAGTCCTGTCCCGACTAATGAATGTCAATGTCATTCGGCCATCAGTTCCAACCTGGAGCAGAAAAAGGCGGAATTTTCCATCCGAAAAAGTACCAACCGAGTACCAAAAATTGCAACTATTTTTGGATTGGAAGGAGCCAGTTAAGCTGGTAGGTTTAGACCAGCTTCTTCCCCCAGCCATTTATAGTCAGTGCCTTAATAACATCCCCGAAAAACCTACAAAAATGCATAATATATTAACCAACTGGGATCCGTTCTTCACAGCTGCACCTTCACTGTAATTTGTGTGTCCTGGCACCAGTTGTGTGTCCTGTGCCTCACACATGTCGTGGCCAGAGGCGGACCTGCTGCAACTACTAGGTGGATTTTCAAAATAGGAAAGAAAGCGTCACGCTGTCTGAGCTTGGGTCGCCCACCTTGGACCTCACTTTCCTCCGTCCCTATGCCAACGCAGCTGCCGCCGGGGCGGGTTACCATTCGAAAGGGGGTCAATGGCATAAGGTGGCCGAAAGTGCAGCGCCCACACTCCCACCCCTTTCGATCTGTTTGGAGTTGAATTCGGTACAGTCCTACAGCCACCTAACCTGTCTATACCTCTCACCCTATATATAGGCCAAGTTAGAAGCATGGTTTATAAAGAAATGTGGTCAGAAATGTGTAAAAAACAGAGATACAATCAGTACAGCTGTATATATTAGACCTCCCATAGGAGAAAGTTTAGGAAATTATATTCCGTAGTGAGAACATGGCCTCCAGCTCGCACCAAATGCGATTGGTATTCAAATGAGCCACCCTCCTGCCACAAGGTCCTGCCAACGGCTGCAGGCCAGAACAGCGTTGCAGCCACTCAGAGTGCATTTGGCCAACTAGCTATTACCAAACTATAAACTATCAACCCCCTGTTGGCCATTGTCATTGCCAGCCTGTTCTGTGTTCGGTGTTCAGTGCATTTGGGTTCGAGCTGCTGCTTCGGTTCACAGTTCACAGTACTTCCTGGCCACGGATGGCTAAAAAGTTTTCCCCGCTCCGGTAGTTGCATGTACACGCTCGACCAAAACAGACCGCAGTTGGAACAGAAAGCAGGACCCCAGTGCATACATATCGGTAACTACATTATGGAAAATCCTCACCCAGAGAGAGTCAGTGAAAAGCTATGAAAAGCTGGCCAGAGAGAGCTGGCGAAAATATCCCGAAAAGTTTATTTGATCGATAATTTGGCGTTGCGCGTCCTTAGTGATTTATTTCCCTTCGGGGACGGGGTGTGTGGGTGGATGGGCCCTGTACAGGTGCATACTGTACAGGTGTAAACAGTAAACAAGAGCAGTGCCGTGTGGGTGTCGTGACTAGGAAACTTCCCCCGACTAGCTGACTAGCTACTAGCCGGGACTGCACTTTTCACGCGTCAATTTATGAGCTCGCTCCCCGCTCGGCATTTCGTTTCGATTCGTTTGGTTTGATTTGTGCACTGGAACCCCATCGCAGGCACTTTGGGTTTCCGTCCGGGCAACGCACTACCTTCCTTACCCGGTCCCCCACCTGGCCACCGCTTGCCACGCCCCCGACTCCCCGGTCTCGGCGTCGTTTATTGTTTATAAACAAAACTTTGAAGCGCAACTCCAGACTAGGAGTGACGTACGCCGGGTCGTTGCTTCTGTCCGCGCTTTCAAAGGGGTCCTGCTCCTCCTGCTCCTGCGGCCCACCCCTGGCCAGTATCCTGTTCGATTCCTCTGTGGTCCCGTCTGGCACTCCAGGACTCCATAGCTTATTTACCTCTAGCCGGTTGCCCTGAGAACAAGTGCATGTAGCAAGTGCAGAAGTGCCTTGGAAGAAGGCCCAGCAAGTGTGAAAGTCAGAGGCAGTGAATCTTAAATAAACTTAGGAATTATTAGTCCGAGAAGAGCTTAATTGAAGTCTCATATCAATAGCTTCCATTTCAGTGCTAATAGTAGTCCTTGTTCTACTCCAAAGTGCCTTAAGGTGGAAAAATAACAACTCTCTTTAAGTGGCCGTGGGCCGAAAGCCCAGGAATGGAATATCCCGGCGTGGGATTATGTAAGTACGGGAAAATCTGCATTCGCGAACACTTCCCCCGAGCTGTAATCACTCACTAAGGATAATTAAACTTCAATAGTAGCAGCCCCAGGCTGGGATTTGGACATCCTGCCATCATTTTCTTAAGAATCGATTGTGTTTATATTTAAGGGCCTATTTACTTTAAAAATGGAAGAGTTCAGGCCCTTTATTCTGTAAGAGATAGTTTAGAGATAGTATTTTCCTGAGTAGAACGCTCCCAAGATAGACCAAGATGCCCGCCCAAAAGGAAAAATACAAAATGGCCGCCCGGAAAAAATACGTCGTAGTACACAATAGACATCCTTCGCTCACAACTCCCCATATACAGAGATATTTTTGTGCTTCTGCTGCTGCTGCTGCGAGGAGAACAAAGCAATGAGGAAATCAAAGCAAGAAATACCTGCGAAAAGTTTAATTTCATAGCAACGCCCTAGCGGAAGCAGCAGAAATCAACCACCACCACCACCACCGCACCACCTGGGAGCGACAAAGGACCCAGTGGGTGGGGGGAGGCAGGTGGAATGGGCGTCCGAACGGCCCACCCATTATTGAAGACCTGCTCTTTGATTGCCGACATGCCTTGCTGATTTTTCAGAAATTTTCAATTTCCTTCGCAGCATTCCTCGAAATCACAAATATTTCATTTTATTCCATATATGATTATTAGTATCTTAGTATCTTAAACTATAAAGATAGCAGTACTAACTAAAAAACTAAAGTAGAATGCTAACTAAAATCCCAGTAGGCAGGTTCTTAAATTCCCCTAAAATAATCCAATCAATACCATTTTAAATTAATTGAAGTAATTAATCGATTTGTCCCCCTTCCAGCTACCGGAAGTAGAGTCCCTAGACCAAAAGAAATCCTAATCACCGTTGTTGCCTTATCTCTTCGAAAGAGAGACTAAAACTTAGGGAGAAGGGACGAGCTTACTAGTCATCGAATTTAGAGCACCGAAGGTGCCGAACAACCTGAACGGGATTTCCTCCTCCGCGCACCCAACCACACCACAAACCAATGACCACACGCCTGGCCCCGCAGCGCCAATTCATCATCTCGACGCGCTCCGCCATCGTGGATGCCACCTCTCCGCCGGAGGACCCTGCCGAGGAGCAGCTGACTGTCGAGGTGGAGAGCGTATCCGCCGCGAACACCTCCGACTCGCCGCCGCCCACCGAGGAGTTTGAGTTTTGCACCGAGGATGGAGTCGTTGTCTCGGCCACCCTGGAGGATGTTATGACGCAGGTGAGGCTTCGGGGGGTGTCCGTTTGCTTCAATGATTTCCCTAATGAATGGCTCCCCCATCTTCTGTTCCCGTTAAGAACTGCCAGCTCCTGCAGAAGAAACTAGGGGACGACGACGACACGGGAGTGGGAACGGGCCACGACAGCGAGCAGCTGGAGGTGATCCGCGTGGTGCTGCCCATGGATGCCGGCGACTCCAGCAGCGAGGCCCACCTCCACGGGCATGTGGTGAACAGCAGCAGCGACGCCATCGGAACGATAACCACCACGGAGCCCAACGGCACCACGGTGACCCACTCGATTCCCATCCACAGCATGGCTGACCTGAGTGCCTTGAAGGACGGCGTCGATCTGGCCCAGCAGGTGGCCAATGGCCAGGTGACCGTGGTGCAGGCCACCGAGGACGACGATGGAACGCCCTTCATCACAGTGACTGGTGAGTTCGGGAGCATGATTTCTGAGTCTCAAAAGGTAGATATACCTATAGATAGTCCCACTCAAAAGATCACAATCCCTAAATCAGATATCCGTAAATCGGATACTGGTGCTTATCTATCGATTCCGCTTGTTTTCGGAAACAAACCCGTCATGTGCGAAAACAGATGGATAAAAATCAATCCCGACTTCGGGATGTTTCTTTTTTAATGAGCCAAAAAACTGCAGAGCCGCAAAAAAGCGTATGTCACCCATTCATTACGGATGAGGGCGACGAGCGGGAAATCCTGTTGGCAGGACCAGCGGTTGAGGTACCACGGGCAGGGGGGGAACCCAGAAAATAACAAACTGCAAACAACAAACAGCAAAAGTCGCGGCTTTGTAAACAAATATAATGACAGGATCAACATGTCCCTGAGCAGAGGGCGGGCGGGGGTACTGACTGGAAACAGGACCAGAACGCAGGCCCGGAGCAGGGCCCGGACCAGCTTAAAATCCGGCGCGTTTTAAACGTTTGCCTGATATCACAATTAAAACGACTTAATTGGGAAAACGAAATGGGCGGAGTGGCAGGATGAATGGACGGATGGGTTGACGGATGGGTGGTTAGACAGATGGATGGGCCTGCACCCTGCAGAGGATAATAGATAGAAGATACCTGTCCACAGGATACACGACACGGCGCGACGAGGCACGTGCTTGGCAAAAAGCAACAAAGAGGCAAAGTGCAGCTGGGACGGATTGGGAGTGATATCCTTCCGTCGGAAGTGGTAGGTTGATACATGATTATTATATTCCACTCGAGCGCCGCACAATGAATTAATCGAGATTACACTTCCCGCACAACTATCTCAGCGGAATCGGAGAGGGTCGGCGCATGTTTGCCGACGTACTTGATTTTATTAGCACAAATTACCACCACCAGACCGACCCTGTGTCCTGTCCGAATGGCAACATCGGGTAATCACAACAAATTGAGAGGGCTTCTCACGGGAAGGGGGCATGATCCCGGAGCGGTAGGGGTGAGCCCGCTGCCCACGTGGATGAGTCGACGACTCGCTAATAACCGCCCGCTGTCAGCTAATACCTTCGTTTCTGATACGGGGCTTACCAGCTCCGACACTGCGAGAAATGGAAGACCAACTCACCTCCTTAATTCGCCATGTCCTTTGACCGATTTCTCTCAGTGCATTGATTAACAATTGCAATTGATGCGGAATCTCTTTCATATCTTTGGCGGAAGAGCATCGAGGCTGGAGAGCTAAAGGACTCTGGGTGTGTGTATCCCACCTCCTCGAGTATGTTGGATTGTATTTTTCAATTGATACGGATTTGTGCCGGGTGCTCATCGAGTCGACGAGGCAGAAGACGACGAGCTTAACATTTAATAACGACAGCAACTAAAAATAGAAAGTACAAAGCGTCCGGGAATCCGTACCAGTTGGAGTGGTTGGGTGATTGGCAAGTGGGTGGGAGGCACTCCTGCTCCTGGAGATCCTGGAGCGGGCTAGTTAGGGAACTGCCGCACATGCTGGGCTTCTCTTTTAATTGTGCCAACACAAAAGTTTATTATTTTGATTTCTGCCGGGCCATCTAGATAAGCGGAAATTTATTCCTCAAAGCGAAGCGAGTGCTATCTGGCAGTGGAAATCGCGGCAGCGAAGCTCTACAAAGGACTCACCTCTGCCCGACCTCTGACCCCTGCTCATCCCTGATCCTGAGTGCCCAGTCCTCGCCCATAGGATAATTGTTTGTTGACGTTTTACTAGATGCAGGATAAGCCAGTTGTGCAACCTCCTTCCCCGGCTATCCCTTTCTCTGGACTGCTATCGTTATCCTGGCAATTTGTGCTTTGCTCCTTTTGCTCCTGAGCTTGGGGAGTGGAGCTGAGAACTTGGCCAAGTGGCGCAGATTGCGCTAAAGTGGATATTGCAATAAACCTTTTCAACTCTTCAATATATTGAATGGGAATCTAAGGGGTTTACTCATCAAGATGGTGAGCCATTTCATTGAATTCTGGGAGGAATAATGGACATCCTTTGTATATGGCTGGAATCTAGGACATAAATAGACTATTCCTTCGTCCGAAATATAGAATATAAAATAGAGATATATAGTTAGAATATAGAAATATTAAAACGGAAAGTCTCAACTTAAACCCATGTGTATAAGGTCTAAACACCAGCCTTTAAAGATTAAACTCATACCTGTGAGCTCCTTTACTTTACTTCTATGGCACTAAAACGGACCTTTAAGGATAGTAACCATTTTAATTGTTTCAAAATAGCATCTCCAATCTGTCATCTTCATCTGCCATGTCAAGCTCGATGCATTCCACAGACATTTTCCAAACAAAGCCATTGAGAGCCAAAATGTTTTGGCGAAAGTGCGGTCCACTTAAGCGGACCTCAAAAGATCTGTGACTAAAACTTTAGAGGACAAATGTCAGGACCTCCGCCCCCAGCCTCAGCCCCCTGCCCGCTCGCCACTTGCAAATTGCTGCGTTTGGCCCAAGGGGCACCTGTTAATATTTACAGTTAGCAGCGTCAAAGGGAAAAGTTTGGGGCAAGGGTCGCTGGTCGGTGTGGGGCGGCGGGGGCTGTGCGGTGGGTGTTGTATCCCACAGAGCTGACCGCAGAGACTCCAGGACACACACGCGCACAGGAGGTCCTCGGCAAAGGGGCAGAATTAATATCTGAAATATGTCATGTCAACAGGAGCAGCAGAAAGGCACCTGAAAGCCCCGAAAAAAGTAAGAGAAGTGCGGGTCCTGACCACGAGGATGAATATGGAAAAATTCCATGCATGGCACGCCATTCCTGGTGGCTCCTTCCCCGGCTCCCAGTCCCAGTCCCAGTCCACCTTCCCAGCGAATCACCCCAAATCCGCCCATGGAAACTCCCACATTGCCATTCTGTTTTTTGGAGGACTGCCAGCAAGCGATTTGGTTGGCCAGGATACAGAGCCAGCACCCAGCACCCAGCATCCTGCAGGACCTCGGGGTTGCTGGGCCAGAGCGAGAGAGCAACAGGCAGAGCGCAGAGCGGGCTGCGAGAGAAGCCGGAGCAAGAGAGAGAGGCTGCCTAGCAACCGGAAGTGGAGCGGGATTGGCTGAGCGGCGTCGCCTTGACACCCTGCGTCGTCGCCCTGTTGCCGTCCCGCTCCGGCAGCATCCCCCTAGCATCCTTCCCGGTGACTCTCGAGCTCGACAACACCACCACTTGTGCAGATCCCAGAAAATGCGACTTTGAGCCCGGAATTAGCCAGGGCCTCCACGCCGCCCGAAGAACCCAAAACGGGAAAAAAAGATACCTGTGTTCAAGGGTCTGGGTTGGATTACTCGCTACGGGCGCACTCGGATCATAATAGCAACCACCCACAGCACAGCCACCCGGCCCTGCAGCCACCACCCTGCCCACCTAAAACCCACCCACCCACCTGAAACCCAACCCAGCAACCACCGAGTCACCGTTGTTGTAATTTAATTCGTTGCTGCGCCGCCGTCGTCGTCGTTTCGCCAGAGTTTTCGCCATCCTCGCCATCATCATCATTATTTTCGGAGGCATATTGCTAGGATAACATTTGATTTTGGATTCAGTTGTAATTCTACCGTTCGCACGCACACAGGTTGCTCCTGCTCCTGCTCCTGCTCCACCGCCATCGTTGCCATTACCGGTGCCGTTGTCTTAACCGTTACTACTCCAGTTGCCGTTACCGCTACCGCTACGGTTACCGTTACCATTGCCATCCAGAATCCGTTCGGTCGATTCTTCAATACCATCCGCAGCAAACCAAACACCACCCAGGCCGGAAGAAGAGGTCAGGTCAGGTCAGGTGGAGAAGAAAACGAGGACTTCACTTTCGATTTCCAAGCAAGAGGACTCTGTCCTGGACGCAGTTGCCACAACAACGCCAAGGAGGCTGTTCTTTGGATTAGCAGGATTGTAGGCTACAGGACACTCCAATTTTAATATTTCCATCGGGACTCGGAGCTATTGTTGGGAAACCTCAAGACCACCGCGTTTGGATATTCATTTCGGAGGACCTTCAAGAATGGTCTCAGATCTCGAAGCAGAGCTTGGATCAGGATCGCCTTACTTGGAGTACCTTTGATTTTGGCCATCCCAGCAACAAGTCCCCAACAAACCCTAACCTTAGGATATGATTTCATGACCTCCGAAGTTCTGGCTCATCATAATCCATAATATTCGGATGCAGTTTGCTTCTTCCGGTCTGGACAGGATCTCAAAACTCCAATCTGATCCTGCCATTTAACATGCTTGGTTCTCTACCTAATCTCCACATCCCCCTGCTCGGAGTGCATCCCACTAAGACCTGTTGAGCAACATCCCCGGTTCAGGTGCCACCAATGCATTCGCGGTACGGCTTTGACTGCCAGACGCGCCACCACTACCATCCGCAACAGTCGCAGCAGCACCACCACCAGATCCAGCAGCTCCAGCAAATCCAGCACCTGCAGCAACTGGAGTCGCCGCCGCCAGTGCCCGTGATCAGCCCCGGAACCGCCGCTGCCGTGGCCTACTCGAACCTCCTGGAGAAGTGCCGCTGCAAGCAAGCGTCTGGAGCCTCCAACCCGTCCTCCGCGCCGCCACCGCCCCCTGCCCAGCTCCAGCTGCAGCTGCACCACCATCATCACCACCACCACCACCAGACCTTTGTGGCCACAGCCAGTGCCGCCTCGTACAGCAACTGCTCCGGTTCGGGGAGCGGTATCAGTAGTGGAGGAGCCAGTGCGGCCGTGGGCTCCACCTCCTCGTGCGCCGCGGGCCCCACCAACTCGGTGCTATCCGGGGGATCGGCCACCAGCACAATGTACCACCACCACCATCGACGTCACAATAACCTTTCCTATTGCGGTGGTAAATATTCTTCTCCATTTCGAGTTCCTTCGCCTGTCAGACTAGAGTGTCCTGGTGGTTGGGTATTTGTATTTATATTTGCATTCCAAGCACTCGGCAGGAGTGTCAAGAGTGCTCATCAATGGGTCGTGAAGAAGAGAAGGTCTCAAGACCTCTGTCGACCGAACCATTAAGAGTTATTGGATTTTTAGCACCTCAGTCTAGTCATAGAAACAGCCATCAGAAATAGCCATATTTGAGATTCAGTTAAGACCAACATACCGACGGAAACTTTTCACAAAGTTAACCTCCACATGAATATTTTTATTAAAGATTACTATTAAATCACCCACAATATTCACGATTTAAATAAACCTTTATATCTTCTTGCAGTTTCCGGTCAGGAACAGAACTACCAAGTGCAATATGTGGACTCTGAGCTGTACCACAGCAACTCTAGTCAGACGCAAATGTGAGTAGGCATTCGGGTAAACAGAGACCTCAGCTTGACCATCACCCTTCTGTTTCCCCTCCAAGGACCTATCCGTTCTGCCCGGTGGGCGATTACCAGGGCAACGGGCAGACGGCCTACTACTCGACCACGGGCCAGTATGGGACAGGCTCCTCGGCCGGGGGCGGAGGCGGCTCCTCGAACGGGGCCCACTCCACCACGCTGCCGTACCTTGTTCCCGTGGAGGAGAGCCTGCTGCTGAACAGCACCGCCCATTCGCTGACCCAGGCACAGTCGCAGCAGGGCCAGTCGCAGGGGCAGGTCACAGGACGCGGCGACTCGCCGCACAGCCTGACGGTGAGTAGGAGTCGGGAGTGGGAGGATGCGGTAATCACTAATCGGAGCCACTGGGTGCAGGAGGTCGCGTACATCCAGGAGGCGCAGAGCACGCCCCAGACGCCCACCTCTACCACGACCACGCACTCGGCCAGCGGCGGCAGCCTGGGCACCGGAGGCGGGGGCAACTCCCCGGCAGACTCGGAGCAGAGTGCGCTCGGCAGCAGCAACAAGATTGCCTCGGCAACGGTGAGTGCAGCGGCAGAGCCGCCATGGCAACAGCATCCCTGCCCATCCAATTGGACCGTGTGCCTACATGTATCCCGTTCCCTCTCTCGCAGATCAAGTGGCTGTCACGCAACTACGAGACGGCCGACGGGGTGAGCCTGCCCAGGAGCACGCTGTACAACCACTACATGCAGCACTGCAGCGAGCAGAAGCTGGAGCCGGTGAATGCTGCCAGCTTCGGCAAGCTGATACGCTCGGTGTTCTCCGGCCTGCGCACACGTCGCCTGGGGACGCGCGGCAACTCCAAGTACCACTACTATGGCATCCGCATCAAGCCTGGCTCCCTGCTGAATCACCAGACGATGGACGACAAGGCTATGCTAGGCTCGGGCTACGGGCCGTCCTCCGGCGGATCTGGCTCCGGTTCCGGCGGCGGCACTTTGGCCAGCGTGAGTAGCAGCACCGCCGGACAAATGGGACCCAATGGCCTGGGCGGCGGTCCGGGACACCGACACAGTGGCGTCAAGAAGCACACATTTAAGCCGGAGGCCTACGAGGCCTGCATTCAGGTAATAATTCTAGCTATGTGGATCGGGTTTCCATTAGGATGCATACACATATCTGAATCCCTGATAGACTTACCATATATTTTGTCCATCCATTCCCAGTATATCGGCGATGGGAGCAGTGCCCTGCCCTCGTTTCCGGCCATTGAACTGAACCACAGCTTCAACAGTGAGCTGACCCTGGAGGACGTGGACACATTCCGTGCACTGTACCGGGAGCACTGCGAGTCCTTCCTGGACGCCGTGCTCAATCTGGAGTTCAACACCGTGGAGTTCCTGCTGCGCGACTTCTGGCGGGCCAGCGACAACAACAACCTGGACGAGTGCGAGGAGGAGAAGTACTTGAGCAAGTCCAAGCTCTACCTGCTCTGCCACTGCGCAGAAGTGCAGAAGTTTGTGCGCGAGGTGGGTGGGGGCCTCTGAGAGAGGAGAATGGGGGATGGGGAGGTGGATCCATCGTTCCCGATTTCACAAACTATTAAATTTCAAAACAAAGGGTTGGGCAGAGACCCCGTTTAGAGCGGTGAATAATAGGTATCTTGTGGTTTCCTCAGGTGGACTATCAGTTCTATCAGAACACTGTCGACGTCATCATTCCGGACGTGCTGCGCTCCATTCCCAACGCCCTGACCCAGGCCATCCGCAACTTCGCAAAGAACCTAGAGATCTGGCTGTGCGAGAGCTTGATGGGTGTGCCGGAGCAACTGGTCCAGATCAAGACCAGTGCCGTCTCGGCCTTCTGCCAAACCCTGAGGCGCTACACTTCGCTGAACCACCTGGCGCAGGCCGCCCGCGCCGTCCTCCAGAACGGAGCCCAAATCTCTCAAATGCTCAACGATCTGAACCGCGTGGATTTCCATAATGTGCAGGTGGGTAGAGTGGACTTTGGAAGACATTAGGATCTCTAACTAATCGAGTCTTTTTCTCTCCTAAGGAGCAAGCCGCTTGGGTGAGTCAGTGTGCTCCGGATGTGGTCCAGCGCCTGGAGAATGACTTCAAAGCCGCCCTGCAGCAGCAGAGCTCTCTGGAGCAGTGGGCCAGCTGGTTGCAGTGTGTGGTGGAGTCCGCCATGGAGGAGTATACTGGGAAGCCGAGCTACGCCCGAGCTGCCCGGCAGTTCCTGCTCAAGTGGAGCTTCTATAGCTCCATGATCATCCGGGACCTGACTCTGCGCTCCGCCTCCAGCTTCGGCAGCTTCCACCTGATCCGCCTGCTCTTCGACGAGTACATGTTCTACCTGGTGGAGCACAAAATAGCCGAGGCACAGCACAAGACAGCAATCGCAGTAATATGCGAAAGAATGGTAGGACTTGGGCTTTCCACCCCTTTGGGAATTCCAGATCTCAATATCCGTTGCATGTTTTTGCAGAAAAAAGACATGGACTTTGAGTTCGAGTGCCAGTTCGCGTACATCACCAGCGACACGGAGCAGCAGACTACGCCCAGTTCGGCCAGCAGCGTGGGCAACGATGTGGTGGGCAACGAGGCCAAGCGGCTGAAGCAGGAATGAGGCGTCGCGAGGCCTTGGAAGGGAGTGCTCTTAGTGTTAGCCAGTAATCAGTAACCAATCACCAGTCAGTCAGTCAGTCAGTCACAGACCTTCAGATCTGCATTTAGTAGTCGAACCGTGTTGTATAATCGTAACCGTATTCGTACCCTATCCATGTGTGTTAGTTTATAGCCCTAAGTTCCCAACACTCACAGCGTAGTCAGTCGAAATTTTAGTGGTTAGTTCAAGGCAAGCTCCAGAGCTCGTTGGCGCTGAAAGCACTCTTGGTGGAACTGTGCATTTCTGTCGAGGAATGGTTTTACTTTTAGGGCAGTTACGAGGCTGAGTCTACCAAGAGGGCTGTTTGGCAATCCACGAGCCTGGACTGCCCCCGCATCGAAGTGAAGAGCCGTCCAGCAAGCAGCAAGCAGGAAGCCAGCAGCTGTCCAGCACGGCTCCTGGCCCTCATCGCCTGCCCTGATCTGTATTCGTAGGATACGTTTTAGTTTAAGTACATGTGCATTAGTAATTGTAATTTATGAGTACGCCTACTCAGCTGTCTACTGTCTACTGTCCACTGTCCACTACGGTGACGACAACTAAACGATAGGTTCGAGAGATGGCATCAGTTTTGTCTGGTTTCAACGAAAACGATATTGTACATCATGAAGCGCACGGCGCACCTAGACGCATGAGGAGCACACTCGCGCACTCGGAGGACCCTGGTCAGGTGTGGATCAGGTGGGGAGTATAGCACATAGGATATACACGTAGCGAGAGGAACACGGAAACATAGCTCACATCGAAACAGCTTGCTCAACTAATATAGGAGGAACACACAGCTCAAAACTTAAAACTCAAAACTAATCTAAGTAACAACAGGCCTTAAATGTGCAAAGATCAACACTCAATTTTGAAACAATACAATTTACGAATACCTATATAGACTAAATATATATGTGGATCATGAATGTATATGTATATTTTAACTGAAAGTGAGTTCCACTTTACTACCAGGAGCAACTATTTTAACAGAGGCGCTTATCAGGGTATTTTACGCCGTTTTGGGTGGGAGCACGCCGCAGCTAGAGTAGCTGCTTTTAAGTCGACTACATAGGTTTAGCCAACTATCTAGTCCCTAAAACACATCAGACCTAAATATACATCCACATACATATGCTATGTCCGGCACAAGAATTCCCCACCATGGGATGCTAGTCCTGCTAAATCGCAAATCGCTTAAGTACCATCTAAGTTCCATTGGTTGTTAAAAATACAAAAATTTTAAAATGTCAAACCTATTTATGTATGTGAAATAAAGATTTGTCTACGAAAAACTATATTCTTAATTTAATTTAACTTTCAAATCATGAAATATTATTATTAAAGCATCAATGTAGACTGATAGAGATTTAAGACCATGACATTTACATTTAAGGCCATGGGATTTTGATATCTTGATCCCCAGGGATCCCCCCAAAAATTTGACATAAAATCTAAAAAAATATTTGGTTCGTAGATTTTGATGCAGATTTGTGGAGAATCAATGTAGAAATCGTTTAACGTATTCCGCTTGTGAATCCGATAAGAATTGCCAAAGATATAGACTTCTCGGTGGCCCTTATCCTCCCTCCCATGTGTTATTCAGATTTTGAAGGGATCCCCCAGAAAATTTTATAAAAAATCTCAAAAATATTTTGTTTCAATATTTTGATGCAGATTTGTGGAGAATCAATATAGAAATCGTTTAAGATATTCCGCTTGAGAATCGGATAAGTATTGCCAAAGATATAGACTTCTCAGTGACCCATATCGTCCCACCCATGTAATTTCCAGATTTTGAAGGGAACCCCCAGAAAATTTGACAAAAAATCTAAAAAATATTTTGCTCGTAGATTTTGATGCAGATTTGTGGAGAATCAATGTAGAAATCGTTTAAGGTATTCTGCTTTTGAATCGGATAAGTATTGCCAAAGATATAGACATCTCGGTGGCCCATATCGTCCCTCCCATGTAATTTCCAGATTTTTAAGGGAACCCCCAGAAAATTTGAAAAATTCCTAAAAATATTTGATCCAAAGGTTTGGAAAAGATTGAAAGGTAATCGGTTTGAAAATCCTTTAAGGTATTCCTCCGAAGGAACGGATGAATACAGACATCCAAAGATACAGACATCTCGGAGCTCTTAGCATTGATTTCAAAAGAAACACAAATGGAAAAATTTCAAAACATATTCCCTTGTACCGAGTCTTGAATAAAACAAACTTCATTTCTTTAAAATGGTATATTTTATTATTTTTTTGGTTTCAATTTTCCTTGCCATTTAATTTTCAACAACTCTATACAAAAATTGTCCCTTCTTAGCCTACTCATTTACAGTAGTTATCTTAGCCGTATCGTATCAATAGAATTCCAAAGTGCCACTTAGTCTGTATGGTAGTTACAAGAAAAATCCATGTGTGTTTTCTAAAATTAAGTTGTAAATGCTGAGGCGGCTGATTTAAAACACCAAGTGTGCAAGGCCTTCGTCTGCGTCGTCCTCGAAAATGCGTTGCTCAGTAGCTAGCTCTTTGTACTATTTTAAATCTGAGGTTTGTTCAACTGTTCGGTACCTTCTGGGTCTATATCTGATATTGAAGTCTTTTCGGTTGTCGGATGTGTCGTTTCGTTTGGATTTGGAATATATATATATCACTTAGGGCTAAGCACGTAGTATACAGTGATTCGTTGCGTGTAAAACTATTTACATTCGGAATCATCGCTTACACTATAATTGGGTTTATAATTAATTGACTGTTACTCGCAACAATAGTTGTTGTGTCTATTCGTATTATTAGTTATAGTACAATACATACAAAGTCGTCATAAAAATCCGCGTTTTACCTCGAATACTGGACCGGCAAGTATATTGTGTTCGTTTCCGTTTTAAAACGTTCTTACGTCTAAGGACAGTGCCTGGAGGATGCTTCTATGGTTAGAACAGAATGGAATAGTTGGCAAAAACGTGAACCTAGTGCTTACGTTTCATGGTCAGGTGGTGTGTGTGGGGTGGTTTAATTGTAAAATAGAAAAATTTCATTTGTCAAGAGATCAAATAATCAATAGCTACAATAAGATACAAAAATAATCAACATGCTTCGTGCATCGTCACAAATGATCTCTTTTGAATTTCGGGTCAAGTGTCAAATCAGAGCAAAACTTTCGGGTGAGCTTATGTAGTAGTGGTTTATTCCGAGAGATATAGAACATACGAAACACATGGGAGAGCATGCTCTTCCCTTCCCCCTGAACCCCTTAAGCTCGAGGGGACGACTTCTCAGTGCAGAGCGAAGAGCTTGGTTCTTCAGCGTCCCTTGACTTCAAAGCGAGAAATCGTTCCCTAGCATCGGAACCATACAAGTATATATAGAAAATAATAAACCTAAATAAACATTCCATCTGAACACATCGGGAACTTTGAGAAACTATAAACTGATAATCGGATGTGGAGCCCGTTCAAGCGAGCCTTAATGATATAAACCTATCGGTAAGTGATTAAATGGTAGTGTGTCGCATTTAGTTTTTAGTGGGGTCGGACTGTGCTCCACGTCAGATGATTCGGTTGACCAGCGGCATCTTGCGCCGGTTGTAGTTGGGCGGATGCTGCTGCTGCTGGCTCTGGCTCTGGAGCTGCAGGGTGGCCGGCTGGGTGACCTGCTGCACCTTCACCTTCTGACCGTACTGCTGCTCCAGCTCGCCGGCCGGACCGATCGCGTAGTTGATGTCCACTCGTGCTCTCTTCGAGGGCGGCTGCTGGTAGCCGTCGTTGGCATTCAGGTCAGCGGGATTCAGCTCGATGATGCTAGGGGCCTGGGTGCTGGCGATCAGACGTCGGACCGACTCCTTGTCGTCCTCGATGTCGATAGCATCGTACAGTTCGTCCACCTGAAACAGGAACGGGAATGTTAGAAATCCGCTCTCCTCATCTTCTAGAAAAAAGAACCTACCTCGATTTCGAAGTCACCGCTCCTCTGCACGAGCAGCTCGTGGTCGATGGGCAGCTGATTGGACTTGGACTCGACCACGGACTGGAACTCGTTAAGCATGTGCTCTTCATCATCGTCCTCCTCCTCGACTTCCTCTTCGTCCTCCTCCACCAGCATGGCGTCCACCAGGGTGTCCTCGAACTCGTGCTCCTCCAAATCGGAGGACTCTTCGATCTCCGACTGCGAGTCCATTTCCACGTCCGAGTCAGCCGAGCCGTGCTTCATCTCGCCCCTCTCCAAGGACTCCAGGTGCTGGGGATAGACCATGGCCACCCGAATGGCTGCCGGGTCCTTGCGGGACCACTTCTGCACCTCCTCGTCCATTTTGGAGATGCGCTCGGGGTTCATGGCCCAGCGACACCCTTTCCTCTGGTTGCCGTTGGTCACCGGCCTCTCGATCTTCTCGAAGCACTTGTTCAGCGACAAGTTGTGGCGCACACTATTCTTCCAGCCGCTGGGAGCGTTCTCGAAGTAGGGGAAATGCTGGCAGAGGAAGCTGTAGATCTCCGAGACTGGCAGCGACCCGGCCCGGGAGTTCTTGAGGGCCAGCGCAATCAGGCAGGAGTAGGAGTAAGCGGGCTTGGGGAAGGCGCTGCCCACAGACGGCAGCTTGACCTTCTGCTGCAGCGGCTTCACCAGGCCCCCTCCACCCGATCCGTTGCAGTTGTTATTCGCAATGTTGACCAGGTTGCTTACGTTTCCGAGCGGGGAAGCGGCCGAGGAGGAGGTCGAGGACAGGGACGAGGGCGATCCCAGGCTGTAGCTGCCGTGGCCCTGCATTTGGTGGTGCGGCGAGTTAGCCGCCGAAGCAATGCTCTTTGGTGTTGTGCTCAGCTGCTGCAGTCCCCCGCGCTTGGCCGCCTCCTTGAGACCCGCCGTCGATGTCGCAGAGGAGCCGGTGCCGCCTCCGGGCGACTTCGCGCAAGAGGTCTGCTTGAGTTTCTGGTAGGCCGCACTGTTGGCGAAGGTGAGACCCCCGATTCCCGGTGCCAGCTTGATGGTGTTGGTGCCTCCGTTGGCCGAGGTGAGCAGCGAGGATGTGGTCTTGGCGTCCGCGCCGGTGGGCACGGGACTAGACTGGACCTTGCGCAGTTCGCCAGCCAGGTCCTTCCGAACTGCGTCCACTGCCGACGAGTTGCGACGCTGCAGTACCGAGTTGGTGGCCATGGTGGCCGGGGCAGTGCTGCCCGTTCCCGTGATGACGGATATCTGTTTGGGGATGTGGGCCATCACCTGCTCGCGTCGCAGGGAGCCGGCGCTGACCTTCATCTGTGCGGGCGAGAAGGTCAGGTGCGACTTGGGCTGATCCCGCTCGGCGGAGGGCGACGACGGCACACCCGCCCCGGCCCGCCCCTGGGAGGACGTGGCCGATTTGTTGCGCTTCGGCGATATGAGCCCCGAATTGCATGCGGTGGTTATCAGGGGCATCACCGATATGGGGTTCACACAGGCGCCCAGGTCGGCGTAGTAGTCTGTGTTGGACCAGAAGCTGGCCGAGGAGCCCATCCATTTGGCAGTGGGCGAGGCGTGGAGGGCGCTGCTGGACAGGAAGTTGGCATTGGCGTTGTAGGAGACGCCGTTGGCGCTGCTGCCATTGTTGTTGTTGATTGCCGATATAGCCTCCAGGGCGTGATCCAGGGACGAGGTGAGGTCACTGCTGGAAGTGCCCACCACGTTGGCGATCTCGGCGCGGATGTCCACGTTCAGCATTTCCTGCATCGAGTCGGAGACATAAAAGTCCAGTGAGGGACCAGCGCCGTCCTGCGAGGAGAGATGGTAAACATAGTGCTTTAGTAATCCTGATCCTTAGGTATCTAAGTATAGTTCTAGTATGTACATAGCATTCCATATAGTACCCCAGATAGGCAGAGAACCAAAACAATGTGAAACATAAACAAACTGTTTACAAACACGTCTCGGAATCTAGATTCTAGATTCCAGAACTTTCCCGCCTCCAGATCTTTCTGTGGAATCCGGGAGAAGGATGATATATTCGGGCATTAGGTAGGCGATATAGGAACCCTATATGGGAAGGGGGGTAGTGATTAAATCTGTAACTCAAGTCGCTCGCATCTGAGTCCGAATCTGATATCCCCGTGCAGGCAGATTCGTAAATATGTATCCATGGGATACGTGCGGTGCGGTTGTGTGCGGGGATCGTCGTATAGGTTTTCATTTTCTATACGAGAGCCAGGCCCGAGAAAAACAACAACAATAACAAACGAGGGACCACAGGAGCAGGAGAGCCCCGGAGCCGAGCTGGAAACCTGTTTTTACGCGCCAAGGCAGCCAAGGCAGGAAGGCAGGCAGGCAGGCAGAAAAAAAGACGGCAGACGGCCAAGGATGGGAAAAGGGAAAAGCAGGGCATGTGGGAATGTTGCAGCCCAACAAAAACATCAGCTTATGTTGCAAGTTGCAACATCAGAACCGTCGCATTCTGGAATGTTTTTGAAAAGCGAAAGCACGATTTTGTTATTATTTTTTATTATTATTTATTAGTATTTAGGACTAACTTTAGATAAAACCAACAAATCTATAGATAGGACCTATTTCGAGAGATGTTCCTGCCACAAAGCCGCATAAACGTAACCGAAATATGGGCAGAAGGCCAAACCACATATCGCAGCAGCCACCAAACCGGATATCAGGAAAACTGAAAGTTTTAAGCAATGAGCCCGAGGACCCACTCCCCAGTATGGGGAGCAACAACTGGAGTGATTCACTGAGTACCCAATTGAAGAGTCAAGTCGACTATAAGATACTCTAAATATTTAAAAAATTATTATAAAAATAAATAATATTATATATAATAATATACAATACAATGCCATATTTTATATAATAAAATTATATTCATATTTGATAGGGTATCTTGTGGTCGGTTCACTTAGAACTCCTGTTAACATCAGAAACAAGGCGGGCTCAGCAAAAAGGGGAATACACACTAACATCTGTACATTTACAGAAGAGAGAGAGCGAATGGGAGAGAGGCAGATAAACAAAGAGAGAGAGAGAGCCAAAGAGGGGTGGCGAACATAGAACGCGGGAACATAACAGAGCTCTCACAGCGAAGTTGCGGCCTGTACAGTAGGCAACAAAACATGCTTCGAGTTCGCCGGCTGAGAACAGAAAATAAAGTGATGAAGCAGCAACAGTGGGCAAAAACAGCAAAAACAGCAAAAACAAAAGCAACAACAGCCGCACATGGGCCTGTTTTTGTGTTGGGTTTGTTGCTTCGTTTGCCGCAAATGGCAGTAGACGGAAAAAGTAGTAGTTAGTAGTAGCTCCTCGGCAGGCCCTTCACAGGATTCGGGCAGCTGTTAAAAAAGGCGCGCACTGTTAGATACTCTCCTCTCGTTTGAAACGAGACAGAAGACGGTCCCAATGTCAAGGTGTCCTTGAAGCGGCGGAGCTCCAAGCAGCCACTGAACTGACCTGACCCCAAAATGGGGGGACGAGCCACAGGACCCCACAGGACTCTTTCATGTTTTTATTATGCGGCTACGGCGACGGCGAAAAATCGATAGGCAGGAGCATATACACACAAAGGATGATATAGAGCCCGCCACACGAGAGTGATAAGTTGCATAATTCAGCAGGATACCATAAATTGGTGCAGGCGCACATCCAAGGATAAGGCAACGGGGGCTGGGGCTCCATGAGTCTGGTCTTGTTCTGAAAGGGGTACATGGGGAGGTGGGGATTCTGTGTTTTGTCATTCGGGAATTCGAGTGCTTTCTCCATCCAGGTACCCGGTGCCCCTTTCCTCCATCGGGAAGAGAAGCGATTGCCTGTGTTGGGGTTACAATAATGGGTCTTTATCGGAGGACAGGAAGTGTGCCTTTGTTCCTAGATTAGTTTCCTCTTTCCATGACTGATGTCTATTTACTTTGCTTCCAAATCGAACATTTCCTCAGTGGATATGGATGCATGCAACAGAGGCATCCTGGCCCAAACACTACTCACGGCAGGTGCTTGGCCGATAAGCGGCTGCAAGTCGGGCCAGTCTGGGCCTGTAATTGTTGCAGCAACGGCCAGAGTGCAACCAGAAGGCAGGCCTCCAGACAGCTGGCAGTCTTCTGCATCCCAGTCTTCAGTGGCAGCAGCTGGCTCTCCTCCGAGTTACCGATCGATTAAATAATTGTCTCTATTGAGGAACTCTGATCCCATAGTCTGTTGCTATATTCGCTGCCTAATCCCAATTTCACCATTTCCTACCCCAATCGGAAGTTTGTGATTCAATTTCGCGGGGATTTCATGGCTGTTGTGCCCTTTAACCCTTTGCCCTTGTCGGCCCATCCCTCCGTCCTTGCCGCCCACCCCCGCAACCACTAATTGAGCATTAGACCCGAAATGGGACGACAGATAATATGATAGGAGAACAACAGGGCCCTTCATTGAGGGTTTCGCTCCAGCTCCTGCTCAGCATAGAGAGCTCCTAGTTCCCCCTGGCCTGATAACCTCTCGACGTGCCCTTCTCGGTGGTGTTGCGAGTTTCCAGTTGAAATTGAAGTTGGAAGTGGCAGCTGCAACTCGGGGGTTGATAGTACTGACTGTTGCTTGTCGGTGCCGGTACAGTGGAGTATCGAAATGTGCAACCCAAACTACTCGACAGGTTTTTCAAAAATAAACATTAAATGGGCAACTATTTCTATTAGATCCTCCATCAAAGTTAGACCCTTAAGTGTTTAAAATTCTTTGTAGGCACTTTCCACTGTACTTGCGATTGCAGTTCCCCTCAGAAAGCCCACTTCCTGGCTCTAATTGGCGTGCTGAGGGACCTCCATAACCCAGCCAGAAGGAAAACTCTGGCCGGAGAGGGAGCTCTGGGTTGGGGGGTATCCAGATCCTTAAAAAATCAGACACTTTTTCATGCGGCGCTCAGGTGAAAAAGGACGAAAACAAGGCCTCCTTAGGCCCCCTTCCCCCTTTCTTTTTTTTTTAAAGAATCCCCACAAAAAATTCTTGAAAAATGGTGCCGAAATAAAAATGAATCGAACAGGCGAGCAAAGTCGACAGCAAGCGTTCGTCCTGGCCATCAAGCCAGCCGGATTAAGGCCACTGCCAGGCCATGTTGGCAAAAGTTCGACAAAGTTCGACAAGGCCTACGGAACGGCCCTCCCCCCTCCCCTCCTCCCCTTCCAGCAGACAGCTGCAGCTGCCTATTGACCTTTTTAAGTTGTGCAACGAACCAAGGAGTTGGCAGGCCGGCCGGCCGGCTCTCGGCAGGATTCGTCACCGAAGGCAATTGTTTTCGATGTGTTTTCGGAGTTTCCGACCCTTCCTTCTTCTCGGCTGCATCTGCTCCTTTCTTTCCATTTACATCTTTTCCCTGCTTTCACCCGAAGATGACACACAAAAAGAAGACAAAGGAGGCCTCAGACCCTCCGACCCTCCGACCCTCGGCCCAGGTAGAGCTCATGAGCGCCCATTTGTAAATTACTTTATGGTGCAATAAAGTCGAGCTCGGCCTAATCCTCCACCCTGGCAATCCCAGCCAATGTATCCTTCGTCGTAAATCGTCTTTAAATCTCTGGGTTAGCGGGAACTCCCTGGGTTATCTTACCCATTAAGACCAACCGGGAGTTTAAACTTGGCCCGAAAGTTTCATCAAAAAAGTGGGTATTTTTGGACTAATTAGGGACGGGGACTCCTCCCTGGCACGTCTCTGGCGAACTGCATGACTCTGCGAGAGTGTGTCTGTGTGCTGGGGCCGTGAGAAAATCTATGCGGCATACAGCTGGGCGCCCATAAAGCCAGACAAGTGGCTGCCCCCACCCCCTGACAACACTCGTGTGCCTTTTGGGGTTGGGTGAGGGTGGAATCCGGCCCGAAAAGCGCCCGTTCTGAGCCCAACATGTGCCCCGGCCCATGGAGCTTCGGTTTCTTTGTTCCCCTGCTCCACAGTGGAGCTAATACGCTGGTGTATGTGTGCGGAGCTTGCATGTCGCAGCTATCAGGCGCCCATGCTCTCGGGCACTGTTGCTTTCCGTGTTGCACTACGGACTCGCCGGCCCCAGCTTTTGGCCAAAAACATGAATATGTTGCGAAGGCCGGCCTGGCCGAAAAGATCCAACGGCTCGAGGTGAACGCTTGGCCTTCAACGAGTTTAAGACGCAAAAGCAGCAGAAGAGCCCCAAGAGGCAGCAGTGGAGAATCGTCAACAGTCGAGGCCAAGATATTAGCACTAGAACTAGTACTAGATATCCAAAAAAGCACTCCCACTACCACTCCCACTCCTACTACTAGAAGAATGTTCGTAGAGTAAGAAGACTTGCCCCTCCCTTCATGCCCCCAAGTGTGCTCTTGCCAAAAAGTAAGCAAATATTTAATTGCGCAATAACAAAAGAGAAGACAGACACTCATTCCAATTTAAATTTTAAAATAATTCGCAACTTTAGGACAAAGTACAGCGGGCTAACAGCGTCGAGCTAACAGCTAACAGGCCTGTTAAAGCCAAGTTATAACCCGCCGGTCACCATAAACCCGACCAGCAATGCTGTAGAGAAGGAAGTGCCCATGCCGGAGAATTATTATCGTCTTTGTTCCGGTTGTAAGCCCAGTCGCCCCCTACACCCCGCCCCCTCCTCAGACCATTAATCACTGAGGGAAACGGCAATTTCAAAGCTTAACGATCAAAAGTAAACACACAGACGCACCAGACGGCGCGGCGAAGGCGAATTCAGATTCAAAAAATTTACGTTAGCTGCGGCGCGGCGAAGAGCGAGACAGCCAGAGGTGGCACGTTTTCGCCGCACGTATGGGGAGCCAGTGGAGAGTATGGGGACAATGGGGACTTGGGGGAAATACTAGGAAAAGAGAACCGAGCTGCTTTGTCGACGCGAAACGAACGTTAAAATTTGAAATCCGCCGATAAAGAGTGTGTCTGTGTGCGTGTGTGTGTGAGCGCATGCGATGGTGTGCACGTGTTCGTGTGCCGGCAAATGTGCAAAATGTTATTAAGCTGTTGCCTCCTCTCGTCCGCCGTCCGCCGTCCTCCATCCGCCTTCCACCGTTCGTGGATGGTCATTGGTGAACAAACTTACCGCATATTTGCTGGATATTCCCTCGTATATGTTGCTGGAATAATCCTCGAGCTCAAACATTTTGAATTCTGACTTCTGTTTTCGTCTGGGCCGAACTTTGTTTTGGTCGATTTCGCCTCGCACTCCTTCGCTAAACCGTTGCACAGCTTCAGTGGACCAACAGGGCACCGCTTCTCACGTCGATTCTGAATTGTGGAGCTATCCTTAATCCTGGCACCTATTCCTGGCAGGACCGGCGCATAGTGTCTGGAGTCGGTTAAATTCTTCTCGAGGCGCGAAAATTCACCGAACAACAAAAACAATCGAAATCAAAAGCCGCGACCAAATCAGCTCCGAACCACCCGACCGTCTGAATTCAATTGTGAATTGAAACTAGGGTTGGTGAATGAGGGTTGCCAGGGACACGTTTGCCAACATTTATTTTTCGATAATTTTGTTATCGATGACTGTCAAAACTGATCAGAGTTGCTGAAAAATGTATCGATAGAAGGAAAAAAAAACGGCTATTTGAATTTAAATAAAAACGGTTTGAGGAATAGTATAATTTTTAAATTATTAATTTTATTATAATAATTATACAAGTTATATTATTATTATTTTTATTATTTATTATAATTTTTCTTTTGGGGATTCTGGATCTACCCTCCTTTTATGTCTGCAGTTTCAATTAAAAAACAGATTCGATTTGGTTTAACAAACATTTTATTTATATACGTAATAATTTCTAATTTGAATGAGTGGTGTGTATGGAAAATGTCAAAGTAGTCAGTGGCAACAATGGCAATGAAAAAAATAAATTTGGAAAAAAAAAAACGTTTCAAATAAGCGCAATACAAACAAAAATAATTCAACTCTGTTGGAATTATCCAATAAAGGCTATGAAACCAAAACGGGAAAAATGGAAATTAAACAGATAACTCAAAACAAAAAATAATCATGCTTTAGATTGGTGTGTGCCTGACTGACTCTTCTGACGAATACTATTGTGTTTTCCTAAATCTGGGAGCTCTAGAACTTGCGGGCAAAGACCCTCTCCTTGAAACGCAGCGCCGACTGCTTCGCGGAGTTGCCCTTGTCCTCGCCCGGTTTTGGTGCTTGCTTGCGGCCTGGTTTCTTGCCCTTCAGATGGCACCCAGAAGATCCTGAAGGCTCCTCGCGGAATCCGCCCTGCAGGTTCCTTGGAGTTTCCGGCATCTCGAGGAAGTACTTCTGTTTCGGAGTGCTCGGCTCGACGCGCATAATGCCCGACTTGGTCCTGATGAGCTCGATGCTGTGTTTAGCAGGAGTTCCCTCCAAAACGGTTACGTAGCCGGCGTTGTTTCGGAATCGAGTCACCTTGCGGTTGTGGTTCTCCTCATCGGAACTGTTGAGCTTGGCCTGCTTTTGCTTTTTGCCCGGCTTCTTGGCGGCCATCTGCGACTTGGCCCCCAACTTGTTGGCCAGAGAGCGTGGCTGTGAAGACAAGCATGAATGTTATAACTTGTTGAATAATAGCTTCCAACGCTTACCTCTTTGGTGGCCGCCGATCCAGTCAGAAGGTTCACAGCATGACCCACAGCCTGGCGGGTTGCTTGCAAGCGCTTTACGTCTTTTTTGGCACTGGTTGTCGGCTTTGCTTCCTTTTTGGTTGCGATGGAAGCTATCTTGTGGCTGGTTTTGGGCAAATCTTCCGGGAGCGGCTTCTCAATCGGTACCGTCTCGGCTTCAGGGTCTTTATTTCCAGGCTTGGTGCCCGACATGGAGGCTCGTTTAAGATTCTTGGGCTTTTTGCCGCCGGCAGCAATTCGCTGAAAGGGGGGAACACGATTCTGGTAAAAGCTCTGCGAAAAAATATAAACCTCTGCCTGGTCTTACCTGTTTCTTCTGATTCATAGCTGCCTCGTTGGCGGCCTGGAATATTTTGTCGCAGTACTCCATATAGTAGTCAACAGTCTTGGTTTTGAACAGCGACTCCGGTTGCTTGGCCTTTGGCTTCAGTGCGTCGCGGGAAGTCGACGGCTGCTCATCGGCAACTTCTGAATCTTCCTTCAGCCCGGACTCCCCTTCCTTTGGGTCTACTTCCGGAGAAGACTCCTTTACAGCATCCTTCCGGAGCGACACATTCTTGGAGTCGTCTTTTTGGAGGGACTTTCTTGGAATCTCCCCTTCCGAAAGTTCCGAATTATCATCGACGAACTCCTCTGAGGATGTGGACGCTCGCTTCAGATCAGCAGCAGGTTTTTCCGAATCAGCAGCAACCTCTGCATTTTTTTCTGTCTCATCGAATTTCAAGGGCGAGTTCTTCAATCGCTTGCGATCGTGGTGTAGCTCCACCTCGTCCAAGTCTTCGGGGGCACCCGAAAAGCTCTTAGAGAGATGCTTTCGCTTCAGGCGCTGCCGATCGGCTACCATCTCCACAAAGGACGTCGAGGGACAGAAATTGTCGCTGGCCAAGCCTCGATCACTGCGACGCTTCAGTTTGGGTTCCTTCGCATTGATCTCCTGACTGGCCGTGTAGAGGGACTGGCGACGGGACTTCTGGAGCGGATTGAACATGGTGGCCAGGTGGCGCAGATCACTGGAAGCCAATGTGTCGAGAAGGGCGGCTTCTTCATCGGAGGATTTGCCAGACGTCTTCATGGAGAGCTTGTCATCGCCGGCTACAGGTTCCTGGTCCTCATCAGACTCCTCCACCTCGTAGATGCTCTCGTTGCGTTTTGAGGTTTCTAGTTCTTTGTGGGAAGGTTCCTTAACCTCTTCGGGTGCCTCGAACTCGTCGGAGTCCATGACTTCGTAAACGCTTGCGCTTCCCTTGAAAGATGCCTTCTTGGACACCGGCTTTTCCTCTGAATCTGTCGAGGAATTGTCCTCTATTTCTGTCACGTCCAGGCGTGGTACGGTCTTGTTCAGACGCTCTGATTTGTTCAGCTCGTTAAGGAGCATTCTCCTCGAGTTTTCCAGCTCAGTCTCAGAGGTCTCGGTGGTGGAGTTTTTGCTGCTGTTGTTCATCTTCTGGGCGGCATCGCTCAGTCGGCTGGCATTCAAGCAGTTGCTCTTGTCCTGCTTCGTTTCTGACAGCATCTCGATGGAATCCTCACTGGAATCCGCCACCACAATACGGCTACGCTTCTTTCCGCCCTTTGATTCGCGTTTTTTCTCAGTCTCGACCTCACTCTCATCTTCCTCGTCGTTGGAGAAGCAGAGTGCGCCCAAGTCCTCCTCCTCATCGTCGTCGGAAACCACAAAGGAATCATCTTCGTTCTCCTCCTCCTCCCCGTGCGACTCTTCTTCGGTGTCCTGACTACCCACAGACTCGCCGTGGGAAGGAATCTCGTTCTCCTCGACCTCGCGACGTGTCGAACTGTCCATTGAGTCACCAGACTGATAATTCCCCGGAGCCTCCACCGCCTGGTCTTCAACGAACTCGCACTCGTTCTCAGAGTCGTTATCTTCTTCGAATTCGTCGTCACTAAACAGCTTCAGAATTTTGGGAGACTTTGCTGTCTTGCTGGACGATGTGTCGTGAAGTTTCTCTTTTTTCTCAGATTCGAGCTGACTGAAGGGCTTAATGACATCGATTTCAGGAGGAGCCTGGTGAAGTTCTGCCTTGCTGGGCAATTGGTCTTTAGCTATTGGTGTGGAGCTGCTGCGGCCCTTGCTGAGGGCGGCAGGCTTGGGGGTCCGGATGGGGGTCTCCGGGACTAAAATGTTTGTTCGGTTTATTGTGCCTTTGTCCCGACCCGGAGTCTTGGGAAAGCGTGTCTTCTCGTCATGGGAATCCCCGTCACCTCCTTTGAAACCCACAGTTTTCTTCTGCTCCAACTTGGGAGAGCCTTCGACAGTCTCCTCAACCAGATCCACGTTTTCTTCCTCATCATCAATAGCCTCATCCACGTCCATTGGCTCTGGTGACTCGACGATATCTTTGGCAGTCACAGGCTCTGTTGGCTGTTTTGCTGTGAGATCGGTCTCAACCTCCTTTTCTTTGTTAGGAGTAGATTTCAGATTGTCCAGCTCCTCTGGCGACTCCTCGGCATCCAAAAACAATTCATCCGAGGATACATTCTTGGGTGATTTGGCTGGAGAAACTTCCTTTTCGGGAAGTGTCTGGGAATTTTCTTGTTGGGGAGTTATTTCCTTTACAATCTCCTTGGACTGTTCCTTTTTAATTGGAGTTTTGGCCTTTAATGGAGAAGTCGCTAGACCATTTGATTCTAAATTCTTAGGAGACGGAGAACCGGACAATTCTTTGGGTGCCTCTCCAGTAGAGGTCTGCAGCTCCGGGCTCAAAGTTTTCTCATCAAGTTTGTGAGGTTGTTCCTCTGGTTCGGGAACGACTGTTTTTTTCAAAGACTCCTCGGGGTCAGTCTCTTTGCCATCAGGTTTCTTGGAAACCTTCGAGAGGTTGGGGGAAGATTCATTTAATGCTTTTATTTTTTCCACTTGGAGGTTGTTATCAACTATTTCCACTGCTGGGGCGACTGTCTTCTTGTCAGTGGGTGACGATTCATTTAATGCTTTTATTTTTTCCACTGGGGAGTTGTTTTCAAATATTTCGACTGCTGGGGCGACTGTCTTCTTGTCAGTGGACGACGATTCATTTAATGCTTTTATTTTTTCCACTGGGAAGTTGTTTTCATCTATTTCCACGTCTGAAGACTTGGTCTTCTTGGCAGACTCAGAGGAGTCCTTGCGCGGTGTGTTCTCGGATGCCCGTTTGAGGGGAGTCTTCTCCAGACGGACAGAAAACTTGTTTGTAAACTGAGCATTTTGTTTCTTTTCCTTAGTCTCCACTTCTTTCTTCTTATCTTGCTCCTCTTTCAGCTCACCAGACGCGGCTGTTTGTTTTTCTTCAGAGGAAACCTTGCTATCGGGTTGCGATGGAGGCGTGGCGCTCGTGGATCTATTAACAGAGGGGGGCGTCTGCGACATGGAGCGAGTCACACGTCTGTCGCCAACGGGAGTCCCAGTGCGCTCCACTTGTTCCTCCTGCTTCGCATCCATCTCTTCTGCTGTTTCCTCTTTGAGAGGCAGCTGCTTCATAACGGACCTGGTGGCTTTGGCCGGAGTACGAGCGGTTCTCTTAACAGACGAGGGAGTGGAGGGCTCTGGGGTCTCACCACGGGCCACCGAAGATCGGGTGGCGCGAGTCGGCGTGCGCACGTCCATGGTGGCAGAGTTCAATCGAGTACGGCGAGTGGGACGCGGCGAGGCAGTGCCTAAAAAACGACGCCTATGAATTCACAGTGCCTTTTCAGTGGCCACCGTACTTACCTCGTTCGGCCGCACTATCTAATTGGGGTGTCCCGGGACGGCTGTCCGTATCCAGCAAGGACATACGGCGGGTGCGGGCCCGCGTCACTATGGAATACATGGTGAAATGTTAGAAAATTGTCTTTGCTTTAAGAAAGTCGGCGAAAAATGTCGAGTCAGGACGACAAGAGAAATGAAATGAAAGTTGGGTGCGATGGAGTTGTCAAGTAGAGGAAGTAAGGATGACAATGGCGAATATCCGGAACCAGAGCCTACTGATCCCGTTGCCCTGCTTCCGGTGCTCCAGGGAACCCGAACCCTGGTCCAGGGAATCCAAATCCTGCTTCCACTCCCTGGCACATTCGCCCACTTACCTCGCTGCCCTTCCGAGCTCTCTGTGTTCTCCTCCATTTGGCGTCCTCTTAAGTACTATCACAAATTTTTAATAGGAATATATTTAACTGTTAAAAGCCGAACCTCTCCGCGAAACTAGAAGGAGCAAACTGGCTCCACGCCATGTGTCGATGTAGCTCCGTTGTGCAACACTTGCCTAGCTGTTGCGCTTTTTTGGCGGCCCATGGGAGGCCGTTAAATTTGAAAATTGTAACTGAAGTTGTTTTTTTTTTTAAAGAGTGATATGAAAGTTTCTCAACTTTTGGATATTAAAGGGTAGAAAAATATAATTTATTGATTAATAGCCTGATTTATCAAATAAAACGGAAAGAAGATATGACGGTTTACGTTTTCCAGCACTGTCAGCTTCCAAATAACCGGATTCAACAACCGCGCCTAATTTGAATAAAAACAACGGCTTTGTTTTTCCCTCAAATTAATGATTAATTTGAAATTAAGTCATTATTGCCCCTCAAGCCCTTTCCTAGTAGCTTAATGCTTACCACATCAGATAAACAATAGCCCATTTCTTTGGTGGAATATTTTATTTTGCTACATTACAGTAAATGAATGGATCTTTCAAAGATTATAACACCTAATACGCAAAATAAATCTTTGGCAACAAACATTTTAATACTAAACTAGATTCTGCTTTGCCAATTCTGGATTAAACTGACTATTGTACTTTTGTTTTATTTTGGGAGTAGGAGCTGGCGTGGTTGCTACACTTGGTGCTCCAGCAGGTTCCTTGGGTGCAAACAGAGCTTCAGATCGCTGTCGTTCAGCTACCTCTCGTCTCAGGCGTTCCCTTCTCAACCTGTCCAGATTTTCGCGCTTCTGACGTTCAGCATCCGAAAATGTGCTTTTCTTGGCCTCCCGTTGCCTCTTGTGTTTTTTACTCTTCTTGTGTTTTTTCTCATGTTTCTCCCTTTTCTGCTTCTTTGACTTGGAATGGGAGGACCTCGCGATGGATGACTCTCTGGGTGGGATCGTCGGAGTTCTTTCTCTTTTTCGTTTATTTACCTCCTTGGGCTCCTTTTTTTCTGGCGGCAGCAAAGAATTAATCAAGGTTAAAGGATCTTGGCCCAACTTCTGTTTGAGATGCAATTCCTGAGAGTTAGGACCGCCGACTACCTCTCTTTTGGGGGCCACTTCGTACCAACTGTGCACTTTCAGCGCCTCATTTGTGTCCTGGACCAAATATGTGAGGTAGCCGATCTGTTTCTCGTACTTCTCCTGTTCTTCTTTCTTTTCCTTCTCCAGTTCCTTATTGGTGGTCTTCACATGGCTTCGGTAGTCCTCGAATAGGTTCAACGGTGCTTGTGCTTCCGTCGCATTGTGGGCGGAGGCACTTTGGGCGTGGGAAGCTTTTTCAGGAAGTCCAGATTGGCGCCGCAGAAAGTTTATACGGGCCTCGCTCTCCTACAAACGCAAATATGCAAAAATCATTTGAACAACAAAATATACTAAATGTTTAAGGGCACCCACAGCTAATTCTAGTTTCTCCTGGCGCTTCTGCTCCTCCACTTGGGCTGCCGCCTCATCGCGACGCACCCGGGCGATGTTTTCCTTGGTGCGCACATGCCAGCTGTAGGAGAGATTGTGTTGAGTAAAATTCTTAATGAAAAGCTGCTGACTTGCCGTTTTTTGGGTAAAATATTCATTCGAACAAACTCTTCTTTATTTTGGGTACGAGTGTTGGTTCAAGGTACAGGTACATTTATGAAAAAACTAGTGTGACCAGCAATTTTATCTAGAGTGTTGGAAAATGTCGATATTTTCTTCTACCTTCAACACTGGTAACACTGATGGTATATTTTCCATAATGGTTTGATCCACAGTGATGACCATATCTTCCCCATTTCTCATCCGATTCTCAAGCGGAGTACCTTAAACGATTTCTGGATCGATTCTCCACCATTCTGCATCAAAATCCTGAGACAAAATATTTTTTAGATTTTTTTCCATTTTTCACGATGGGATCCCTTGAAAATGGGGTTTTCCCCTATAGGGTCCACAGTGATGGGTATATCTTCGCCAATTCTCATCCGATTCTCAAGCGGAGTACCTTAAACGATTTCTGGATCGATTCTTCACCATTCTGCATCAAATTCCTGAGACAAAATATTTTTTAGATTTTTTGTCCATTTTTCGTGATGGGATCCCCAAAAATGGCGTTTTCCCCTATAGGGTCCACAGTGATGCCTATATCTTCCCCATTTCTCATCCGATTCTCAAGCGGAGTACCTTAAACTATTTCTGGATCGATTCTCCACCATTCTGCATCAAAATCCTGAGACAAAATATTTTTTAGATTTTTTTCCATTTTTCACGATGGGATCCCTTGAAAATGGGGTTTTCCCCAATAGGGTCCACAGTGATGGCTATATCTTCGCCAATTTTCATCCGATTCTCAAGCGGAGTTCCTTAAACGATTTCTGAATCGATTCTCCACCATTCTGCATCAAAATCCTGAGACAAAATATTTTTTAGATTTTTTGTCCATTTTTCGTGATGGGATCCCTTGAAAATGGGGTTTTCCCCTATAGGGTCCACAGTGATGGCTATATCTTCGCCAATTCTTATCCGATTCTCAAGCGGAGTACCTTAAACTATTTCTGGATCGATTGTCCACCATTCTGCATTAAAACCCTGAGACAAAATATTTTTTAGATTTTTTGTCCATTTTTCGTGATGGGATCCCTTGAAAATGGGGTTTTCTCCTATAGGGTCCACAGTGATGGCTATATCTTCGCCAATTTTCATCCGATTCTCAAGCGGAGTACCTTAAACTATTTCTGGATCGATTGTCCACCATTCTGCATTAAAACCCTGAGACAAAATATTTTTTAGATTTTTTGTCCATTTTTCGTGATGGGATCCCTTGTAAATGGGGTTTTCCCCTATAGGGTCCACAGTGATGGCTATATCTTCGCCAATTTTCATCCGATTCTCAAGCGGAGTACCTTAAACTATTTCTGGATCGATTGTCCACCATTCTGCATTAAAACCCTGAGACAAAATATTTTTTAGATTTTTTGTCCATTTTTCGTGATGGGATCCCCAAAAATGGCGTTTTCCCCTATAGGGTCCACAGTGATGCCTATATCTTCCCCATTTCTCATCCGATTCTCAAGCGGAGTACCTTAAACTATTTCTGGATCGATTCTCCACCATTCTGCATCAAAATCCTGAGACAAAATATTTTTTAGATTTTTTGTCCATTTTTCGTGATGGGATCCCCAAAAATGGCGTTTTCCCCTATAGGGTCCACAGTGATGCCTATATCTTCCCCATTTCTCATCCGATTCTCAAGCGGAGTACCTTAAACTATTTCTGGATCGATTCTCCACCATTCTGCATCAAAATCCTGAGACAAAATATTTTTTAGATTTTTTGTCCATTTTTCGTGATGGGATCCCCAAAAATGGCGTTTTCCCCTATAGGGTCCACAGTGATGGCTATATCTTCGCCAATTTTCATCCGATTCTCAAGCGGAGTACCTTAAACTATTTCTGGATCGATTGTCCACCATTCTGCATTAAAACCCTGAGACAAAATATTTTTTAGATTTTTTGTCCATTTTTCGTGATGGGATCCCCAAAAATGGCGTTTTCCCCTATAGGGTCCACAGTGATGCCTATATCTTCCCCATTTCTCATCCGATTCTTAAGCGGAGTACCTTAAACTATTTCTGGATCGATTCTCCACCATTCTGCATCAAAATCCTGAGACAAAATATTTTTTAGATTTTTTGTCCATTTTTCGTGATGGGATCCCCAAAAATGGCGTTTTCCCCTATAGGGTCCACAGTGATGCCTATATCTTCCCCATTTCTCATCCGATTCTCAAGCGGAGTACCTTAAACTATTTCTGGATCGATTCTCCACCATTCTGCATCAAAATCCTGAGACAAAATATTTTTTAGATTTTTTGTCCATTTTTCGTGATGTCCATCACGACTGTCCATTTTAACTAAACACCTAAAAATTGAATGTGCACAATTCGAAAGCACGACAACTCGTTTTATTTAAATGCTTAGGATCATTCTGGAAAGAGAAATTATTCCTGCGGGATAAATAGTATCTTAAAGCTTTTTCAACAGATATGTATGTACATATATCTACTTGGTGTATTAAAACAACTCTTTTTAAACTTAAAACAACATAAATCCACATTTGGTCATATTCATTTTAGAGCATTTCACAGCTCTAGTTCCTTTACTCATGCATTCAATTAGAAGGACGTTTTTGAATGAAACTAATGATTCTATCCTTGGTATCGCCCACTTGAAAGTACTCGCACATCTTATTCTGGCCAGCCGCCTATGCTTCGCTTTGCGACATTGCCAACTGCTTGTAGTGAGCTCCCTGCCGAAAGAAATTACGGACCGGCCTTTAGCTTTTATGGCACTGGCTATTTCATTGATTTCCCTGTCTAGATCCTCGGCAGGTACCGCTTTGGTCACCAATCCTGATATGTAAGCTTTCTCGCCATTGATATTCAATCGTCATTGGCATATAAGCCGACTTGGCAAGCAATACTGCAAGTCATGGGTTACGTATTTTAGCTTCTGAAACAACCGGCCATGCACCTCCGGATCGTTGTGGAGCTCCTTCACTTTGCGACCCGCTGACCAGACCGTCTATTGAGCTGTTAAACAAAGCGACGCAAATCCAGGTTGACTTTTTCCTTGACCAGAGCCGATTGATGACGTATGTTAGCTTCTTAAACACACGGGGTGCACCTCCGGATCGTTGTGGAGCTCCTTCACGTTGTGACCCACTGACCAGACCATCTCTTGAGCTGTAAAAAAAAAAACCATCCCAGATCCAGGTTGACGTTTTCCTTGACCAGAGCCTTATGACATATCCTTGAATATGTCCGAAAAGAGGGAATTTGGAGTTTTTGGGAGATTAAGGGTTATTTCCCGCATTTCCTCCGCTTTATCCAAAATCAGATCCCCTAATTTTATGGAACGCAACAGGTACATGTTTTTTTGTTTTTGTTTTTATAACTAGTGATGGTATTTCTTTATTATGAAACAATCGATAACTGTAGTACTGGTCACACTAACCCCAAACAGCCACACTAATCCTACAGTGGCCCCAAATAAAACAAATTAGAGAAAGAATCTCCACTGGTAACACTGTTTTATATTCAGCTAACGTAAAAGTTTCTATAGAATATTTACATTTACAAAATTATTTGTAACGGATAGTAAATCGCCTAAAAAAAGCATAGTAGAACGGACAATGCACTAATGTAAAGGCCAGTGTGGCAGTGTAACTTTTGGCCCACATCTGTCAGAAGTAGAAGGGGCAAACGCGAAGTTGAGAAGAGGAAGAGTAGAAAAGCGCAGCTCTGTCCTGATTCCGAAAAACGTCTGAAAATAGCGAATTCCGGATTCACCAGAACACAACGACTGGCAACAGAGGGCCCGCATCCCGCATGCCACTCCCCGCCGGATCGCGAGCGCCCGTAATGGCCACTGATCCGCACCAGCAGCAGCAACAAATCCAAAATAACCAGCAGCAGCAGCAGCGAGTTCTTAAGCAGGATGGATACTTAGATGTGGGCGAGGGGACTGACGGAGGTGGCGGCGTTGGTGGAGTAGGCGGTGGCGCTGGAGGCGGATCGGGTGGCACTCCCTCCCGTCCGTTTGAGATGCGCAACGTCGTCTACCATCCGCAGCTGAATGTGCTCCTGCTCTTCGGCCAGGGCAACACAGTCAAGGTGCTGGACGCCAACTCCGGAGTGATTCTGCAAACTTATCAGCTCGGGACAAATGGTGAGCAAAGTGGATGAAAATAACCGCACACTGGTGCACAGGCACACACACCTATTAGCTCGCATGCACGAACACAGACACGCACACTCTCGCACCCGAATGTCAATACAGTGGGGAGCTTCAAATTAGAACCCATACAGAGAAAAAAAAATTAGTGGCTAGCGTACATCAATGTCCGATCGGGAATCGTAAAATGCCTATTTCACAAGGGACTGCATCTATGATTCATTAATTCATTCATAATTCGTGGGATTGCTGGTTTCAAGACCTGTTTGGGGGCGCAGGTTTTTCAAGTCCTTTCAAGACTATGCATGCACTTGCATGTAATTGCCTTGCAGTCGGCACTCGGCAGTATGTCTGTGAGTCTGAAGGGCCTGTGTGTGTATGCGGCCGCAATAGTTTTTGGAAAAGCTCGTCTTGGCCGAACTGAGCTCATCCTTGGCGTGCTGAGCCCACTTGGCGAATTCCCCTTCAGGGAACCGAAAAGAAGACTACTGCCAACCTGCCCTATGTCGTATCAAAAACGCTTCTATTGTTGTTTTTGCTGATTAGCCATCAGCTACAGAGACGGCGGCAGCACTGGTTTTGTTTTGTTATTGTTTTTGTTTTGCTTTGCTTCTATTACGCAGTTGTTCTGTGCGATGACCCTTCCGCCCCCACGCCCAACACATGTCTGGTGCTCCCCGCGGAAGTGTTTTTTTTCGGGAATGTTCCGGTCCTTAATATACAATTCGTGATGTTTATCCTGGAATTCTATTCCGGGAAAACTCTGAGATTTATTCAACAAACCATTTAATTTTTGAAAAATTACTGCAGAGCTTCAACGAAATTGTTGTTGGGGAAGGTCAGGTTCGATATGTCTATGACCTTTTTTCTCCACATTTTCGAGATCTTTGGGAATCATTAAAGTACATTTGGCACACAACTTTCGGTTTTTCTAATGACCTGTTTCGATTTTTTAAGGCGACAACATACAGGGTCGCTATATGCCCCTCCAGGACAAGATCCTATTTTGGGATGGCCACAATCTAGGCCTACGCGGCGACTACAATGGCGTCCTCTTGCTGGACACCATTCTACAGGCGCCGATTGGACAGAACGACGACTACATCAGGCTCGAGATTATACTCTCCGAGGCGATCATCTTCCAGAACTGCATCAGTGAGCTGGAGAGCGAAGGACTAGAGTGTCCCTGCGATATCAGCAACGAGCTGACCCAGAAGATCAACCAGGCGCAGTTGAATGCCAAAAAGGGCATAAAAGCACAGAGGGTTTGTTTCTGCTTTCCAAGCTTCACTTTAGATAACCCGACTAACTCTATTCCTTTCCCTACAGTGGAACACTATCTGCTTGGAGGTGCCCTACTCCAGTTTGAAGCTGGTGGCCAACAATGTTGTTATTCTGCTGAAACGGCTGGAGCGCCACATACCCGTCTTGGCCATCGCCTCGGCGATCAACGAGCGACTCACCGACATGCTGATGGGCTCGCGAGTGCCCGAATTCGGCTTCGGCTACAGCAACTTCCAGCGTGTGCTGATGCACTCTGAGTCGGTGCGCCGCCAGACCTTTGAGAAGTGGCCCCACATGGACTACAAATGGGCGCTGCCTGATCAGATGGCACAGGCTGGCTTCTACCATCAGCCATCCTCCTCGGGGGAGGACCGCGCCATGTGCTTCACCTGCAACGTGTGCCTCGTTTGCTGGGAGAAGACCGACGAGCCGTGGAGTGAGCACGAGAGGCACTCGCCTCTCTGCCCGTTTGTCAAGGGCGAGTACACCCAAAACGTTCCACTTTCCATCACCTACGCCACCAATCCCGCCCTTTCTGCGCCGGGTCTTGGATTCGATATCATTTCGAACAGTGATTACGCCAATGTTTTGTGCACCAGTTGCTCCCAAACCGGGGAACTGAGCGTGTGGAGCATCGAAAGACATCTGAAGCTGATGCACAGCATCCATGTGCCCACTCTGCTCAAGGATGTCTTCGAGGAGAGCTTTGAGTGGGCGCGGGTGACCGCCATTTGCGTGCTCCCCAACGCCAGGGCCCGCACCAAGGTGAACTATGTTTACTCTTCGGCGAATTATGGAGGACCATCGGCCGGAAACGTACCTGGTTCTCATTCGGGCTCCACTGCCGGCTCGGGCGGAAAGTATGGCAACGTGAACGGCCAGAACATAACATCCACTTCCACCCTGCGCGCCGGCGTTGTCGGCTCGAAGATTGTGCTCGGGGTTAGTGTGCGCCAGAGCAGCGGCGAACTGGCCCTGCGAATGGTGGTGCTCAACGTGGTGGAGGCGGACCGATCCAGCACCAGCGAAACCTCGGCCAGTGCGAGCAACGACAGCGGCAGCGTGTCCAGCATGGGTGGCCAACTAATGAAATCCTCGTCTCCGATGGTAAACGGTGAGTTCGAGCATCCAAACCGTCATATATATATTGGTTCTAATCTTAGTTCTTATTTTCAGCAACTAACGACACCAATGCCGCCGTCACCCAGGTCAACATGGAGTCCAAAGACGACGACAACAAGGCTATGACACCCTACGAGAAGTTCACAGACGGATTCGATAGCAACGGCTTTGTCTCGGCCCTTATGACCTACAATAAGAACAACGGGGTTAGCCAGAACACGGATGATGCCTCTGCCCTGTACGATTTCGACCTGTGCACCTTGTCCCAAATACTAGACCACAATATGGAGGACCCGCTTAGCGGTATGATGGTGGGAGCGAACACCGTGAATGTCAGCAATCTGGGACTGAGCAACGACATCGATAAGCTTGTGGATGATGCCGAGATGGCGCACCAGAACAACAACAATAATAACAATAACAACAACGAGGCCAACTCCCTCGGCGGAAACTCATCGAACAACAACAACATTATGATAAACGGAAGCACCAACGGGAGCAGCAGCAGCGACAAGATGTCGGCCTCCGAGGAGATCGACTGCGTGGTGGAGAGCTGGACGAGCGTGAAGAGAATGAACGCCATGGATGGTAGTGCCTCCAGCAGCAGTGCCAATGGAGTAGCGCACCACTCGTTCCAGGAGATAATCGAGATAGCCGAGATTCTGCCCACCACCCCTAAGTGCAACCAGTTGCTGGTGAAGCTACTGCGCACCAAGGCTCCGGAAACGGAGGGCAGCAAAATAATCATGGCTACCGTAGCCAAGGAGGAGGAGGAGGAACTGGAGGACCTGGAGCAGCAGCACGACGAAGCCCTGGACACGTACAACAATGCGGAAGGAAACGTGGCTGCGCAGCTCCTGGTGTTCGACTACGATGACACCCAGATCTCCAACGACTACACGCTGGCCATGACCTTCAGTCGAGCCAAGTGCCCCAAACAGCTATGCATCTTGCCGCACTTCAATCCCTCCACGGAGCACAAGGACACCGGCTCCATTTGCGTGGTGTGCGCGGATGGCACCGTGGAGATATACTCTCTAGCCGACTTCCAGGGCACCACACTGATCGAGGAGGAGGGCGAACACTTTGAGTCGGTGGTCTACTGCCGCAACCTGGACCGATTGTGCTGCTGCTCCCGCCAAGGCGGGCTGTTGTTCTACTCGCTGAGTGAGGGAGAGAACGATTCCGGTGACGAGCTCCTCGAAATGGAGGACGACTGCAGCACCACGCTGACCCAAGGCGCGGATGTAAGTGTCACTGATGGCGCCCGCAATGGCGGCGGCGCTGCAGATCTGAAGGGCAATCCCTTGGCCGCCAGTGATTCCATTAGCGTGGATGTGGCTAATGAGGCGGGGTCCACCACGAGCAATCCCAACGGCGTTCAAACCTCCCCCTCGTCTGCCTCAATGGCCGGAAACGCCAACTTGCTGGCGTACAAGACCTCAGACCTTACCTTGGATGACCTCAAAGTCTTCTACGCCCTCACCCAGTTCGACGAAAACCTCACTATCTACTCGGCCGAGGTTCCCAGTTGCTGGAACGATCTCGGGCAGGTGCAGAAGCAGCGTAAGCAGTCGCAGAACATGCGTCATGGCGGCGACGACTTTACCCGCACATGGAGATTACACAATGATGCGTAAGTCCCTTTGAAGCTTGCTGGTATATCTACTATAATTCACCCAATTCTCCGCAGGACCACTTGGGACGAGCACATCATTGAGCTGAACCTGGCACAGCCAGTATCCTTGGGGCACATCGACCTGAAGTTCACCGTGTTCCAGCAGTGCTCGAATCCCGCAGCCATTCAGGTGACCCTGCTCAAGCAGAACACCAATGGATTCGGCTACCGCATGAAGGGGCCCCACGCCAGCTACAAACCCAACGTCATAGACGACAACATTGATCTCTCGTATAGTAAGTAGTCTCCCGGCTAGGGATTTGGTCCAAGCCGCAGATCTGAGACCGGCTTTCTTTGCAGTTGCTAATGACAATCCCGTGCTCAGCGAGGAGTATTTACTGGCCCACAACGCAGAAGTTCTGGCCGGGCCCATCGAGCTCTCCTCGTGCATCGACCTGTGCGACCAAGGAGGCACCGCCACACTCACCTCGCCAAAGCTTTTCAAGACCCGGACCCGAAACTTCTTGCTGCACATCAAGACGGTGTCGGATCCATCGAAGGAGGGCCAGAACAAGACGAGGGGTACGTAATAGCCGGGGATCGGAGTAGCGGAAGTAGAGAGTGGACGACCTGAAAACGTCTTTCCTGTTTACGTCCTTCCTCATTTTCCATTGTGGTTGTGTCCATTCTTGTAGTAGAATAGTCAATGTAGTAGTATTTGGTGTACCCTGTTCCATGCATAGGATGCTTCTTTCCTATTGGAAGTGACTGAACTGTCGCTCGCGTGGCAACCATGGGATCCAATGTAGAATATCCCATATGCCGCCGCCAGCCACGAAGTTTTTGTTTTTAAATCGCCCCATTTTGCAGCTTCCCCTCAGCGGCATCGATTAGAGGCCTTGGTGCAGCCCAGTAGGGTGTCTAAGAGCTCCCTTGCCATGGCCGACATGATCAGAGCAGTCAAGAGCTCGAACATAAAGCTAACACCTGAAATGAAAAGCGGCACTTTTAACCTTTTTGAGCAGATGTTCAAGCAGAAGTCCGCTTTTTCGACCCCGATGGTTTCAAGCAAGCTCATGAAAGATAAGCCCCTTGTGGTTTCTCCGCAAGTATTGGCGGCGACGTTAGGACTTGCCGAGCAGGAGAGACTGATACCGCGGCAGAGGGAAGGTACATGGTCGTTGCTTCGAGTATCATTTCATTTCCTAATCCCTGGAGCTACTTGCCAGCTTACTTATTTCATCTGCCATGTCTCCTTGCAGGTTGCGACTGGTTGCACGAGATTTCCATCAGCGTACGGGCCGTGAAGTCCCACAGCCGGATCAGCAATGGACGCATGCAGCGCATCGCCATGCTGGAGAGCAACAACCTGCTGGAGCAGCTATTCCGCATTGCCTGCGATCCCTCGTCCAGTCCGTTGAGCAAGAACCTTGCGCTCGATGTGCTCAATTGGATCTGTTTCATCCGGCTGAACCGCTACCGCTCTCCGAAGTCGGAGCGGTTGAAGGAGCACATCAACAAGCAGACTGCGGCCGGTATTCAGGACCTGCTGGCCCAGCAGTTCGAGTGCATCTCTCTCTGTGAGAAGCACATTGAACAGCTCCTGCGCAACTGCGTCATATACAGCGAGCGGAGCACGGCGCACAAGTGTGTTAAGCTGCTGATAATGCTAACAGAGTATGTAGCCATTGATCCAGCCAAGTAGGAAGCATATATTAATCCGCCTCTTTTTCGACTATCAGGGGCACCACCAACCTTCCCGCGGAGCTGCAGCTTCACACCACCTTGGACAGCAGCTTCAAGGCTGCCATTGCCAACACCTTCCCTGAGCTGCCCAGGGCTCAGTGTGGAAGTGTGGTGCGCTGGTACATGATGCTCACCTGTGCCACCTCCACCGCCGAGTCTCACAATAGCATCTCCGAGCAGGCCATCGCTTTGTTGAAGGAAATCGCAGGCGAGATGGACAAGCGCTGGGACCCGTACTGTGCCCTATTGAGCACCCGGTTCGGACTCTACGGCTACCCCTTCGAGCCGGAGATCTTTGACTTTGATTTCCCGAACATCAATCGCCATGGGAGCAGCTCCTCCGTGGCCCTTACGAATGTGATTCGCAGCAGTGCCACAATTTTGCCCGTGACGGGCTTGGACATCAAGCGGCTGAGCTCAATAGGTGGGTACATGAAGCCGCACTACCGCTTTCCTTTTCTTATGCCTTTGTGTGATTTCCAGACGGAGTGGACTTCCGCACGTTCCCGTATCTCATCCGGGGCAAGAGCATAAGCAATCAACTGCGCGGCTTGCTGGAAGTTGTCCAGCTGCACTTCACGTGTGTGCAAACCTCGGAGGCCACTCGCATTGATAACATAGACAGTGTGGGGGGCAGTGCCGCCGCCAGCGTGGTGATCGAGGACGTAATGATGCTGCCAAAACTGGTTGTGGCCAAGGAGAAGGACGAGGAACTGGTAAGGGAGACTCTGAACTTTCTATTGGAGACAAGTGTAACGCTTTTTTAATTCACAGCTCAACGATCTGGTCAACGACGTCGAGTGTTTGGTGGAGGAAATGAAGGAAAAGGAGGCCAAGGTTGACTCCGACACCTTTGGCCTGGTCAACGGCTACAAGGACAAGTCATGTAAGTAACTGTGGTCGATGGACGATGAGTGAGTTTTTCAAATCAACTTTTACTCTTTAGCAGTTTCCTCGTTTATGGATCTGGAGTACGCCCTCAAGGAAGAGGTTAAGATCGAGAAGGCTGCCATTATGAACAAAAAGATATCCAAGTTCCTGCCCACACTCACTCTGTTCGACAGCTACATCAAGAAGATCAACGAACAAATCTCGTTCGATGACTTCGGCAAGCTGGACGGCTGGGAACTCAAAAACAGTGGCGCCACGAGCAGCAATTTGGCAGCCTCTGATACCGCCTCCTTAGGTGCCTTGGACGAAACTCCGCGAGAGCTCCAACAGCAGCAGCAGCCAGAGGCTGCTCCACAAGCCTCGTCGTCCGGCGAGAGTCTCCTGGACGATGCTACAGAGAGTGAGAAGGTCTTGGAGCTCTTGAGCGCCAATCCCTGCCCGCCCATTGCGTGGCACAAGCTTATCACCCCTCCGCCAAAGCAGATGATTGTAATAGATCGGATGCACTCGGGGGCGCGACGGTTTGTGGTCCTGGACTTCGGCCAGCACATTCTGCTCACAGACTTGGTTATTCCGGCGTGTGATGAGCTCACCTCCCTGAACATCGACATCTGGTGCTTCGACGAGGAGACGGATTGCACTCGTCTGGTCCAGGTCAACGACATCCAAACAAAGACATTGGTGTTGAGTGACATACAGCCGCCACCCATTTGTCGCTACCTCAAGCTGACCATTATAGGCAGGATTGGCATGTCGTCGACAAAGTGCAAGGTCCCCCTAGGGCGATTCTTCGGACATCCCGTTGTTCTGGAGCACGATGGCTACGGGGACCAGCTGATGCGATACATTAAGCAGCCGACTCAGAGCCTCCAATCCCAGCTGAAGTCCCTTAACGCTCTCTACGAGGATGTGCACTGTCGCTACAGCTTGGCCAGCTGCAAGCTCATGGACCTGCTGGCCCCGATGCGCAATAGCGAGCTCTCTAACGTTGCCCATCTGCAGGCGTTCATCAACAAGCAGCGGGACGAGGAGCTAAGTGGCTTGGACAACAACAAGGTGGTCACCCTCTATGATGAATGCATGCTGCTTCAGTATCAGATCAATGTCATCCGCAATGTGGTATTCCGTTTGGAGCGGGCTCTGTCACCGAATGGTACTCTGCGAGCTCCTCCTACGCCCGGGGACTCTGTCGAGGAGATTCTGCGCGCCGCTTCGCGAGACAAGCTGCGGGTGCTAAGCCTTAGCTTGGTGGAGGTGCTGCTTCACTTCTCCATCGAGTGGGGCATCAAGAACATCCTGCCGGTCCACCAGAAGTTCAACGCAGCTACTGCAAAGGCCCTGTTCAACTCCTTGGTTGTTTACGGCGACGCCCAGCTGCAGCTGGCCACCTGCTCGCTGCTAGTGAGGATGTGCTGCTTCCAGCCGTGGTGGGGCGACTTCCTGGCCGACACTTTCTGCAGCCTATTCTCGGCCCAGAACTGCAAGGCCTTTCCGCAGGATCGGTGAGTCATCCCTGACCCTCTTGAGAAAGAAAACATTTTACATTTTCTTCATTGCAGTATCTTCTTCCTGCTGACCTACCTGGGCCGTCGCAGCATTGCCATGGGCGCGTGCCGCTCCATCGTGATCGATGCCGTCCTGAAGACTCTCGTCAAGCTACTGGCCCCCATATCGCCGCACTACAAGTTCCAGTCCGAGCAGCCGAGCACATCGGCCAGTGCTGCAGAACGCGGAGCTGTCATGGGAGCTACCTCGGACCTACAGCTCATCACCTGGCTGCTTCTGTTCCTCTCGGTGTGCTTGGACGACAACGACCGGAAGGATAAATGTAAGAAAAGGAAGAAAATCGATATATTTTTCTGTGATGTATAACTTTCGTAAACTAATCCTTGCAGCGGCCGCTCGCTGGGACTTTATGAGCTGCGAGAGCGACTTTACCAAGACTAGACCCAACAATACTCCAAACAGCAAGCAGCTTCGGTGCTTCAAGAAGCGCATTATCCAGCAGAACAAGTACTCGGTGCAGCCATACACGGATTGGGGCAAAAAGATCTACATGATTCAAAACGAGGTAGGATTGCACTTCCTGAGATAAATTATGCTTTACAAAGTATATATTCCTTATTATTTTAGCACCCCGGTATTTTCATGGAGCTCTCCACCAAATCAAAGGGAACGGGAGCCAGCAAGTCTACCTCCACTGGTGGCAAAGTCAATATAGGCTCGTCCGGCTTGTTTGCTTCCGCTGGGAGTTCAGGCTCCAGCAGCGGATCAAAGGGGCTTGCTTCTGGCGCCACCGCCTCGCCCAAACACCAGGACACTCCGGTGGGCGAAGGCGAACGGGACAGCAACTTTGACAAGGGACTGAAGACCCTGCGCATGGCCAACATAAAGGTGGTGATCCGAGGACTATTCGCGCTGCTCCTGGAGATGGACTTTGATTGCAACATGGACCAGTTCCTGCTGACCTGCAAGGTCATTGCCCGGCTCGTGGCCGCCTGCCGACCGTCGGTTCAGCTGTGCAAGATTGTGACCACAGCCCAGCTGGAGCAACTTATTCGGCTGTCCGTGTGGAACGACCAGCAGCAACCCTGGGCCGTGCATGCCATCACCTGCCTCCTTCAGGTGGGTAATCTCAACCGTTCTTTGGAAGGATTATATTTTAAAATCACGTTCTTCAACAGGATCTTCTGGATGCCGACAAGCAGTTCAGGGATAGCGATGCCACGCCCACAAACGATGGGCAACGGACCATGGAGGCAGCCGTGCAGGAGACTCGAGATCTATTCAGCGACTACACGTGTAAGTATTTGGGGATCGTAAAGATTTCATAATAGGAAACGGCAGAAAAGTGCATGTGAACAGATTGTTATTGAAATATCGAATGTGTCCGGGCAACACATGGTCGGAATTGCCTCTAATATTGATATTTGATTTAATCAAATGAAAAAGAACAAAAGAAATGAACTTTCCATTCTTTTAGCAACTGCTTCCTCGTGCTCCGAGGCACAATTTGAGATGCTGATGCCGACAGCAAGAGAGTTTTATCAAGAGGGTAAACATAGACATTTTTCTTAAATGTAGAACCTTTCCCGGCATGGTATCTATCGCAGGTTGTTTGACAATCCCATGGCCAGGTGCTTCCAGGGTCCATGAATGTGGTCATGAATGACACAGGTTTACAATAATTCGACTTCTGTTGGGAATAGGTTTTCAATCGCAAGATCTATTCGCATGTCCTTAGACTCCCTTTGGAGTGCCAAGTGGAAATGATTGTTAATCTGTTTATGGACCCTGGTTGGAAACTGCTTACTCCACCAGCTTTTAGTTCAAATTCTTATTTCTCACTACCCTTGCCTTGACCACCTCTCGATGCGGTCTTTAATGTTTCCCAATCCCTCTTCTAGCCGTTAAATACAACTACTTGCCGTCGCTGATCGAGTGTGACGACACGGAGTTTGACGAGATGCTCAACGACATCGACATGATAGAGCGCACCAAGCCAGTGACCAAGAAGGAGAGCAACGCGCTCTGCAAGAACACCTTCAACTTCTTCTGCAAGTCCATTTCCATAGCTCTAGATTCCCGCTTGGACGCCGGTCTGGAGCTACACGTCGAGACGCAGCTGAGGCGGCTGACGAACCGAACCTCCCTGGACCTCTACTCCTCGCTGCCGCAGGTGCTGACCAACGAGTTCGTTTCCCCGCCGCCGGAGGCTGCGCCCTGGCCGGAATACCTCACCCAATTGTGGTCGGGAACGGAGTACAACGGCCGCAACACGTATGTGATGTTCAAAACGGTCTTCGACTCCATTCTGGCGGACCTGCACTATGAAGATACGTGGGTCCACCTCGAGCAAGTACTCCAGATGTGGCTCACTCTGAACTGCGAACTGTCGGACAAGCCGTATTCCAACGGGATTACCCACACGGATGTGCCCAAGATTCCATTTGGCGCCAATGCAGTTCAGGGCCTGTTGTTGGCCTTGGCCTGGCACAACGACATCAAGCTGCGCACATGGTGTCTGGGATTCCAGTGCTTGTTCCTGGCCTGCAACTCCCAGCCCATTGGGGAGGATGTGGACAGTACCAGGATCAATGAAGTTATAGTAAACGATGAGAACTTTGAGAAGATGCTGCTGCGCTTCTTCTCGGGCTACGGCATGAGCTCGTCCATCATCACCAATCGCTGCGTGAGTTTCTCCATTCCTTTCTGCAAATGGGTCATTTTTTAACTTTAACTTCGAATTCCAGGCTGGCCCTACCATCTGCAAGCACTTGCACGAGCTGCTTCTGTGGCTGCATAGCAAGAGCGAAACCAGTGGCCTTCCCTGCAAGCGTCGGCTGAAGGACATCCTGCTGCACGTGGTGTTGCAGCTGGTGCAGCCTGGTGGCGCCATTAGCAACCAGCAAGGACCCATTGATGCCCAGAACCAGCTGGTGCGCGACGTGCTTCTGATGCCCAATGACAAGGGTGACCTCAACATAGCCCTGAAGATTATCGAGAGTGTTTGTGAGTATTCAAAGGGTCCTCTTTTCACGAATTCCTTGTCCTTACTTATACCTCTCTACCTCTAGCCTTCCTGGTCTACAACAACATATCCAATGGCGAGAAGCTGCAGTGCCAGCGGGCCAACGAGAACAACAATATTGGCAACAACTTCAGCAACTTGTTCGCCAACGTGCTGGGCTCGGAGAACCCCACCAAGCAAAACGCCACCATTTGCGACAATTCGTTGATTATAAATCTGATGAAACTGTGCGGCCACATGGTGCTAACGGAGATGCCCAGGCAACCTAGCGTAAGGAAGCACTTGTTTTCTTGAGTGCCATGATGTACTGATGATTTATGTACTTTCAGGAGGTCACCATTCCCGAGGAGGAGGAGCTGTCCAACCAAAGCCAGACTGACGAAACTAAAGCCGAGCAGCTCAACACTGAGGGGCACCGCAGCAAAGTGCCGTGCATAGCCGATTGGGGTTCGTCCTTGTAGATTCTCCATCCGGTCTGGATAGATTTGAATAGCTTTTTGAACATTTTCAGTGCTGCGACATTTCCCCACCATGAAGCGTCTCTTTGGCACGCTCTCCCAGTGTTCCACAAACACCTTTACGATGTCATCGGGATGCTTCTTTTCCCTGAAGTCCAGCGTGGTCCTGGATGACCCACAGACCATCGCGGACAGTGTGTTTAGCCTGATGCTGACCTTGAGCGACAAGGCTTCCAACCCGCGGTTGGTGGTGGCGCCTATCTGTCAATACCTGGAAGAGAGTAAGTGGATTGCGTGTAAATCTGAATCCTTGAATAAAATGTTCAATCAATATTGCTAGCTACCATCCAACGGAATGCCTCCTTGCCGCGGCTGCCTCTGTCGGAGCCCTTCCTTTGGTATGTTTCCAAGATTCTGGAAGTCACGGCAGCCGTGCAAACTTTCACCCAACTGGGAGGCATCATGATTATCTGCCACAACTTGGTGCGGCTCAACAAGACAATCATCAACATGCAGCCGGGATTGGTGAGCATCCTCGAGGGAGCTCCTTTGTGGCTCAGAAGTAACCTCTTTCGGTTTTTTCAGATCTCCATGATCATGCAACACATGACGCGCAACACACGCCTGAAACTGAACACACACGTAGCCGCAAGCAATGCCTGCAAAAAGTCTACCACTCCAGGGGGCACCACTGTGGCTGCGGCAGCCCAGCCTCCGAGGAGCGGGGCCCAGTACGATGGGCTGATTAACTTTGCACCCTTCTCCCACATCGTATCCGAGAACGATGCTGCCCAGAGTGCCGAGGTGCTCATCTCCAATCCCAACACCACCCACCGGCGACCCCGATCACCAGCCTGGAGCTACATGTTCTACCCCAACGAGACACACGTGGATCTTACCATAACACTGCCCACTGCGATCCTCTTGAAGGAGGTGCAACTGGTGCCGCACACCTCTAGTTTGGCATCCTGTCCATCAGCAGTGGCACTGGAACTGTCTAGGGACTACGGCGTTGGCTCCATCCCAGTGGGGGCGCCTATGGCTACCACGGGACTGACCTGTATTCGGCTGAAGCTGGCAAAGGCGGAGGTGGCTACAAGCATAGTCCTCCGGTTGTACAAGTGAGTAGAATCATAACTGAATCTCGGGAGTTTGGACACTTACGGATCATTTTTCAGGCCCAAGGACTGTGGAAATGTCGGCCTGGTGCAGATCGCTGTGCTCGGGCAGACGATCTTTGGTAATCGCATGCAGGGTCTGCGGTCCCAGGGTCCCTTCATGGACTCGCTCGCTTCCTGTTCCACGCCTCTGCCCTCGGCTGCCCTGGCAGCTATAGATGCGGACATCTTGCCGGACGACGATGCTTTTGCCAAGACCAGCATCGGCTGGGTGCGCATCCTGTCGCGCTGTTTCCATGTGGCCGCCCTGCAACCGGACAGTAAGCTCTCGGACCTGATCGCCGCCTATCCAGCCTCTTACCCAGGGTTCCTGGAGGCCTGCTGTTCGCTTCTGAACATCATGCCGATGATCCCGAGTCTCGCACAGCAACACCTCGAGACTATTCTGCTCAAGCTGGGCGCCTACAACCACGAGCTCAGTCTGCAGCTGCTACGAACACTTCTGTGGCACACCACGCCCCAAGGTATGTCTCTTGTTCTTATTAACTCTTGGACGAAAGAATGCTAATGTCGCGTCACTTCTTCACAGTTTTTAAGCTCTCCAGTGACGCGGTTTGTGATTTAATTCATGAAGTGGTCACCGGTTCGGCGGAACACCTGGTGGACAAGCTCCGTGTGCTCATAGACTGGGTAATGCAGCTGCACGACAACTACTCCAAGCAGGCGCGGTGCAACAACCCGCAGAGTGGTTTCGTTAAGGTCATTGCGTCGATCCTGTGGCGAGTTCACGCCCAGCAGCAGTTGACTGAGCTGCCGCTGCTCATATCATCCTCGCTGTTCGAGACCTGCTTCGATTGGGTCTCGAGCCTGGAGCACGATGAGCCCCTAAAGAGCAGCTTTGATTCCCTGCTCTGTGCCTTGTGCTACATAAAGCCGGAGCTGTTTAATCAGCTCTTGGTGAAACTGGGGGTGAAGCTGGAGCCGCCGGCGCGAGGACAAACAGACGACAGCAAAGTGCAGAGCGGCAGCGCCTGGTTCCGCCGGGAGGGCGGTGAAAATCTCACAGTTCTCCTGCAGCGTCCCACATTCCTTAAGACCCTGGCTCTGGCCTGCCAATCTCCAGCAGCCGTCTACCAGATGTTGGACTCCGGCCTACCAAAACTACTGGCCCACGCGATCTTCGAGTACTGCACCCATCTATTGCCGGGATCCGAGCAAGGAAACGCTGCAGCTGCTGCGACAGGAGAGCAAGCCGGTTCGTCAGCAGCTGGTGAACAGGATTCCTCGCTGACTGACTTTGACAAGGCCGAGGCGAGCGCCAGTCATAGTGCTCCGCTGCTAAGCAGCGCAAATGTACCAAAAGTCCTTGACTTCTTCGCGGAATGCTGTGCCGAAGGGCCCATGCGCGATTGGCTGGGCACGATGCAGGGCTCGGTGTTTTGGAAACCTCTACTGCAGCTGCTGTGCAATACCCACGCCGCCCAGTTCAGTAAAACCCTGCCGATGCAACAGACTTTCATACGCCTGGAACGGGCCACCATAAACTTCTTTACCAGAGTGAGCGCCTGCCACCCCGGCAACCAGGAGGTTTTGACCGCCTTGCTGATTGGGGCCATCATTTGCAAGCCCCTGCGCTCCCCGCAGGGAGTTCGACCCACCATCTCGGGCTTCACCCGGCAGTTGGTGCTCCAGCTGCTTCTTGAGAACGAGCACATCAATGTGTCGGTGAGGAGCATGCAGCCGCTACAGCGTCGGGACACCCTCTCCGCCATCATGGGTGGTGCCTCGGGTACGGGCGGTGCCAGCACCAGCTTACCCGTAGCAGCGGTTAACAACCACCCCGCGAAGCGGAGCAGCGCCCACCACATGCTCTTCACAGTGAACACCAACACCACATGCCAGGAGATTGTGCAGAATTGCGTGAGCGGTGAGTCAAAGGGAATATGTTAATGGTATTTGGGGATTGGTGAATCAACGAAACCAGGAACTTTGTTTTTTCTGCATGTCTTCTGTTCTTCATTTCGATTAATTTATTTTTCTTTCGTTGTCCTGGTTTTCCCCTTAGTGTTTAGTAACTTAGTTTACCAACAACCAACAGATCAAAGGACTGGGGAGCCGACTAGCTCTTCCACCTCGGCCTCGAGCATTGGCCATCCCAGCGGAAGTGCCGCCAAAGCCTCAGATGGCAAGCTTGACAAGAACAGCTTCATAAACTTCAACAGCTTGGAGGCGGGAAGCATGGAGTTCCTAACCGTGGGAGCCGCTGTGGCGGCTAAGGACAAGCGAATCAAGGATGCCAAAAACCAGGCGGCGGTCAACAAGGACAAGGAGACGCAGACCAATGGCTTGAACCTGGCGTCCAGTAAGGCTTTCACGCTTCTCCAAAATTGTATAAGTTTTAACACAATCTCTTCAGATATTTTCAACGTGGAAGAGTTCCTCCTGCAAACGGCCAACGCTGCCAACGGGAACCAGCTGGTGGTACCTGAATATCCGGATATACTGCTAGCTGGGGATGCCACCATTTCACAGGTTTTGGCCACCTTACAAGATGCAGGACATTCCCTGTCCACGCCATGCATCACGTTCGACCTGGTCCCCCAACAGAGGGGAACAGATGAAGCCTGCGATGCCAAGAAAACCAAAGCCGCCTGCACGGAACCCTTGCCATCTCCCCTGCAACGATTCTCGAGCAGCGGTGGTCTCTCTCTGCTAGCTCATTATCTGCCCACCGTTTACCCGGAGCATTCCGGCCGCAAGACAACCTCGGTCGCCAGCGAGAAGGAGAAGAGCCCGCCGCTCTCGGACTGGGTCAAGTTGGAGCCCAACGATGAGATTTACGAGGACTTGGAGGACACCATTTGCGAACCGGCGGCCAAGCAGACAACTGTGAGCTCGGTGCCGCAGCATTCGCTAGCCGCCTTTGGACTCTTCTTGCGCCTGCCTGCCTACTCGGACGTCCTTCTCAGGGACAAGCTGCGAGCACAGTGCCTGCTTCGGCTGGTTCTGGGGGTTACTGGGGACGGTGAAGGAAGTAAGTTCGCTTCTATAATATATAGTAACTGGTGTACTAATCTCTCTCCCATCCACAGACGACATTTACAGTTTGTCCCTAGCGCCCTCCCTGCCGACTCTGCCCTTCGAGGTCTTCCGACAACTCCTGGACAGTGTCCCGCTCTCTACGGACGACGGAGTTCTGCTTCGACGCGTCGTTATCGAGGTGGGTGCCATGCACCTGGTGCTTAACTGCCTGGGTATTTTCTCGCACCAATCGCACAATAGCCGGATCGGAGCCCCGACCTCGAACTCGGTGGATCCCTCCCCCAGTGGAGGAAGTAGTGGAAGTAGTGGCAATGGGAATGGCAACGGAAAACCCTGTGCAGCTGCGGATGAGGCTACGCCCAGTGCCACTTCCGATGACAAGAGTCACATGTACTGGGCCAAGGGAACGGGCTTTGGAACCGGATCCACCACCCAGTCGTGGAATGTGGAGCAGGCCTTGCTGCGTCAGAAGAGCGAGGAGGAGCACGTAACCGTGTTGCTGCTGGTTTTGGCCAGCTACATCAATCCGGGCGACTGCATCCCCAGCGACATGTGCGGTAACGACATTTTGGCGTACCACGATGTCCGCGATGTGACGGGCGAACTGCCGCCCATCTTCCAAACCCTTCTGCACCAGTCTTGCTTGATTCCCGCCCTGAGCTCGTACCTGCGCAATGATTCTGTGCTCGACATCACGCGCCACATTCCGCTCTACCGTGCCATTTTAAAGTTGCTCAGAGCTCTTTCTCTGTCCAAGATGCTGGTCTCGTTGCTCCAGCCGTCGGTCAGTGGCAGTGGAGACAGCACCCCTCCCATTTCCGAGCTGCTCACCAATATGAAGACCTGCGTAGACACCTACGCTAAGAGGCTGAAGTGAGTAATCCGTGCCCAGGTGATCCGCGCCTAGCATTAATCTATAATAAATATTTTCTCTTTTTTTCACCAGAGTCAACAAAAAGTCCAACATCAAAGGGCAAACTCATCAGTTGACCTTCAATATCGACGATGGCGACGACGAGGGGTTGGCCCTGCTCATTCCGGACATTCACGAGACAGCCGTGCTCGTCCAGAGGACCACGGACGCCGATGCGTTGGTCAACAAACTGCACTCGAACGAGGACGGCGGTGGTCAGGTGGAGCGTCCGCTTAGCAAGTCCATCGAGCAACGCTACCTTGAGCTGATGAAGAAACGCCAGTTCGACACATACGACATGATTGTGGAGTCGGACAACAACAGCTTCCGCTTTGTGGTAGCGCACCACTTTGAGAAAATGGTCAGACTAGCCGGCGACCGGTATCATCCATCGAGGGTGAAGCGACTGGCCCAGGAGGCGGTGACCTTGTCCACTAGTTTGCCCCTAAGTTTTAGCAGTTCTGTATTTGTGCGCTGTGATACTGACAGATTGGACATCATGAAGGTATTATAGCCGACGCATTGGAAGAACCCAATAACTTACCATGTTGTTTGTTTAATCACACTAGGTACTCATCACCGGACCGGCGGACACGCCATATGCCAACGGTTGTTTTGAGTTTGATGTCTTCTTTCCCCCGGACTATCCCAACCTTCCGATGCTCATCAATTTGGAGACTACGGGCCGGCACTCGGTGCGCTTCAATCCTAACCTCTACAATGACGGAAAAGTATGCCTCTCGGTGTTGAACACCTGGCACGGCCGACCCGAGGAGAAGTGGAACGCTCAGACCTCCAGCTTCCTCCAGGTGCTGGTTTCTATTCAGTCGCTCATCCTAGTTCCGGAGCCGTATTTCAATGAGCCTGGATTTGAGCGCAGCCGCGGCACTCCCAGTGGCACTAACTCATCCAGGGAGTACAATAGCAACATATACCAGGCCTGCGTGCGCTGGGCGATGCTGGAACAGATCCGCAACCCCAGTCCCTGCTTCAGAGATGTAAGTTTCATTTGAAAGATTCCATTAATCGAGTGGACGTTTAATCCATTTTTGTGGCTTAGGTCATTCACAAGCACTTTTGGCTAAAGCGCGAGGAGATCTGCCAGCAAATCGAGGGCTGGATTGAGGAGCTCAGCAAGCCTCAGTACACAGAACGGGCCAGTCGCACCATATCCTTCAACTCGATGGTGCTTCGACGCCACTATCGCCATCTGCGCGAAGAACTGGCCAAGCTGAAACCGCCACGTGGCTTGGAGGACTTGGATGCACCCTTTAATCCAGTGGCCACACTACCTCTCATTGATGTTTCTGCAGCGCCGGTAGCTGCTAGTGGGACGACCAATGCCCAGGTGGGAACTGATGATACAATTGTGCCGGGACTAAACCTAACCGACAACGAGGCCGATGGAGAAGGAGACGGGGATGCAGATGCGGATCCCGAGGATGTCGGGACACCCACATACTTCAAGGAGTTCCCCAAGGAGGAGGAAGCGCTGTCAGAGGTGGTGGAAATTCTCAGTGATACTGAGAACGAGAGCACTGTGTGGCAGGAAAAAGAGGAAGAGGAGGAGGAGGAGGAGTCGCCGTGAATTGGGCTTGGCTGCTGAAGAGAGATGAATGTGATTCTGATGCATCTTAAATGCCCCATATAATTTTATTTTTACGATGCTACCAGAGGAGTGGAGTTCGATGCGTTTCGTTTTACCGCCTTTAAGTGTTTTAATTTTTGTAAGAGAGAGACTGGAACAGAACTTGGTGTGCTTTACTTAAATTGAAAAATCATAATATTCTTAATGCTAAATTAAAAAAAAAAAAAAAGAAATTGCTCGTGCAGGCATACTGAGATGCCTAAACTAAAAACAGCGAATATGCACTGTCAGAAACTACTTTCCATTCAAAATGAATATCCCACAACTCCATACATATATGTATGATTATTGTATCGAACTTTTTATAAATGCTTATATAAACGAAATCGATCGATTTCTACAAGAAATATAACCCCGTGTGTGAATAGAATAGGCATGCATTATGCGAGTCATTTGAATATATCACAACTACAAAAAACAGTAACGAAACAGAAAACAAAAACCACCAAAACCAAATTAATGTGTATTAAAACTATGAATGTACGTAGTAATTTAGTTAAATATTTACAGCAAAATGTGAGTGCAGTTACTTTTTCATTTGAAATAAAAACGAGAAATATATTGTTTCCTCCAAAATCATAAAATACAATTTTCAGAAGATGTACTTTCTTTTTTTATGTGAATGTTTTTTGGCTGGTCTTTTAGGTAAATCTAGTCATAAAATTTTAATTTATGAAATTAATCTATTGGTAAATGAAATTATTAAACATTTACCAAGTTACTTTGCTTTTCAGACTTTATTTCAAAATAAAATCGGCGCGTAAAAGCGAGTCAGAAGTATCGACTTGGAACATAGTCGTTTAGTCTGTTAGTGGTGTGCGGAACTAGTTCCACAGCTGACCAGGTCCATCTCTATTTAAGCACGTGCTGTTTTTAGCTTCCCCGAAATATCTCTTTGTTATGGAAACATTTAACAATTGTCCTGGGTTCTGCCCTTCTTGCGGATCAATTTTGCCCACTCTGCAAGTTAAAGGAAATGTGATGTGTTACAACTGCAAGAAAGAGTTCCTGCCTGATGGTAACTAGAAGTTCACCGAGGTGCCGATGTGATGCCGAGTCATACTTTTGATTTTGTTTTATTTGCCACAGTTTATAGCGGGGAGAAGTCCGACTTCGTAATACACTTCAACGCCTACGATCCCAGCAAGGTTTTTAACCGGACAAAAAGAGAATCGGAATCTTCAGAGGCAGACGGCCCAGTGGTGGAGAGGAAGTGCCCCAAGTGCAACCACGATAAGATGTCATACGCCACCCTGCAGCTTCGATCCGCGGATGAAGGACAAACTGTTTTCTTTACGTGCCTTAAGTGCAAGTACGTATTCCCAGCTAGTTGTTTTGCCCAAAACTAACCCTTTACTTTCCAATTGCAGATTTAAGGAATCGGAAAACTCTTAGACTTAAAACTTATAGTGTAACCCAGTATGGATACCCAGTAAAATATATTGTATAAAAATGTGTTGTCACAGAACCAAAGCAACGACATAATAAGTTTACTGATACGTATAGTAAATCATTAGCAGTCCTAAATTTTGGGTTTCGAAATCGAACAAAAATGTATTCTGCCCAAAAAGCAACCAGTTCTTCCAGTTGGCTCGATGCTATCGATAGTTTACACTGGCCATGGAACTAGCTCTTTTTTGATTTTTAAAATTTAAATATATAATATATATAAATATCACATTTAGTCATTTGCTAATCAATTTGTGATCGAAATACCATTTCTGAAAAAGGGCTTCTGTTATTATTGATCTTCATCAATAGATATAAAAGCAAGAACGAAAAAATTTGACATTCGAAAAGGGGAATCAGGATTTTTTGCGTAAATCGGCGAAATCATTTAAGCTACTCCGCTTGAGAATCGGATGAGAATTGGGGAAGATATAGCCATCCCTGTGGACCCTATAGGGGAAAACCCCATTTTCAAGGGATCCCATCACGAAAAATGGACAAAAAATCTTAAAAATATTTTGTCTCAGGATTTTATTGCAGAATAGTGGAGAATCGATCCAGAAATCGTTTAAGATACTCCGCTTGAGAATCGGATGAGAATTGGGGAAGATATAGCCATCTCTGTGGGCTCTATAGGGGAAAACCCCATTTTCAGGGGATCCGTCAGGAAAAAAGGACAAAAAACATGAATGAATGGAGGAGAATCGATCCAGAAATCGTTTGAGGTACTCCGCTTGAGAACCGGATGAGAATTGGGGAAGATATGACCATCACGGCGGGCTATATGGGGAAAAAACCTCTTTTTAACTTCAGTAGTCTAATGTAGAAAAAGTAATCAAATGGGCACCCGGTAAATAGCCGGGTCTAATCTTCTAAAAGCTCAAATAAAAAATTCATTTTATTTTTTCATTTTAGTTTGCAGTAAGTTTATAGTTAATGAATGTATGAATCATTGAAACAATAAAATCAATGAAGATTTGGTTTATATTTATTGCGTACTTTATTTTGCTTAATGAAAAAGACAAAAAGGTCATTTTAAAAACTCGTACCTTCTACAGTAAAATCGTAAAATTATTTGGGTTGCAGATTCGGTATCCTTCGAAAATATATCTTACTGGGAAGGTAAGAAATCTATATCTTTCTGGAAGGCATAGTTGTAAAGGTGAAGAAAGGTACAACTGAACCGCTAAGATTGTTTTTTTTTTATATTTTCGAATTTTTGTTCGCTCACTCGATGCGAAGGTACAATACTACGATCGCAAAACCAGTCATTCTGCTCTCAGTTGTCTGTCCGGAAAGTCAAGTTAGTACTGTGCCATTGAGAATGAATTTCGAGCGCCTTGTCTTCCGGGGCGTTGTGTGGAGCGTGGTTTTGGTGGCTTCTGCAGTGCTGGAGGATATTCCAGACTGCGATTTTTTCGACACTGTGAGTTTGACAGGAAGACTGAAGTTTGCGAACGGCTCCTACCAATATGAGAACCTCATTATACCCGCCGCTCTCACGGGGGCTTACGACTACGAGATCGACTTTGACGGAAACCGGAGATCGGTCCAGAGCCACGTTCGGGGATGTGCGTGCCAGTTGAAGTCGTGTGTGCGGCTTTGTTGCCATCACAAGCAGCTGTTGAATAACAACAAATGCGTGGAGGCTGAGGAACAGGCCCTGGCCTTCGACTACTCATTGAACATCACTCAAAAAGATGGCCAAGAGAGGACCGTGCACATTCTGGAGGATATGGTAGTGCAGCAGGAGCTACCCTTGCCCTGCTTCTGGCATTACAGTCTCCACGCAGAGTCCTCTGAGGCGGACAAATGGACGCTGCTTGAGGTGTGTAACGTCCTAAACTCGGGGCTAACACATTGACGGTATATATGGCTTTAATGATTTCTAGGATGGCACTCTTATCCGGCACTACGACGAGGCCCGGCTCTCGAAGCAGCAGTATTGCCTGCAGCCGTCAAGTTCGGTTTCCGATTGGAAGTATTCCCTTGTGCCCTACAACTGCGCCATCGAGCAGTCAAAGGCGACAAGCTATGGTATTTATACTTATTCTGATTAGTAACTACGTTATGAATTGCTTATCAGCTCCGTTCCAGTCAAAATAGCCTCAGTTATTTTTTTGGGTTTTACCGTCGGATTGTACATTTGGCTCCCCAAGCTCCACAGCCTCCAAGGAAAGTGCTGCAATGTTTACTTCGTCTGCCTCATGGTGGCCTTTCTACTGAATGTTTACACCAAGTTGTACGTAGGAGAGGGATTTAGTTGCTATATTACTGGTGATATAATCACTATTTCTGGTATTATGCTTCTGACAGTGATTTAATGCAGGCTATGTCGGCTACTTCGCTACCATGGCCACCTTTCTGTGGCTTTCGGTAACCTGCTTCGCATACTGGAGAACATTCTCCAGGATTGTATCCAGCCCCGGAAGAATGATTGGCCTAAGCTTCTTCACCTTTAACCTCGTCGTGTGGATGACAGCCGGAACCATGACCATTGTAACTTTTCTTGTAGATTTTTTCCAGCCATTTCCCGAGGAACTTCTTCCCAACATAGCAATCGCCTGTTGGATTTACAGTATGTATAAGATAGGGATTCTCAATTGGCACTACAACCTCCTCTTCACAGCTGCTAGTTGGTCGGGACTGATTTACTTCTACGGCCCCATCAGCGTTTTAGTGTTGTTCAACCTCACCATGTTCGTCTTGACCATTATGGTTATTTACAAGGCCAGGACGGCGGTCTCAAGCTCTCAAAATGAACGTAAACGGAGAAGAAATCGTGCCATGTAAATGGAATAGAAATATCCTATGAACTCCTAAAAATCTATGCTTTTTGTTTCCAGATACGGTGTCTACTTGAACCTATTTTGTGTTATGGGTGGCTTTTGGCTTTTTGAAGTAATTGCCTTTATGTGCGACAGATCCAACGTCCTATCGACTCTTGTGACCGCAAATGAATACATTAATTCCGGACAGGGAATCATGATATTCCTAGTGACCGTATGCAATAAGGAGGTTTTGAAATTCGTACGGGAGAGGTAAATACAATTGAATGAATTCTGCCAGAATACAATTGATATCTTCCTAAAACTCCCATAGGATCCAGTCGGAAAAACCAGACCTGGAAAACCACTCCTTTTCAGGGACCCAAGCCTATCCGCTTATGACCCAAGTTAGCTGAGATCGAAACTTGGGGCAAGCTTTATTTCCGAGAATTCCGAAAAATTTCTAAAACTCGTGCAGAAGTACTTTTATTAGTTTTTTGATAAAAAATGAATAAATACGCCCCTTGAGTTGTTCCATACATTCAAGTTTCTTTAATAGTCCATGGGGATTGAGTAAAGATGGTTTCTTGGAAAAATGTATGTTTCTTGATAGAAACATGCAGTTTCAGCTTTATTATGTTCTGAACACTTAACAGAACAAGTCAACATTTAAAATGTTCCAACTCCTTATCCTTTTTTTGACCGGTATTCTGGCCATGGACATTCCAAACTGTGATTTTTACGATACGGTTGATATTTCGAGCAGTGAGCAGTTATCGGACGGGTCCTACATCTACGAAGGTGTCCATGTTCCCGCTACGCTGACGGGGTCTTACGATTACCAGATCGATCCCACAGGGAAACGTGAAACAGTGCCGAAGCACATCCGAGGATGTGTTTGCCAGTTGAAGGCGTGTGTTCGACTTTGCTGCCCTTACAACCAGTTTCGGGAGGCAACCAAATGCGTAGGAAATACAAATCCCCAAAATATTACATGGGACTACTCATTAAATGTAACGCTGGACGATGGAAGTGTGAAAACTGTGGACTTTTTGAAGGACATGATTCACCAGCATGACACGCCGTTTTCCTGCTATTCGTACCCATTAGATGCGAGGGACCCGAACGCCACCGACTTCTTCTGGGCTCTGTACGAGGTAGGTTAAGAAATCAAGCTAAGGAAAAGCTAAAGGACATTATATCCATTTTCAGAACGGATCTCTATTGCGTCACTCTGACTCCCAATGGCTTTCGAAGACTGAGTACTGCCTGCAACCTGCTCTATCCAAAGATCAGAAGGAAATTTACATGGTAGCCAACAACTGCGCCATAGATGGCCCAAAAACTATGGCCTACGGTGGGTTTCCAGAATTTAAATGATAGCATTTTAAATACTGTATAAACCTCTCTTAAAATATATTTGCAGTAAAGCTGGCCTCTGCTTTTTTCTTAGTCGTCACCATTGCGATTTATCTGTGGCTTCCCCGATTCCGCCACATCCATGGTAGGTGCTGCGTCCTCTACTTCGCCTGCCTGGCTTCCGCCTTTGTCCTGAACGCGGCGAGTACTTTTCGTGTGTTCGATGGCAACATCCCCATGTGTCCAATTAATGGTAAAGCCCTTCCATTCAATTTTTTGCTCGGAATCAGAAGCATCCTTTCGCAGGCTATGTCGGCTACTTCATGGTAATGTCCACCTTCCTGTGGCTTTCGGTCATAGGTTTTAATGTCTGGCTGGGCTTCCTGGAGAAAATTCCTTGCTCATCCCCCTCAGAAGTGGCAAGGCGCTTTTGGTACTACCACATTTATGTTTGGACCACTGCCACACTTCTAACTTTAATAGTTTTCCTCGTATCTACTTTTGTTCCAAAGAATGACAGTAACATGGAATATGTTCCTTATGTGTATGGCGATTATGGTTGCTGGATTTTAAGTACGTACCCCTGAATTATATACTGAGGGCTCCAGTTATCTTTCCAATATAAGATCAACAATTTTTCCCCTTCCTATTGCAGCTTATAATTATTCCGCCTTGACTTATTTTTATTTTCCCATGGGCGTATTGGTAACCGTGAACGGAATCTTTTTCTACCTCACCATCCGACGGATTTACGGGCAGCACAGATCCATCAGATCTACTATAAACCAAGACAATGCGCACCAGGACACCGGAGCCAGGTAGGATCGTAAATAGTATTAGCTCCGCTTTGAAAGGTAACTCCATGGTATTGCTTTCAGTTACCAGGTTTACTTGCGACTGTTCATTGTAATGGGCTGCAACTGGATCCTAGAGTTTGTAAGCTACATCTGCCAGATCGAAGAAGTCGCTCAAGATTTGCTTTATGTCAATGAGATAATAAACGGCTGTGAAGGAATAACCATATTCCTTGTAACAATCTGCAGCAGGAAGACTATCCGGGAGACATTCGAGAGGTGGGTGCAACAATACACAATAGTTTAATCCCAAGTTCGTATTATGGTTCAACGTATTTTCGTTGCAGCTTCCAAAACAGGGACCGGGATGGATCAAGTACGGAGTTCAGCAGTCACCGGGACTCGTCTAAAGTGAAGAAATAACTCACAACTTTCAATTGATTTTGCGTTTGATGTATTTGCCATTACGATTCTGATTAATGACTATTTGTCTGATTAAGTATATTTGTATATTTTTTACCACTAACTAAACTGATACTGAACTACTGGAGTACCGTGTTGCTAACTAACTAATATTAAAGGTAATAGTTGAATCAAAGTCCCGAATATCAAAGGTATATGTACGACGTTGTAAGTAAGATGAGGCCTAAAACTAGTTGTGGTTTACTTAGATGACTTCAGTCGAAATTAGGATGTGTTCCAACCGTTTCTGAGAAAGCGTTTCGTTGCACTAATTAAGGTATGGTTTTAACTAAATACTAAATACAGCACACCGTGTTTGTGTTTAGAACTGAACTAGATACGCACGCAACCTCAGCGAGTTTTTTTTTTACTAAAACTAAAATTTATAGATCGAGGGCTTCCTCCATCTATACCGCTCTCCCATCTGTAACAACAAGTTCTTGTCCACCAACTGAAATGGTTATCTTCATGACGAATCCTGGGCCGCGCGTTTTAGGTGGAATTCCACCATGTTGTCCAGGTCGCTGATGTATGCCTTAGATTTCCGCATATCAGAGTGAAGCACCCGCAAATTTGATGTATAGTCCGGTAGGCAGAGGCTCAGATTTTCCGCCATCTCCTGGCCCATCTTTCTGGCCAGCTGGGTGAACGTAAGTCGGGCCTTGCCCAGGCGCTTCAGCGGATTGAACTGCTCGGGGACCTCCCTCAGCTCTCCATAGTCTAGAACCTGCCACTGCCCGCCCTCCATGTTCCACGTAAACAAGATGCGGCACTCGTATTGCCGATTGTGGAATACGCAGTCCATGCGCCCAGTGCAGTGCAGGCAATTGGCCAAAGGCTGATCCCTGGCAGAGAACTGAGCCATCAGCAGGCAGGCGACGGTCTGACTTAGAGGGCAGACGTTGACGACCTCGTAGGCCCAGTCATAGAAGACGTTGTAGATCTTCTGGTGTTTCTGGCACAGCAAGCTTATCACATAGTAGGTGAAGGTCTCCAAGTCGAAAGAGTGCTGGGTAATCACTACACTGGAGCAGCGCAGTCTTTGGTAAGAGGCTTGCGAGATCATTTGCATTTCGGAGTAGCACGAGCCGTGGACCTCCATGGGCAACGAAGTGTGGTATCCAGGCGATATGCAGTCGTCTTCCTCGCTCGTGATCACCGATGTGGCATCGTCCTCCTCCACATACCGCCTACGCACTTTTTTGGTGCAGATGGGCTTCTCAGGCATCACCCCGCCTTGAACTGGCATCTCCACAATGCGGGGCTCCTGTTCCCTCCGAGGGGACAGAAACGAGAGCCCTGCATTGGGCGACATGGAGCCGCCGATTTCGAAGCGCTTAGCCATGGACACTTGCAGGGGTGATAACGCACCTAAAGGACCCACTGGCTTGTAGCTCAGCATCTGTTGGGTGGCCTGTGACAGCGGTGGCGACTTCTGGTTGAACATCTGTGCCGGGTTGGTGGCGTTTCGGCTGGGCGATCGCATCAGCATGGAGCTAGATGGCGGAGACCGGAAACCCAGATGGGGCGGCGTCTGTGCTGGCTGCGAGGAGGGGTGTGGTGACGACGACGGCGAGGCGCATGGCGAGTTGTGAAAGAAATGCGCCGTGGGTGAGAAGCGATGGAAACTTCGTGGCGTAGATCCTGCTCCAATGGTGGCACTAAAAGCACGACCCGCCGACCGCACTTTGGTAAAGGGTATGATGTTTTCAGAGTTGTCCTCCGAGAACTCGTACTTCTTTTCTGCCAGACGACGCTTGCGAAAAGTTGAGATTTTCTCACACTTCTCATTGTCTTCGGAAAACTCGTAGGCATTGGATTTGTCCGTCATGGAGCTGGAACTCGGTGTGGCCTAGATGAAGATCAAATAATATATGAATGTGCTCGTGTTTTGATTGAAAGTACATCTCACCTGAAGATCTAGAGTCGTAATACCGTTGCGGTACGACTTGGTTACAATTCGCTGGGTGCGCCTCCGCGACTGGCCAGCATCCCCGGTGCCCGTAGATGCCTGCTTGGTCTCCGGAAGTGCCGGACTGCTGTGCGGAGTGAAGATCAATCGATCATAGGTCTTTGGGGAGCAGCAGATGGGACCCATTGGTGACACATCGTTGTTGTTGTTATTGGAGCGTTGCGACTGTTCGGTCTCTATGTCACTGAAATCGGCGATGATGCGTGCCACAAGGCTCTGTTCATTTCCCGATTCAGCTTCGGACCCGGAGCCCGTGAACGCCACCGATGAGCGGTCCTCCTCGCTGTTCACCAAATTTCTTGAGGGCAAAAGAAAGGACTGCGGTTGAATCTGACTCTGATGCTGGGGAATGGCAACCGGGAAGTAACCATTGGTGGAGGAAGCGACAGGAGGCTTCAGGTCGATACGCAGCATGTGCATAAAACCATTGGAGATGATCAGGATTCGCTCTGGGCAGAGCAGGTTGATCTTTGGCTCGAAACTCGGGTCCGTTTCAGTCGAAGAATATTTGGTGTGCACCGTCAAATGGCAGTTTAGGCAGTGCGCATTATAAAAGGAATCTAAAAAGGATATTGGTGGAACTGTAAAGTTTTGAGAAGTTTATGTTCCACTTACATGGACCGTCGTCGTTGAGTTTCTTGCACTCCAAACAACCTAGCTTAGGAACTTTGACATATGTGATGTAGTTGTCCTCGCCCTCCTCCGTGGCAGCCCCATGGACGACGAGAATCTGGTGTTGCGCGTTCTTCCACTGCGTCATGCTGACAGTTTTGGTGTTGTCCACCACGTGGTCGTCGAAGAGGCGACGCGAGAAGAAGTAGCGCAGTTTTTTGTGGGGATGGAACAGCCAAAAGTACAATCTTTGGAAGAAAATACAAAAGTATTTTTGATATTTGTAATTTTTTGAAACATTGACTCACGTGTACTTGTAGCCCATGTTGAAGGAGTAGTGGTTGAGCGAGGAGCTATCGTTGCACACCACTCGGTGGCTGAGCATGTACTGGCCGCAGGAAGTCAGTCCCATAAAGATGTGCCTAAAAAACGCTAGATTAGGAGATGGTTCGGGCACTTGCTGTAGCCGGTTCTTACCCGTCCATTAAGCTGCTGGCCAGCACGTCCTTGAGGTGTAACTTTAACCTATTTGGCACTCTGTCGAATGGAAGCTGCTGTCTTTGACCGGCACGCGAGGATCCTGAAAAGAAGCCAGTTCGCTGAGGGAAAATATCCGCGTTAATATGTTTGGGAACATTTCTATGTGAGCTCTGTGAAACACACCTCCCTGTCGTAGAGCATTTGCACCAGGTTTCGTGTCCTTGGCAGGGCAACTGGCACTGTAGTTGGCTCCTCCGTAGACTCGTCGGAGCTGTCTGCTGTGGAGATGTCGTCCTCGTCTGAGGACACGCCCGACAGAGACTCCACATAGTTCTGGTAGTCAGTCTCCATAGTAGATCCTGGCCCTAGTTTATCAGACTTGTTTGGTATGGGGTCCTCCTCTTGCCCCAACTTCCCCTCTTTCTCTTGATCCTCGTGTAAGCGGCAGCTCTACGTCCTAGCGCCCAGTCCTCTGCTGGCAAGAGCGGCTCTTCTCCTCATCGGGCACTGAGGACCTCGATGACGAAAGAAAGTCTTCAAAAAAAAGGCATTCCTTATAAGTAAGCCGAATATTTTGCAGTTAAAGTAGGGTTGTTGATAAACTATTAAAATATCAATATATCGATACTCATTTTTATTATCCCTTTTCAACACTGTTAGAAGTGAAGCTGCCAGATTATGCCAGAGTGTGGCCAGGTAATGCCATTTCAACCACTCTAGGAATGGCCACACTAGTTTTTAAAATATCGACAATTTAAAACTTTTTTGTAACGGATTAACAATTTCCAAATATCAGGATTTGTAAATGAATACCTTTCACCTTCTCCATTTTTTACAGAGTTATAAAAGATTAAATTTATTCAATCGATTAAGTTATGCATTAAAAAGGCAAATCTACTAGTTCTGTCAGTTAGATTGGCGCGCCAAAGGACAATATAGGCGCAGTAAATACTTTTTTCCTACTTTATATTATAGTAACACAAAACCGAAAGGATTCAGAGTCAAGACATCTAGAATTACTGGTACTACAATTTTAAATACTATATATATGTTAATTATTATATATGGTTTCTTTGATTTGAAAATAAAATTCATGTAAGCAAATATTATAATTAATCAAAACCCTTATCCTTAATGGCCTCAAATCTATAAGGTCTATATAAAGAGCTGGCAACGTGACTGGGTGTTCATTGACCTCATGGCTCTCTTTGTGGGTCAACTCGTTTGCGGAAGCCACCGGAGACTCCACTGCACCGTGCACCCCCGGTCTTGGCACCTCACTGGGTTCAGTGCGCCGAGTGCAGTGCAAAGTGCAGAATAACGAACTAAAAACAAATGAAATGAGCCGAAAGCTTGCCCAGAAATTTTGGTAATTCGGCATAAAAATGTCGAGCACGCCAGAAAGCCAGAAACTGCTAACTGCACCGATCAGCGATTTCGGCCATGGTAATTCGGAGCGTATCGGATCGGATCGGGCTGACCGATCGATGGGCAGGAAACCTGATGCGCTGGCAGCGAAGTGGCGGTGGACATCGAACCTTCTGCTTATAAGAGCTGCATGGCCAGATCTCCGGTTTTAGTTTGACTCCGGAGTTACAAGTGCCGCGATCGGTCAGGAAACCAGATTTATATCGAGTTATCTAAGGAAATAGTAGCCGTGATTTTACCCAGAAGTCTTTCCCATATCACAGTTGCTGTTTCTTTTAGATAGCTCTTTTGTAAGCAGCCTAGATTCCCATAACTCGAGTGCCCAGTGCTGAAATCATCCTGCATCCCGCATCGACCTTCCCCAGGGTCCTCCGGTTTCAAATTATGGGATACACACAGTTCAGTTTTGTCACTTTTGCGAACATCACTGGGCTTTGTTTATCTCATAAGACTGAAATTTGTACAACTTTCGCTTCAATTGGATTTTCTAATTTGGTTATTACGAAATTAGTAAGTAACGTACTTAAAATGTCCACGCGTGAGTATTTCCATAAAAAGAACAACTCGGAAATGGCCTTCGAATTCCATTTGCGGTATAAACTCCCTATTATCGGAAACAGAAACCATTTTCTTGTTTTTATTTGAATAGAAAGACACAGTTTTAATTGGTTCAACCAAGATCAGGGAAGCACCACCACAGGAAGGGAAAGGCTTAGGATACTACAATGTACAGAGTAAAAATGCAACTGGCATGTAAAACATTAATCTTATCATGGGATGCGGATGCAGCCTAAAACAGCATCTTGCGGATCATGTAGTTCAGGATGCCGCCGTTCTTGTAGTAAGTGATGTCCACCTCGGTGTCGAAGCGCAGAATGGTCTCAAAGACAACTCCATCAGCCTGAAAGGATTTTAGAAGATTAATAACGCCTCCAATGACCAAAGTCTCCCGCCTTACCTCAACTTGGATCTTCTGGCCCGGTTTCAGGCCACTCTCCGGCAGGGCTATGTTGTAGACCTCCCGTCCGTTTAGGTTCAGGGTCTCAGCGCTCTGTCCTGGCAGGAATTGCAGGGGAATGATGCCCATGCCCACCAGGTTGGAGCGGTGGATCCGCTCGTACGACTCGGCAATAACAGCCTTAACGCCTAGCAGGAAGGGGCCCTTGGCGGCCCAGTCCCTGGAGCTGCCGCTGCCATAGTCCTTGCCCACTACCAGAACCAGAGGTGTGCCCTCCTCCCGATACCTTTCGGCGGCATCAAAAATGTCTAGTTCCTCCTGGCTGGGGATGTGCAGAGTCCGGGGTCCAGTCTTCGAAACCAGCTTGTTGACCAAACGGATGTTGGCAAAGGTTCCACGGGACATAATAGCATCGTTTCCACGCCTCGATCCGTACGAGTTAAAGTCGCGCGGAGTAATGTTCCTTTCGGACAGAAAACGAGCCGCTGGAGAGGTCCTAGCAATGGATCCTGCTGGGGAGATGTGGTCCGTAGTCACGGAATCGCCCAGGAAGAGCAGGCAGCGGGCCTTCTGGATGCTCTGCTGCTTTGGCAGCTCGCGGGTCATGCCTTCAAAGAACGGAGGGCGCTTGATGTAGGTGGAGTCTGCGCTCCAAGAGAAGATCTTGCCCTCCGGCACCTGCAAAGTCTGCCAATCCTGGGAGCCCAGCTCGATCTTGCCTAGAATTGCGGATAAATTAGAAATGGGTTTTCGGAAGTTTTTTAGAGAACTCACTGTAGACCTCCTGGAACATGGCGGGGATCACATGCTTGTTCTCCACCTCCTGAATTTCTGACCGCGTTGGCCAGATGTCCTGCAGGAACACCTTGTTTCCTTGAGCGTCCACGCCGAGGGGTTCCTTCTCAAAGTCAATGTCCACTCTTCCGGCGATGGCGTACGCAATTACCAGGAGGGGGCTGGCCAAGTAGTTGGCCCTGGTGTTCGGATGGATGCGACCCTCGAAGTTCCTGTTTCCAGACAGAACTCCCGCACAGACCAGACCATTCTTCTCGATGGTGTTGACCACATTCTCGTCTAAAGGTCCAGAGTTGCCGATGCAGGTCATGCAGCCGTAGCCCACGATATCGAAACCAAGCTTCTCCAAGTACGGGATCACTCCCGACTCCTTCAGGTAGTATGTAACCACTCCGGAACCAGGAGAAAGAGATGTCTTGATGTAGGGAAGGATGTTGAGTCCCTTCTCCACCGCCTTCTTGGCCAGGAGACCTGCTCCCAGCATCACCGACGGATTCGAGGTGTTCGTGCAGGAAGTAATGGCGGCAATAACCACAGATCCGTGACCCAACTTGTAGGTTTTGCCATCATCCCACTGGAATTCGCCGAAGGCAGCCTGAGCCTCCGGAGCAATGGCAAAGCCCTTGAAGCCAACCTGTACAAAACTGAGGTTAGGGATTTTAATTTCAACTTGTGTTTCAAAAGACACTCACTGGACTAGAAAGGCAGGACTTAAAGTCCTCAGGCATGTCGGAGACAGAAACACGATCGTGGGGACGCTTCGGGCCGGAAACCGATGTCACTACCGTGGCCAGATCCAAGGTGATGCTCTGTTGTGTCCAAAAAGGGTTACTCAAAGCTCTAGCTCTGCTGGGGGGTACAAATTCCTCACCTGGGTGAACTGGGGATCCTGGGACTCGTTTGCATAGTCTCGCAGCTGCTGGGTAGCCTTCAGATATTGGCGAATGATGTCGATCTTCTTCTCGGAGCGATCTGAGTTCAAAAGAAAAATAACTTGCTCATTCCATTCCATTCCAGTGGGACAAATATGGGCTTACTCGTCTGCTTCATGTAGCCCAAAGTGTTCTCGTCGATGGGGAAGTAGCCCACTGTGGCGCCGTACTCGGGACACATGTTACTGATCGTAGCCCTGTCGGCAATGCTGAGCTCTGCCACTCCCGGGCCATAGAACTCCACAAACTTGCCCACCACTCCCAGCTGTCGGAGGTGCTTGGTGATGGTCAGCACCAGGTCGGTGGAGGTGACCAAAGGACTCAGCTTGCCCACCAGCTTGTAGCCAATCACCTCCGGCAGCAACATGGAAATGGACTGTCCCAGCATCACGGCCTCCGCCTCAATGCCTCCCACTCCCCAGCCCAAAACTCCAAGGCCGTTGATCATCGTGGTGTGCGAGTCCGTGCCCACGACGCTGTCAGGATACAGGATCTTGGAGCCGTCAGTGGTATCGTTTTCGAACACCACTCGGGCCAAGTACTCGAGATTCACTTGGTGAACGATTCCTGAACCAGGGGGCACGATCAGCATGTTGTTGAAGGCATTAGCACCCCACTAGAACAAATGAATCCAATGTAAGTATCTCTCGCTTCGATAAGTATGTGGGATATTACCTTCAGGAAAGTGAAACGCTCCTTGTTGCGCTCAAATTCCAGGGTCTGGTTCTTGGTCAAAGCGTCAGGAGCTCGTGCGAAGTCCACCTGCACGGAGTGATCTATGACCAGGTCGGCAGGGCAGATGGGGTTGATTTTCTCCGGGTTTCCGCCCAGCTCCACCACGGCGTCGCGCATAGCAGCAAAGTCCACTACGGCAGGGACTCCAGTAAAGTCCTATTAAAACATTTAAGGATTAAAAGCCGATCCAGAAGAATTTTAGCGGGAAGCTCACCTGCAGGATCACTCGAGCTGGCTTGAAGGAGACTTCCACATCATTGGATCCCTGCTTGAGGGCGGGTGACCAGCCAAGGATGCTCTGGACATCCTTCTCCAGGATATGGAAGTTGTCGCAGTTGCGAACCGCCGATTCCAAGAGAACTCGAATGGAATAAGGTAGCTGGTCTGAAGGTAAAAAGAATTTAGGTGTTAATTCTGAATCTATATGGGAGCAACTGCATCACAACCTAGTCAGTACTGATTCATGATTGAACTCACATATCAATTCGGGTTTCCTGACTATTAATATTGGTACTTAGTACTTATAGATATTCTAAAGTAGAACGAACAATAGTGTCCCACATTTTTACCCAAAAGACAAAAGATTTGATTAATTATTTGACTTGTCTCCATTAGTGGACCCCTACTGTAGTCGTGGCTTAGATAACTGGCTCTTATCATGGAGGAGAATGACTGCCCCATTTGTTCAACACTCGATCCCCGGCTGATAGCAGTTCTAGTACCATTATGTTCCTGGGTAGCCCTCACCTCGGACTCTGCGAGACCCCGCTACCCTCGGACACGCGCCGCTCCTCCAAAAACATTCCACCGGCAATTCCATTCTAAAGACATTTTCGGAAGCTTCGGACCACGACCCCAAAAAACATCAGATTTGGCTCGCTTTCCTCGTCTATTGATAAGTGGGCACGTAATGGAAATTAAAACCTGTAGCTCGATTCGTTATCACCGGCAGACGAGCCCCATTATGGTGGCTAATCAGCACCAATGGCTTTCGCTTTCCTTGTGGGACAAGCTTATATACCAGCTAATACATATATGTAGATATGTATAAGAACACTACCCAAAATAGAAATCCCACTTAAGCGGCGCGGTAGCCACCTTCCAATTGACACTGATCGACTTGCAAATTAAGGCGTTGTGGCGATCACTGCTGCGCCCTCTTTTTCGGGGTCAAACTCCAACTTCAACAGGTGTTTCAGGTGGATATCGGGGAGCCTCCTCTGCCCACTACCTGTCTTACTAAGCCGCAGTCACTCTCCTTGCATTTAGATTCCTGTAACACGTCAACAGGCCGCCCTCACCCAAGATCTTGTTTTCTGACTTACCATACTTTCCGTCGATGGAGGCGAGGTCAAAGTACTTGTACGTCTGGCCGGCCTGCGAGAACGTCTTCTCGAACTGGGCAAAGGGATTGGCTCCTGTTATGTAAACAAGGGATTAGCGGACATCTAACCACTCCGGAGCAGCCACTTGCCTGACATGTTTGGTTCTTCCGAGAGCTGCTTTCACCTCAACTTTACTGAACTTACTCCGGACGAGCAAAGCCACAAAATGATTGGGGAAAACGGTTGGTTTGGGGATTGGGGCTTATCGGCTGGGGAAATCGATTGTCGGTTTCGCGGTGTATTCCGATAACATTTTGGCGCGAGCTTTTAAATAGATGGGGTATAGCCAGAACTCGAACCCGAGACTCTTCGAATGTAAAATGTTAAGTCAATTTTGCGAAATTTTTATTTCTTTAATTAAATAAACATCACAAATGCCTAATAATTTCTTAATTTGATATTAAAAATTTACTAATTTAGAAAAATTGAAGTAGAAATTAAAGGGAATCCTTTTAAGAGATCATCTTCCGGATCATGTAGTTTAGAATGCCGCCATTTTTGAAGTATGCGATGTCCACCTCGGTATCAAAGCGCAGAATGGTCTCAAATTCGGTTTCATCAGCCTAAATCAAGAAAACCAGAATATTTAAGATTGTTTAAAGCAAAAAGAATAAAACTATACCTTAACTTGGATCTTCTGTCCCGGTTTCAACCCACTTTCCGGCAGAATAATGTTGTAGGACTCGCGCCCATTCAGCTTCAAGGTATCGGCACTCTGGCCCGGCAGGAATTGCAGAGGAATGATGCCCATGCCCACCAGGTTCGAGCGGTGGATGCGCTCGTAGGACTCGGCAATTACTGCCTTAACTCCCAACATGAGGGGACCCTTGGCGGCCCAGTCCCTTGAACTGCCACTGCCATAATCCTTTCCCACCACCAGGACCAGGGGTGTTCCCTCTTTCCGATACCTTTGGGCAGCATCGAAGACGTCCATTTCCTCCAGGCTGGGTATATGGAGGGTCCGAGGTCCTGGCTTCGACACCAGTTTGTTGCCCAAACGAATGTTGCTAAACGCTCCACGGGACATAACTGCATCATTGCCGCGTCTCGATCCGTACGAGTTGAAATATTTCGGAGTGATGTTCCTTTCTGCAAGGAATCGGGCCGCCGGCGATGTTCTGGCAATGGTTCCAGCTGGAGAGATATGATCCGTGGTCACAAAGTCTCCCAAAAAGACCAGGCACCTAGCCCCTTTGATGCTCTGCTGCTTTGGCAGCTCCCGGGTCATGCCCTCGAAATACGGGGGTCGCTTGATGTAGGTGGAGTCAACGTCCCACGAGAATATCTTGCCTTCTGGTGCCTTTAGCGACTGCCAGTCCTTGGAGCCCAGTTCGAGTGTGCCTGCAGAGTTGGTGAATGAATTACATAAACCTTCCTTATACTTCGTGCATTACTCACTGTAAACTTCGTGGAACATGGCCGGGATCACATGCTTGTTCTCCACCTCCTGAATTTGAGACCGTGTTGGCCAGATGTCGTGCAGGAAGACATTGTTTCCTTGGGCATCCACACCCAGGGGCTCCTTCTCGAAGTCAATGTCCACTCTTCCGGCAATGGCGTACGCAATTACCAGGAGGGGGCTGGCCAAGTAGTTGGCCCTGGTGCTGGGATGGATGCGACCTTCGAAGTTTCGGTTGCCAGACAATACTCCCGCACAGACCAGGTTATTCTGCTCGATGGTGTTGACCACATTCTCGTCCAAAGGTCCAGAGTTTCCGATGCAGGTCATGCAACCATAACCTACAATGTCGAATCCAATTTTCTCCAAATATGGGAGCACTCCAGACGCTTTAAGGTAGCAGGTCACCACTCCGGAGCCGGGTGATAGGGAAGACTTGATATAAGGGGCCACGTTAAGACCCTTTTCCACCGCATTTTTGGCCAACAGACCTGCTCCCAGCATCACCGAGGGATTCGAGGTGTTCGTGCAGGACGTGATGGCGGCAAGGACTACAGATCCATGGCTCAGCTTGTAGGTTTTTCCATCGGTCCACTGCAGTTCCCCAGAAGCTTTCTGAGCCTCCGGAGCAATAGCAAAGCCCTTGAAGCCCAGCTAAAAAATAGGAACTTTAGTTTAAAGTTTATGTTTCCACGGTGGGATTGCTCACTGGATTGGACAGGCAGGACTTGAAGTCATGCGGCATGTCGGAGACGGGGACATGGTCGTGCGGACGTTTGGGTCCAGACACGGAGGAAACAACAGTTGCCAAGTCCAAGGTTATGGTCTGTAATTAACGGAGTCGATTAAGTAATACCACTAACCATACAGCATATAGACAACCCATTTCATACAACGAAAATGGACGCGAAAATTTCTTGCGACAGGCCCCAGCAGGCCCCAGAGCGGATTTCTTACGCTCTTTTACGCTCATCGTTCGTTCATCTTACGCTCATTCTCGCATTAAATGTTTTCTGTTTCTCAGTCTCTAAACGGAGCGCGATGAAGAAGGTTGGCCTGCGCTTCGGTTGATCTTTGTGTGTATGCGTGTCACACATTCACATACACGGGTGTATGTGTGCGTGCGATTTCGTTTCGAAGCCAGCGCACAAAATTTTGATTTTTCTTACTTTTCAGGCTTGCTACCCTAACCAAATTCGGGTATTCGTTATTTGATGAAATGACGAAAGAAATTATATTATTTTTTATATTATATTTTTTATTATTTCAGCATACATTTTTAATTTATTTAGGAATAAGATTGAGTGTTAGTAGTAAATGATTACTGTATATATATTTTTACGAATCATTAAAAATGAATATGAGAAAATGAGAAATGAGAAAATTTCAGAGTATATTTCAGTCGGAGTCACTTAAAACGCCGATTGCTTTTAAGTTTTTGTTGTTCTGCAAGAGGCTTGTGCATGCCTACTCTAACGATGGAATGATTTTTAGGGGAGGGTGAAGACACGAAAACAGCTGATGGAATTGTTTACCTTTTTTGTTTACAATTTTTCAGGCACTTGTTATTAATTTGGGTTATTGTGAGATTTAATTAAATTATTGTCGTCAATTTAATAATTTCCTTATATATTTTGGAACTTTAAAAAAGTCGCCGCTCAATTTTTTACAGATATACATATATTTGTATATATATACATACATATTTACATTGGTTTTCTGATACCTCTTGCAGAACAAGAAAAACTTAAAGGATATAGGCGTTTTGAGTAACTCCGACTGAAATATACTCTGAAATTTTCTCATTTCTCATTTTCTCATATTCATTTTTAATGATTCGTAAAAATATATATACAGTAATCATTTACTACTAACACTCAATCTTATTCCTAAATAAATTAAAAATGTATGCTGAAATAATAAAAAATATAATATAAAAAATAATATAATTTCTTTCGTCATTTCATCAAATAACGAATACCCGAATTTGGTTAGGGTAGCAAGCCTGAAAAGTAAGAAAAATCAAAATTTTGTGCGCTGGCTTCGAAACGAAATCGCACGCACACATACACCCGTGTATGTGAATGTGTGACACGCATACACACAAAGATCAACCGAAGCGCAGGCCAACCTTCTTCATCGCGCTCCGTTTAGAGACTGAGAAACAGAAAACATTTAATGCGAGAATGAGCGTAAGATGAACGAACGATGAGCGTAAAAGAGCGTAAGAAATCCGCTCTGGGGCCTGCTGGGGCCTGTCGCAAGAAATTTTCGCGTCCATTTTCGTTGTATGAAATGGGTTGTCTATATGCTGTATGGTTAGTGGTAATACGTTTGAGTTTTATGGTATGATCTATCTCACATGGGTGTACTTCGGATCTTGGGAGTCATCAGCGTAGTTTCGCAGCTGTTGGGTGGCCTTAAGATAATCTCGAATAATGTCGATTTTCTTCTCTGAGCGATCTGTAAAGAATTAGTAGCATGAAAGTACAAATTGTTATAAAAATATATTCTTCTGCGAACTTACTCGACTGCCTCATGTAGTCCAAGGTATTCTCGTCGATGGGGAAGAACGCCACAGTGGCTCCGTACTCAGGGCACATGTTACTGATGGTGGCCCGGTCAGCGATGCTGAGCTCTGCCACTCCCGGGCCGTAGAACTCAACGAACTTGCCCACAACTCCCAGCTCTCTGAGCTGCTTGGTGATAGTCAACACGAGATCCGTAGACGTGGCCAGTGGCCCGAGCGTTCCCACCAACCTGAACCCAATCACCTCTGGCAACATCATGGCGATGGACTGGCCAAGCATCACGGCCTCCGCCTCTATGCCGCCCACTCCCCATCCCAGGACCCCGATGCCATTGATCATGGTGGTGTGGGAGTCCGTGCCCACGACAAAGTCCGGGTACAGTGTCTTGGAACCGTCGGCGGCGTCTTCCTCGAAGACCACATGCGCCAAGTACTCCAGGTTCACTTGATGGATAATGCCTGCTCCGGGTGGGACAACCATCAGGTTGTTAAAGGCCTGGGCGCCCCACTATTAAATGAATCAGAATAAAATAAAATAAACTATTAAGAATCGTGATGGGATGTGGGGCTTACCTTAATAAAAGTAAAACGCTCCTTGTTGCGCTCAAACTCCAGGGCTTGGTTCTTGGCCATTGCATCCGGAGACCGGGCGAAGTCAGCAGCAACAGAGTGGTCAGCCACGAAGACTGAGGGGCAGACGGGGTTGATACTTTCGGGGTTGCCGCCCAGTTCCACCACGGCATCCCGCATGGCTGCCAAGTCCACCACTGCTGGAACTCCAGTGTAGTCCTGAAAACGTACCAAAAACGTGAGTAATGCTAGTATATCGCGCCTGATGGAGGAGCTCACATGAAGAATCACTCGGCCTGGCTTAAAGGAGACCTCGACATCGGTGGAGCCTTGTTTAAGGGCAGGCGACCAGCCTAGGATGTTCTGGACATCCTTCTTCAAAATGTTGAAGCCATCACAGTTGCGCACCGCCGATTCCAAGAGCACTCGAATGGAGAAAGGCAGCTGACCTAAAACGATATTAAAACCATTTTATATGAAAAATATAGATTTAATTTGAAATTAAATGAAAATCATTGTGGGGTAGTCCTCATTACCAGCTACACACCATTTTTTTTCAATCAATTTCACGAAATTATTGATAAACCGGAACGCGTTCAATTCTTTATCACCAATTGTAGGATTCTATTTATATAAAATAGTGGGGTAGTCCTAACCTCAGACATTTTTGTATATATGTACATATAGAACATCTGTACACCTAAAACCCTCTGGCCATGGAAAGAAATTATTTTCTATTAATAGACGAGTGGGTTAAAAATGAAGTATTTTGTTTAGGAAAAAATATAATTGTTTATTTCTCCAACAACGTATTTCATAAGGAATGCTTCGTTTTCCTCATTCATTCACAAGAGAACTCAATTCCTTATCATCAAGAGGCTTAGATATCTGGGACCCATTTGATTGATTCGACACTCGAATGATAAAGCCTCTCGAGCTATTTTCAAACAAACAGACACTCTGCCGCTTTGGACACGCGCTGGCCCCCTGTTAAAATATTCCAGTGGCTCTCGTCAGTTCCCCACTCATAGGTATGGGAATGTCGTCATGGAAATATAATGCCCTCGTTTTGTAATCAGAGCTATTTTCTGGTGACATATGCAAATCAGTATCTGAATAATCAGATAATGATGGATTCTATCATTGAATTAAGATCTAAAAGGATCATATCCACTTACCATATTTACTGTCGATGGCGGCGAGGTCAAAGTACTTGTAGGTCGTGCCCCCCTTTGAGAAAAGCTTTATGAACTTGGAATAACAGTTTTTGCCTGCTATAAGAATCAAAGGTTAAGAAAATCAAAGAAAATCCCAACTTGATTCTAAGAGCCACTTGCCTGACATGATTGATTTTGAACTTTTAAAACTTAAAAGCTTCCCTGAACTCGAACTTTAAAGAACTTAGGGTTCACTTCGCGCGTCCCTGCTATTTATCCGCGCGCGCACAACGGTCTTATCCACTACCCGGTTCGTACATGTGTAACCGGTTCTTACCTGTTCTAGAAATGAGTGAAAATAAAAAGCTGTATCGAAGCTAAAAACTGATCGCGGAACATCGACGGTCGATTACGCGAAGTCTATCGATATCGATTTTCGAGCTTAAAAGGATTCGCTTAAAAAGAAAAGTAGTATTCTTATAACGAGTTGAATATATCTTTATTTAATCTAAAATATACAATTACTGACCAAAATTTTAACGATTTATAACTTTTTTTTCGAATGATGTACGTCTATGTTTTGAAACAATTTTTCTTGATATTTTAAATTTTTTGTAGTTGCATTTTAGATTTAAATTAACCCGCCAAAAGCACACATTTTCCAACACCACTACCTTACACAGGTTTCAACGTTTACCAGCACTGATAGTACTTATCGTTCAAACACTCTGGACGCACGTTGTTTCGGTGGATTTGTATTTTTCTAATATAAAAACCATTATGAATGTGCCCGTTAAATTTACGGTCGCTAAGGACCAACTACGTGAAATGCACTGCGAGTTTAATCCACTGTCGCGGTGCGACGGCTCTGTGATGTACAGCCAGGGTAAGTTTCCCAGCTGATCCATACAAGAACCATCGGTAACTTGTGGACCAATTCTTCTTTTAGGAGCCTCAGTGGTGATATCCGCTGTTTTGGGCCCGGTCGAAGTAAAATCGCAGAACCTGAGCATAGATGGCAGCTACTTGGAGTGCAATTATAGGCCCAAAGCTGGACTGCCCCAAGTGAAAGAACGCCTCCGCGAAGCCGCCATAAAGGAAATTTTGGATTTGACTGTGCTGTCGGAAGCGTATCCCAGGTCTAAGATGTCTATACAGGTGCAGGAGCTTGAGGATCGAGGAAGCGTAAGTGAATGTGGCCTTTTGGTAAAAAAAATCTAGTTCACTTTCTTTTTTAGATGGATGCCTGTGCTGTGAACTCAGCCTGCCTGGCCATGCTTATTGGGGGCTTGCCCCTCAAGAGCAGCTTTGCTGCTGTGCATTGCATTATCAACGAGCAGGGCGATTACGTCCTGGACCCGGATCAAAGTGAAACTGCCCACCAGCGTGCCAGTTTCACCCTTGCCTTTGACTCTATGGAGGGAAATTTGTTACTGATCCAGACCAAAGGGGCTTTCAGAATCGAACAGTTTAATGATATCGAGTGCCTTTGCCGGTCGGCTAGTCAAGAAATCTTCAAGTTCTACCGGAGTCAAATAGCCAAGTTTCACGGTAAAAGTGAAGAAATTAAAACGAAACCCGAAAGTATGGAGACTATTTGATTAAAACGCATAATGTTAAGGTAACGAGGTTTCTTTTATTTGTGTGTTTGCCTATTTAGAGCTGTAGTTAGAGATACTGCTAATAGCCAGTGGTTTGCCTTTGAGCACTTGCGAGTTGGATTCCTCAATGTGAGTTACTAAAAAGTCGCCAATCTTAATAGGCTGATCTGATCCAAGGACCTTGCCGGCGGGAACAATGACCTTAATGTTGGCATCGTTGCGTCCGAACCAGTGGGAATCAGACCGCTTGCTCTTTCCCTCTATTAGGATCAGTTGCTCCTGGCCTTCCATTTTTTTGTGTAGTTCCGTGGCTCCGGCTCGGAACACCTCCACCATGCGTTTGAGTCTTTCGTTCTTTACTGACAACGGCACGTCGTCTTTGAATCTTCTGTGGGCAGTGGTTTTCTCCCGCATGCTATAAGCGAACAGGTAGGCTACGTTGTACTTGACTTGCTGGATTAGGGAAACTGTGTCCTGGAACTCTTCCTCCGTCTCGCCGCAGAAGCCGCATATGAAGTCGCTGGATAACCCGACATTGGGCAGGAAAGATCTGATGCGGTCAACCAAGTCCAGATAGGCTTCTCGACTGTAGCCTCGCCTCATTCTCTCCAGAACTTTAGTGTTACCCGATTGCGCCGGCAAATGAAGCTGTTTACACACATTTGGATAGTCCCTGATAACTCTGAGAACGTCATCTGAGAAATCTTTGGGATGCGGAGAGGTGAAGCGGATGCGCATTTCCGGGACGGCTTCGGCCACGCTCCGTAGCAAACGGGAGAAAGTTATGCCTCCAGACTTCGGTTTGTAGACAGTTTTGAAACCAGGCACCCGCATGGAACTGAGATCTTCCTCTAAGCTGGAGGCCCCATCCCTGTAGGAGTTGACGTTCTGTCCCAGAAGAGTTACCTCCTTCACGCCTTGGTCCTGCAATGCCCGGACCTCTGTTAGTATTGACTCCAGGGGCCTGGATCGCTCGCGACCGCGGGTGAATGGTACTATGCAGTAAGTGCACATGTTGTCACAGCCACGCATAATGGAAACAAATGCAGTGGGGGATTCAGAATTCAGTCGCACCGGCATCACATCAGCGTAAGTTTCGTCCAGCGAGAGCAGCACATTGATGGCAGAGTTACCATAGTGTCGGGAAACGGCTAGGAGACGCGGCAGATCCTTATAGCTGTCTGGTCCAGCTATCACATCGACGCACTGTTCCTTCTCCAGCAGCTTCTCCTTTAGCCGTTCCGCCATGCAGCCAAGCAACGAAAGCTGAAGAGGGTGTCGCCGGGGACTCCGTTTGCTCTTCATGGCTCTTAGGTGCTTCAGCCGGTTCCAGATCCTCTGCTCAGCTCCATCGCGCACCGCACAGGTGACTAGCATAATGATATCAGCGTCCTCCGGATCCTGGCATCTTGCGTAGCCGTTCTCCCGCAACACACTCCACACTACTTCCGTATCATTGGTGTTCATTTGACACCCATAGACCTCGAAGTGCACTTTTCTTCCCTGACCATGGTAATCAATGGGCTTCAAGTATGGAACACTGGAGTCCACGAGTTCACCCTCCTCTGGCTTAAGCCTTGAAAGTGGTTTGGCGGCAAAAAAATCCTGCAAGCCCGGGCCCTGTTGAATTCTTTGCATAAACGTCGTGGCACGTGGTCTGCTGCCTGCCAGCTCCCCATTCCTCCCAGTCTGTGGTGGAGGTGGTTGCGTTTGTAACGCGGATGTTGAAGTGGAGCACTTCCTCACTTGGCGCAGCAGCACCCGGCAGCCTTTTTCCATGGCTCCTGGATAGCTTGATGTCAATTTCAAAATTATGCAACTGCCTGCCGGTCAGCTGTTTATGAAATAGCTTATTTTATCGATATAAAGTTCTTATCGATGATTTTTCCGTTTTAAGGAGGAGGGTGAAAGTGGTTAGGAACTCTGCTACAAAGTATGGCGGGAGTTCCCGGTGCATGAAATTTTTGAACCATGATATTAAGTTCATATGAACGTCTAAAAAATAATATTATTGTTTAAAAATTCTTAGTTACGCCTTTGAAGACATAAAGGATCAAATTCCTATGTGTTAATTTTTTTATTTTTAATTTGTTGACCAATATGCTGATGAACTTCTTCCGGAATCCATGTTATGGCCTATTAGTTGTCCTCGTTTATATGGGATACATAGGTCACAGCGGGGTCTCTAACTTGGTCAATAGTCGTCCGATTCTAGAGAGGAAGACCTTAAAAGATTTGTAGAGCGATTGTCCACTGATCTGCATTAAACCCTTGGATCAAAATATTTTTTGAATTTTTTGTCCAATTTCCTGATGAATCCTTCCAAGATCCATACCATGGCCTATATGGGCCACGAAGGAGTCTCTAACTTGGTCAATACTCGTCCGATTCTAGAGAGGAAGACCTTAAAAGATTTGTAGAGCGAGTCTCTACCAATCTGCATTAAAACCTTGGATCAAAATATTTTTTGAATTTTTTGTCCAATTTCCTGATGACTCCTTCCAAAATCCATACCATGGCCTATATGGGCCACCGAGGAGTCTCTAACTTGGTCAATACGCGTCCGATTCTAGAGAGGAAGACCTTAAAAGATTTGTAGAGCGATTCTCTACCAAGCTGCATTAAACCCTTGGATCAAAATATTTTTTGAATTTTTTGTCCAATTTCCTGATGAATCCTTCCAAGATCCATACCATGGCCCATATGGGCCACGGAGGAGTCTCTAACTTGGTCAATACTCGTCCGATTCTAGAGAGGAAGACCTTAAAAGATTTGTAGAGCGATTCTCTACCAAGCTGCATTAAACCCTTGGATCAAAATATGTTTTGAATTTTTGTCCAATTTCCTGATGACTCTTTCCAAAATCCGTACCATGGTCCATATGGGCCACCGAGGTATCTCTAACTTGGTCAATACTTTTCCGATTCTCGAGAGGATTGGCTATCAAGATTTCTGATTGATTTTTAAATAATCTGCATCAAAACCTTTTATATAAATATTTTTTTTCAATTTTTGCGATTGCATCTATACTATTACTTTAAAACGGAGTGACTTTATCGATTCGTGCATCGATTCCATGGCAATCTAGGTTTAAATCCCTCCAGTAGGAGAGAGAGCAGTTGAAAATAAATCTTTATTAATTATATTTATGTTTAATTTGGTTCAATCGAAGCCAGAATGCATATGACAACAGTCGCACATAAACCTGTCTGGCCGCACATTTGAGGGCGATGGACAAACTCGGATCAGCCGTAAGAAAATTAGCCCGGCCTCATTATGAGCTTACCGTGGTCGTGTTAATAATGCACAGGTGAAGACAATGCAATGGAAAGGATAACAAATGCAATTGCTTCCAAGCTGTTCTGCAGCTCCGCCGACACTTTGTGGCTTTGTGGGCCAATAACTGAATAATTGCATTGCCACCGAGTGTGGCTCATTAATATGGACCTCTCAAGAACTACTGAGGCACCATGAGAATTTATAATATTTTGAAGTATTGTGCCTTGTTCTATTTATTCTTTGTTGTAGCATATCGGAAGTTCCACTATATAGTGTCTGGTGGAAGAATAGTGGGATGCTCAAGTCTGAAGCTCACATATTTTGTAAACACTTACAGCAGAAATATTTTAATGAAAATGAAACGAAAATTCCACTTTCGGCCAAAAGAATTTCGTAATTACAGCGAAAAAATTCGTAATTAAATTCATGAAGTTGGCCCAGTCCGGAGGGAGCTACTTGGGGGGCTCCAGTCCCACTCGTATCCTGGAACTCGCATCGTTGTGATTGGCCTGGCCCTGAGCCTTGTGCTCTCCACGTTCGGATGGTTAAGAATTTTCTTGTATTTTGTCGGCACTTTTGCGCCAAAGTTATTCTCCCAAGAGTTTTCCTTCTAGTCCGTTGCTATAAATCTTTCGGGCCGGGATTGAGGGAATGGGGCTGGGTCCTTCGAGGAGGAGGGGTTTGTAAGGGAGAGGAGCTTGTGGCTTCTGCATTCGTTGAGAAGCTTAGGCGGAGAGTTAGTGAAGTAGGACGCTCACATATCTCAATGAAACTGTCAATAAACAATAAATAATTCAATCGTACAAATGCGTTCTATATTTAGTTGTAGCAATTAATCCGACATTCCGGCCTGCGAACACGCTCCTCGGTCCGGCCAAGTTGACAGTTTGTGGAAGCATTTTAATTGAACAGTGTTCTCGGAGGCGGGGATTACGAAATTAGTTTAATTATTCCCTTTACTACTGCTGAGTGGAAATCAGCCTTTGTCTGATCTTGCAAACCTTCAGCGTTTAAAGTTCTCCTCCAAGAGATAGTCGAGTGCTGTTGGACCCTCATCCTGACGACACTTTGAGGCCCCATAACGCGGGCACACGCATAATGATCCTTTGAATGGCTCAATGCGTGCTCCGGCTCCACCCAAGAAAAGTTTACTTACAGCTTACGTGGGTATTTCCATTTTTCGGAAAACCATTTCCACCCCGCCCACTTGCGGCAACCCTTGGGGCGCATTTCCGGCTGCAAGGAGCTCCACGGGCGGAGAGGGGAAAGCGGTGTTAACGGCTCTGCTGAGAGTAATTCTCCCCACGCAGGGAAGACAAAAAGGCGAAAAGGGAAAACAAAGACGAGAAAGTCAATGTTAATAGAAAATGGTTCCTTGTCGTCGTCTTGGTTTCCTTTAAATTGAAATTGTCGCGGAAATAAAAATTTGCATATTTCAGCATTGATTTCTCCACCCGCAGGACCCTCGCGGGCGCCCCGGGGATCCCTGTCGTATGCGTAATGCTGGTGCTGCAGTCCATTCAGAGTTAGGGTTTTTTCTTTGATAATTGATTTGAATGTGATAGAGAAATGTTTAATCAAAAGAGATGCATGTGTCTTTAAAAAGAGTTGCTCCTTACTCCTTAGTTTAGTGCATAAACTAAACAAAAACCCAATAATAGGACAATGAAGCATCAAAGAATCCCAAGCGAGATCCTCGGTCCTGTGTTTCTCATTACTGGCTGCCAGTTCCAGTTGCAATTTCTAGTAAATCCTGACGCTGTCACAATAAAATCCACTCAAGCCAAACATACGTCAGCAGTGACGAGAACCTTGGAGCTGGCCCCCGACCTTCGCTTCCAGTTTGAGTCCGAGCCAGAGCTAGAGAGTCCTGGCCAAGTCGCACAAATTTATACCCCAGAAAAAACGGACATCTCCTCGTTGCCGTTGGCAGGGACTTGAAGGCGCAGGATATAATAGCAAACTACTCATTGATTTATTTACGAGCTCCACTGATGGGCCGGCAGCTGGTTCTGAACGCAAGCGATGCGGACGGTTTTCAAATCCCCTATTCTCTTTTGATATTTTGCATACAGTCATGCCTCGGAAAATGGTACAATTATACCTTTAGAAATCTGCTATAAAATCAATGTTACTACTTTCTAGAGTAGAAATCTGCTATAAAATCAATGTTACTACTTTCTATTTTGTCCTTAAGCATATAAAGTATTCTTTGTTTTTTATAACGAATTAAATTCTCAGAAGCTCCACTGTGTCTAAATATTTGTCGATCTTCTGGCTGCTTTTTCGAGTCCTGCCCCACAAATTGCAGCTAAATTCTCGCTCGGACACAGTGCCATCGCCCATGGCCGCCTGCCCCGCTGCTCCTTCGTCTTGGTACAGGGTCCTGTGTGCTGTGACTTACATAAAGTGTCCTCGACTTGGGCAAGTCGACTCATTTAAGCGCAGGTCGTAGATCTTCCAAAGCAATGGCTTTTGACACCCAATGTGGGCCCTGTCTCTGATGCCTTGCGCTTAAATATTTACGCCGCCAGGCCATAGACGGCTTTAAGGATGCCAGGACTGCTCGCCAGTCTGCCTGCGGTGTTTGTTGGTAATTTTCATTGTCACGTGGAGGTAATTACCGGTGTTGCAGACACAAACACAGACACAGGCACATCTACAGATGCAGACTCCAAATGCAGACTCGCGGGACTCGAATCGGTGGCTTTGAAATCCACACACTCGTACACTGAAAAATATGAAGTCACACACAGTATTTATTAATTTCCTCCTAACATTTAATGCCACATTTTCAACGGTGGGGATTTCTGGTTTTGTTAGTCATCAGCGATCTTTAGAACTTTGGCCGAACTGGCTTTGGCTCAGTGTCCCTTTCGATTTCCCTCTGTCTGTATTTGTTTATTTGTAAGGATGCAGGCAGTTGTGTATGTGTGGGCCATATCCTGTGGCGTCGCGACGCGCTTTACAATTTCAATTCATTGAATTTTAACAGCGCCGGTGCTGCGTCTGTGAATGTCCTTGTGCCAGGGAGCCCAGTTAACCGAAAGTTTGTAAAACGTTATGTGCAACATTTTGCGGGAGCAGCCTCCTCCAGCATGTAGAGCGCTGCAGCAGCGTGTCCTGATCCCGGGCCAAGTCAGTGTCCATTGTCAGGGTCCTTCGTGCAGGTCGGCCGTCGCTGATATTAAAACGTGTTTTATCACCCGCCGCCATTTCGCGGCCGGGTATTCATTCCAATTGCGGCCAGATTGCACTTTTCAAGTGCGTGTTAATGCACACAATGTGTGTGGGTGGCTCCTTTGGGGGATTTTAGAGGCTTTCGGTGGCGGGGTGGTGAGTGGTGACCGGAACTTAAAGCTGACTCAGCCCCCAACGGATGGCTATTCAAATTAGAGGAACGAGCTGGCAAATGTCACAGCAGCAATCTAAACAAAAAACAGAGCCCTGCCCAAGCGAAAGGGGTTGATGCTTCAAGGAAAAAACAGGAATTTTGAATGGGGGCTGGGAGAAAGGATATACACTTAAACAAACTTACACTTAAA